TTTTTATAAAAAATAAAAAAGAATATAAATATATTATTTTATTTTCTTTATAAAATACCTTTTTATATAAATAACTACTTTTTATTATACTTTTTATATATAATTATTTCTTTTATTTTATATTAATTTATACTTAATAATTAAAAAGTATATTATATAAAATATTACTTTAATAAAAAAACTTATTTTATTTATATTAATAATAAATATAAATAAATAATAACCTTAAGTATTTTAAAATATAATATTATTTTATAACTTAAATTATATAGCTTAAGGCTAGAAAATAAGATATATAAATTAATTAGTTATCTTTTATAGCTTTATTTAATATAAGGCTAATTTTCTTTATTATCTTTACTTTCTATTATTCCTTTATAAGCTATATTAGCTATGCTACTATCTTATATAACTATATTGATGCTCTATATATCCTATTAATAGCAAGTTAATCACCGAAACTCTAATAGAGAACTCCGCAGACCGACTCTCCAAAATTTCCATCGGCCCTTCGTTCCCCCATGTTAGGCATCCAAACACTTTCGTCATGGGCCGTCACCCCGCACGGCGTTCCCCAACACCTCCCCAAGCGTCCGTTCCGTCCGCTCCGTATGGTCTGTCTGGGCCGAGGCTGCTCCGGCCCTCCGATCCGGCGCTAAAATAAACCGAGCTCTCTCACATCGGTTGCATTGCATTCTCAACAATAAAACGTTCAAAAAGGACGACATTATTTGATTGTTTCTGGCCATTTTTGAACTGACCAGTATCACTACGCCTCTCCACGTGGCACACAGACGCCACCCGATCGAGATACACCAAGAAACATGGCCGACCCCTCGGGCAACAACAATGCGCCTAATAACTGGCAGCGGCAGCAGCCGCCGTTGCAGTTCCACATCAGACAGGATTCGCGACCCAATGAGTCCATCGACATTGAGAGGCTACTCTCGTCAGCTTTCTATCCCGGCGCGGACTCCAACTATAATCAGAATGATCCGGTAGGCACCAAAGCTCCCTCCCTTTAATTCAATGGCTAACGAGCTCGGCGCAGTCGCCATCCAATAGCACAAGCACATTCTTCATTGAGGAGGAAGGCGTCGATTTCTCGGAACAAATCGGCGCTGGCGACGAAGAGTCCCCCGATAGTAACACAGCCGCAAAGAATAAGCAAAAGGCGCCCGCGCAAGGGAAAGGTTCAGGCTCCAAAAGAAAAACAGACGCTGGTAGCAGCGACGCGCCCGGCGAGGTACGAGACTACCCCGCCCCCGTGCTTGAGGATGCCCATTCTAACAACCACCCTTCTCCAGCGCCGACGAAAGCAGATCCGCGAAGCGCAGCGCGCCTACCGACAGCGAAAGATATCACAGACGGCCTACCTCGAAGAGCGCGTGAAGCAGCTCGAGGGCGCCATTGAGAACATGAGCACTGTCGTGCTCTCCTTTAGCGAGGAGCTCATCGGCTCCAACATTCTGGCTTGCCAGAGCGAACTGACAAGCCGTCTCCGCGACGCCCTGGCGACCTGCCTCACGCTGGTCCGCGAGACGGGCACCGGCTCGCTGGAGCAGACGGAGCCGGCCGGCGCCCGCGTGGCGCTGGTGCCGACGATCTCCCCCACCTTGCCCAACAAGCCGATCAGCATCAAGAACATCTTCGGCACCAAGCCGTACCCGGACATGAATTCGAACATGACCGTCGCCGCCTTTATGGACATGCTGACCACGTCGGCCGTCTACTACGGCTACCTCGCACTCGCCGACCCCACGCTCTCGGCCACGCGCCTGCACCGCCACTTTGGCCTCCCGCTGCAGCTCATGACGCGCGACAAGCTGCTGTCGTACTTTGCCGCCCTCTTCCAGGCCCGCCTGACCCGGTCCCGCCTGGGCGAGCACACGAGCAAACCCGGCATGCCCTTCTTCAGCATCGGCGGGGCCGGCACCCACTACTCGCCGGCCCTCGCCTCGGCTTCGTCGACGGGCGCCGCGGCGCCGCTCAGCCTGCCGTGGGCCAACACGGCGGACCAGTACGAGACGTGGTCGCCGCGCAATAATTCGTGGACCGTCGCGATGGACCCGTCCAACGTACCGGCGAATTTGCAGGATCGCTTCGAGGGCGACTGGTTCGACATGCAGGACCTGGAGCTCTACTTGCTGGAAAGAGGCGTCAGCCTGCGAATGAAGGCTAATAACGAGTCAGTAGGAGATATCAATGTTCCGTTGTTTATACGAGGTGAGAACTCCTGCCATGAATCTTACTTGCGACCAATCAGACTAATTCCTCTGCCAGGCTTGATGTTGAATTCGACCTGTCTAGGCCAGAGTCCAGGGTTCCGGCGTCGAGATGTCGAGGTGGCGCTGACTGCCGCCCAGTCCGGGCCGCCAGCGTAGCTCCAACATCGATCCTCAAGAACAATTGTATATATAGTACTATAATGATGCAGGCCCTTGCGAAATGAAAGATGCACCCTTCGTGCTGTTTCATTATTCATTGTCGTGGCATTGTCAGCCCGCGAAACGCTCTACACTCCCGTCAGCGTCAATACCCGGTATTAGCCGCTGGTGTACCAGCAACCGTCACCAGCCTTGATCTTTGCCGCTTTGGCTTTGTGACAAGTTACTTGTTCATTATTGACACTCCACATATGCAGGCGTTGAGAAATCCCGGATTGTTCGGGGAACAACGTCCGACCTCAAGCTCCGACATCGTTTTTCAACCGCACTCATCGTTCTACTCGTCTCGTCGCGGCTATCAAACGAAAAGATCTTAAATTAGCCGAGGAGTTGATCAATCGGGAGTGCACTCTGAAAAATACACTCCTACCCACGTCACCCATGGACCTAGCCTGCGGACAGGGCGACGAGTCTTCTGGCATTGTCAACATGATGCTTCGCCGCAGAACTTCCCCGTTCGGCTTACGGTGCCCGAGAACGGGTCGCCTAAGTCGAAGCCGAGAAAAAGCGGCGCGAAATGGTCGCTGGGGCTGATTCGCCTTTTTGCAAAGTCGGATATCACCTCTCAGACGACTCTCGCTACGAAGTGGACACTTTACCAGTGTACTTGGTCACTGCCAATAATGGCGAATTCACAGAGCCAGCACAACCTCCGAAGCAGGAAGGGCCTATTACATAGAATTACAAGCACTTATAAACAATCCTAAGCTTCGCGGGCCATAACGCTTACCAAATACAATAAAAGGTGTTGTAGTAGACAAATTCTTTCTTCGCCACTGTGAATGTGGAGTTTTGCTTCAGTCCCACCTGCCATGTGTAGCACCACCATCACCAGCCGCCTATGACATACGGACCGAAGATGTTTATATGGAATAAGTAGCTGTTCAGACTCTCGAGTAGTTTTGATTAAACCTGTCTCCTGGCGCTCGGCAGGTAATGGTGGGAAATGCTACTGATCGCTTGTTACCCTAGAGTAAAGCCGCCATCTGCGCCACCTACGCTATCTATCCCGAAGTGTTTGTAGTTACATTCAGAAGAGAAATCGTCAATTTCCCCGGCTTTGTAAATTGTAGGTGGAATTTCCTGGAACAAACTACAGGTTCCTGCCTAGATCGTCCAGTATCGAATTACTGTCTGGAGGCGGCACTGCCTTGACAGTGGGGCCAAGTTGCCGCCCCGCGCCAACAAGCTCCGACAGATCTCCAACAACGCAACCTGTTTCAACCCCAGCCTGTTTGTCCTTTACATCTTCACCCTCAGCTTATTGCGCTTCAATTCACCACCCTCTACCTAGAAAACACCTAATATCGACTATTGAGTCCTGATCCGCCTAACCCTCCCCATTCACAGCACACCGACAAGCTACGTCACCATGTCCCGAGTTCCACCTCCTGGAGGCCCTGGCCGAGGCCTCTTTGGCGGCGGCAGCCTGCCCGGGGGCAACCCTCGACCACCACCTCCTGGCCAAGCATATGGAGGCGGCCCCGGATATGGCGATCCTCGTGCTGGCCAGAGACCACCACCCTCCCAGCCGCGATACGGCGAGAAGCCTCCCGGATCTCCTGGAGGCGGGCGCCAGGTGCCGCTCCAGGTCGAGAAGGTTGCAGACAAGACTCTGCAAGTGAAACTAATTTACAGCAACATGTAATTTCAGGAATCCGACCGATTTGATGCGACAGGAAGCTTACGTCTTACAGATGCGCCGTTTCGCCCGAAGACTTCCCCACGAGCCGCGACGGATCCGACCTCTACATTCTCATCCGCGGCGGTGACCCAGTGGGTGAATATGTCGTGACTGCCAAGCCCATTCCAGGCTTTCCCTCCGGCTGCGTCAGCTTATCGGACCCCCAGCGTAGCTGGACGGGCATCACGATGCGCGACCAGTTCACCGGCGAGATCTTCGATCCGTTCCGGTCTGGTGGCAAGGCGTACCTGGGCTCTGTGGACCTTGAAATCGGCTTCGCATCGGTAGGCAAAAAGACCGATGTGCCGTATGATGAGGACGAACTCGCCAAGATATTCATGGACACATATGGAAACCAGGTGCTGGCGCCTGGCCAGCCCTTGATCATGGATGTTCGCAACATTCCTCTGCGCATCACTGTCAAGACCGTTGGGCTGGTGGATCTCGCAATGAGTGGCGAGGAGGGCTCTCAGAAGCGGAGAGAGGCCCATGCCCGTGGCATTTTGACAAACCAAACACGAGTCCTCTTCCACCGCGATGGCAAGGGCGATTTCAACCTCAAGCCGTCCATGAACAAGCCCAACTCCAACGCGATTCTGGCTCCCGACTTCAAGTTTGAGGATATGGGTATTGGTGGTCTTGGTGATGAGTTTGCCACCATCTTCCGTCGTGCGTTTGCGTCTCGTGTGTTCCCTCCTGGTTTGATAGCCAAGATGGGCATTCCCCACGTCAAGGGTATGCTGTTGTACGGACCGCCGGGAACCGGTAAAACTTTAATCGCTCGACAGATCGGTAACATGTTGAATGCGAGACCGCCCAAGGTCATCAACGGCCCCGAGGTGCTCAACAAGTACGTTGGTCAATCGGAAGAGAATATTCGAAAATTATTTGCCGACGCTGAGAAGGAGTACAAGGAAAAGGGCGATGAATCCAGCCTTCACATCATCATTTTCGACGAACTGGATGCTGTCTGCAAGCAGCGTGGTTCCGGCGCTGGCGGCGGTACTGGTGTGGGTGACAGTGTTGTCAACCAGCTGCTCTCGAAGCTTGACGGTGTTGACCAGCTGAACAACATCCTACTGATCGGAATGACGAACCGAAAGGACATGATTGATGATGCACTGCTTCGTCCTGGCCGTCTGGAAGTGCATCTCGAGATTTCTCTGCCTGACGAGGATGGTCGTCTGGAAATTCTCAAGATTCACACCTCCAAGATGAAGACGAACGGTCTCCTGGACCCAGACGTGAACCTAGAGGAGCTTGCTGGTGTGACAAAGAACTTCTCGGGAGCCGAGTTGAACGGTCTAGTCAAGGCGGCCGCGTCTTTCGCCTTTTCTCGACACACGGAGGTTGGGCAGCTAGCGGCTGTGAAGCAAGATGTGGCCAGCATGAAGGTCAACAGGGCCGATTTTATGAATGCCTTGACCGAAGTGCGTCCTGCTTACGGTGTTTCGGAGGCTGAGCTGGAAGATGCTGTTCGTCTAGGTATTCTGCCGTACGGTGGGCACATCAACGCGACGATCCAGGAAATGATGCGCGTGGTGGGCATGATTAAACAGGACCCGAACAAATCTAACTCGTCGGTGCTGTTCCACGGCCCGCGCGGGTCTGGAAAGACGGCACTCGCAGCACACATTGCGACGCAGTCGGACTTTCCGTTTATCAAGATGGTTACGCCAGCGGACCTGGTGGGCTACCGGGATGACTTTGCCAAGAAGGACTACGTGCACAAGGCATTTGCAGATGCGTACAAGTCCCCAGCTAGTATTCTCATTCTAGACGACTTTGAACGTCTGATTGGTTGGAACCCGATTGGATCGCGGTTCTCGAATGTGATGCTGGAGGCTCTGACGACGCTGATTGTGTCGAAGCCACCGAGGGTATGTTTATGGTGCACGCAAGGCTGATGAAAGTAGCTAATTATGTGTACAGGGACACCGTTTGCTGGTGTTTGTGACGACATCCAAGGCGTCGGTGCTCAAGATGCTAGAAGTAGACCAGGATTTTGCAAAGAAGGTGGCGGTGCCGGCGGTGTCAAACCTTCGGGAGCTGGGCAACGTACTACACGAGTCCAAATCGTTTAGCAGCGGCGAGATCAGCCAGGTCATTGGGATGGTGCAGGAGCGGTCGAACGAGGAGAATGTGGGCGTGGGTATCAAGAAGATTCTGGACTGCATCTTTGAGGCCAAGGCAGGGGGGGCGAGCAGCAACGTGCTGGAGACGTTTGTGGACCTGCTTGTTGAGAATATGAATGATTTGAGAGGATAAAGGACGGCGCGTAGTCGTTTTGGAGAATATAGACACGTATCAAAAAGAAGCAAAGGAATACATTTGCTGGGAGCATTGGCGGTCAAGGAAAGATTCGCTATGCAGGGATGATGCCGATTGTCAGTGACGGACGTTTCCACAGTAATTAACTAGACAAATCGTTCTCTTTAGTTCATGGAAGAATTGAATATGCAAAAAAGGTGTGTACTGTCATCTGTACACTGTAATTATTATACCGCAAAGAGACATAAAATGCAAGACACGAGGATGTTTATGCGGGAGGATGGAACAGGGAATCCCGATTGCATATCCATCTGGAGCCAGGTTGAACGGGCTAGTTACTTTGCTACCAGGCCCAGGGCATCTCATTACCAGATGAGCGGGTTCGGCCGGGATTCGAGACGCAGGAGAAGGGGGGCCAGCTGGCGGAGAGAGATGTGTGAGATGCGGATGCGGGCATGACGCAAGGCTGGTACGAGGATATTCTACGTGGTGATGGGGTTGGTATCATGGCATGATGGACGAGTAGACGCGGTCAAGTCACTGAGTTATTGCTATTTGCCGAAGGGCGCCATCCGCGGATGACGGGTGGTACGAGTAATGTGCGACAAAGAAGCGAGAAAAAAGGCGGAGAGGAAACGGGCAGTAACGTTAGGTGGGCGAGTCGGAAGCTGGGAAGCTGAGGTTGAATGAAATGCATGTTTCGTAAAGGGGAAAAAAAGACGGGAAAAGAAAGGAGGGTTCTTTGTGTGTTAGCTAACTAGCCTTGTCAAGCGTTGGGCGAAGGATGGATGATTTGAATAGATATTTGAAGGAACATTCAACTTGAGCTAGATTTGCGAGCCTGTCATTGTGTATTTAAATGCCCCGATCGGCAAACGATTGAATGATACCCTCGTTGCTCTCCGAATACACCCGCAGCTCGACCTGTCCATCATCATTCAAAAAAGTGTTTGCCTGAACAAATTTCCATGGCGGTTCAGGCTTTGAGGCGACAATCTGTCTCCAGACTTCGTACTCCCCATCAACAGCACTGAGGGACTCATAGAACGGCCTACAGGCATCAACATCCGCGGTACAACGCCACACATGGATATTATGAAGAATGCGACCAATGGAGGACTTTCCGTGGGTAGCTATTTTGGACCGGTCGACATGGACATGAAGTACCCCTGCGGTCGCATCACTATGCACCGTGAAAAGGCCATCAGCATCAGCCATCAAATGCTTGAAAATGGCGTAGTTTGCCTTCGCCCAAGGTTAGCAATAGTCATTTTGTCGTTGGTGAGTATGCATACGTTGGCGTGCGGGCTACCCCATGCCTGTTCTTCCACATTGAATGCTTGGAGGGCACGGAGACCCTCAACCCCAATGTGGAGGTACATGTTATAGATGACTAAACATTGTTAGAAAAGCAAATAAATCGACCTACTGCGAGGGCGGGGGGCGAGTGCTTACGCTCATCTGCCTTGATGTCGCTGTCATCATCATAGCCATACATAGAAAGCATGTCTTTTCCTTGTCCGAGATAATAGGAAATAAGCATTGCTCTGCACTCCTCAACCGTGCCGGCCAGCTTCTCAAACACGCTTGTCCAAGTCTGCCCAGGTCGATACCACGACACGATTGGCTTTCCCGTCAATGAATTGACTGGCGGGTTGTTGTGATCAAAATTGTAGACACCAGCGATTGTCTCAGAGATGAGTTTGCCTGTGCCATGGCCCAGAAGCTCATGAATCGAGGTCGTAATGAAACGAATGATGTGGTTGATCCTTTTGAACTCGTGCTCCTGAGACGGATGAACCCAGTGGAATGGCCGATTTGGATCTGCATTGGCACTCATTCGATTTGCATAGACAATATTTTTGAACCCGCATGTCTCACGAATGTCGTTGTACTTTGTTTCCCGACACGTCAGCTAGATGAGAGAACCTTGGGCCGTCGTTTACTCACGTTGGGTACGTTGGAAGCCTCCCAGACATTGCTGCATACAAAAGAAAGTGCTGCGAAGGATGATTAGACTAGTCGGCGGTATTGTGTACGACTTGAGTAGCTGACCATGCACAATCGAGAAATGAGGGGCCTGGAACTCGGACTTCTCAAAAGGGCCTTTTCCATCGTTGACATCAGACACTGCCCATGGAAGTTTTCGAATAAACTCGGTTGAGTTTTCCACGAGCGTTGACAACTTGGCCGTTTCCTGTAGGTCAGCAACACTAATAACACCTCTCCACTCGCACCTCACGCCGTATGGATCTCTGTAGGGCTCGACAAAGCCAAAGATGATCTCCACCCTCGGATTGTAGTCTCGGACCCAGCGCTTCATGGACCTTCGATAGGCCTCCAAGCTTCCCGTAGTAAAGCTTTCAAGATAGTCCATAAGCATATGAGCTTGAGTATCATTGGCGGAGAAGCGTATGGCCTTTGAAATGTGTTCACAAATCTTGGAGATTTCGTCCGAGTGGTCTCCTCGCCGAAGTCGAACAGTTGCGTTGTTCCACTGCGGACCTTCGCTCCCTAGTTGAAGATCCTGGATGGGAATGGCGGATCCCTTGAGATGACTCTCAAGCTCAGTGTTGGTATGCGCGGAAGCCTGAAGGATGTCGTAGAAAACGTGACCATCCTCAACGCGCTTAGAGATTCTCGTGTTCTCCGGCTCTATGGCATTTCTCTCCATGACACGAGCAACTGCAGCAATCTCATCTTTCGTGATCTTGGAGCTGCCAGGGTAATACGTTGAGTCGGCAAGACTCAGAGTGTAGGGGGCGGGAGATAGCATTTGATCAATGATACTCTCTAGAGCAGTTGTGGCTGCGGACGAGATGCTCGCCATTTTGCGGAGAGTGTCCGCCGAAACTTGAGGCACAATCTTTCTGTCCCCCTCTCCCTGTAATGAAGATTAGTTATCTAGCCAGCATCTCATACAGGGAGGAAACTTACACAAAAGTTGTTCAGCCTGGACATGAACATACCGCTGTAGTCGAGGAACTGTTCCATTTCCTCGGCGGATATCCCTAGGAGCTGCACGAAGCGATGCCATTCTCCCTCACAAGCCTTGTGCAGTTCTAAGATGAAGTCGAAGATGCCAACACCTTCAAACGAGGTTTGACGGAGAATGATTTTGCTGCCATGCCACGCAGCATGTGAGAGGTGATGAGCATAGAGCTTCTCATTCTGCGAAAGACGGTCAAACACCTCCTGGATTGAGAGCTGATAGGTCGTCACAGCGTGGTGAGATGAGCCTGGCGAACCCATTCGGCTAATTGGTTTGGGACTTGATTCCGATTCCCGTTCTCGGCTTTAGTTGAACAAGAAGGCTGTTGTGCTGGTGCGAGGTTGGCAGGCAGTCGCAAGCCCAACTTTGACTGCTTTGTCCCGAGGAATGGCGGGGTAAACGTTGGAAAAAATACGGCACACCAAGCCAGGAAAAGAACGACTGAATGAACAAAGGAAAACTGCAAGCGGGGGAGGGGAGGGGGGGCTGCTCGTGCCATCGACCCATCGCGAGCCGTACCAGTGTTAGCTACCTAGTTAACACCAGATGACCGATTCTCCCTTTATTTTGCTTTTTCTCTCTGCCCTTCTTCTCGCCCTCCGTGTCTTTTTTGTCCCCTCAAGGCTGGCTGATGCAGCGTCGACGAACGGTCTCGCTCTTTGGGCTATTTTAGCCTCTTCGGATGGCGGGGCCGTTTAGACACCAAGTCCCACCTTGTCCACCCCGCTAAAATGCTGGGCCTCCAGCACAACTCTTGATATTGGTAGATAACCAATAAATTCATAACTCCCCTGGTCCGTAAATGTCATGTATTTACTCTTTGTCATAGTGCCAGTGCACTATGACCCACTGCATCTCTGGTCGACGGCATTCTTCACCGTCACGTCACCATCCTGTCGGGTCAGCATACCATTTGTATCCGTAGACTTGATTCAATCCCACAGCATTCAAATCACTCAACAACACACTCTTGTATTTCTACCAAAAACGGCAGAACTATGTTTTACTTCACTAGCTAGCCTCGGTAATCCGTACTAGGTAGTTATGCATTGATCTCGTGACCAATATCGAACACATAGGTAGTCACCTGTAATACATACGTCATACTCTGCACCTCGTAGTACAAGCAAAACCCCTGCTGGTCTGTATAACCACCGCAAACTATTGAAGCCCGGAAAGACCTTTCCGGTCCCCAGCAAATCATCTCTGTGTAATTCATCTCAAACCAGAAGTATCTAATGAGACTTGTCTATTCACATCCATGCAGATGCATATGGCACCCCGAGGGAGGCATTAAATCAGCCTAAACGGACCGGCCCGCCTCCTAACCAATCGGACGAATACAAATTAGAGGAGGGAACGAAGTACTTAGAAGAGGGGCCCATACGTCTCTCGGTGCTTGCATCAGCTGCCTGCCTTGCCAATTAATTCGCAGAAACCCTGTTCTTTCGCGCCTGATAGAGTTGCAAGTGTTGCAAGTTTCAAGTCAAAATGGACACCGCTGCATTGTAAGTATTACAGCTCAACGCATTCTGGGGGGTAACACCTGACTAGTTAATTTTTCTTTCAGATCTCTGGACACTGATAGCTTGTGCTTGATGGGAGTTCTTTCGTTCCTGATGCCGGATAACATTCCCCAAGACTTGTTCGAACCTAGTGACGATAAAAACTTTCCTGAAGATCTCAAGTTCTGCTCAGATGGGTTCAGGTGAGTCTTACCCATTCTTATATCCGCGCTCTCTTCTCATGCAGCGACTAGTCTTGCGGCGGTTCTACGGAAACTGCTCACTGTAGCACTCATCAAGCGAGACAGAGACACGCGCACCATTACGATCCACAGAATGGTTCAGACACAGCTGAAGCAATACCTCAGTCAACACGATCGCCAGCGAAGCTTTAATAATACTGTCATGCTGCTCTACAAGGCCTTCCCTACCGAGGACCTTTCCACGGGTCAGCTTTACGATCGATGGACACTATGTAATCAATATCTTCAACACGTGTTGAACCTTGGGGGCTGCTTTTCTGAAGAGATCAAGAGATCTCAGAAGTTTCAAGCCCCTTGAGTTCTGCTATCTGCTTTCATCTTGCCAAAGGTGCCCCCCCTCCCCTCGCGTGATTGCGTTCGATTGCTGAAATTGATTGGACAGGTATCTTTCTGAAATCAATGAAATGACAGAAGTTGAGCGTCTCTGCGAAATCAATCTCAGAGCGCTGGATAAGCTGGAAGATGGGCCGAAGAAGGACGACTTGAAGGCGTCGATACTCAGCCACCAGGCACAAGCCGCCGAGAGCCTTGGCGACCCGATTAGGGCAATTGAACTGAACAAAAAAGTCTATGACATTCGGCTTAGTGAGCAGCCGCCTATAAAAGTCTTACTCTGTTACACTGCCAACAATCTTGGCTATTGCCATAACACTGCCAACTTGCATGCGGACTCGGAAAAATGGTTCGAAAAGTCTGGAGAATGGTGGGAGACAATGCGCAAGGCAGATGAGGAAACTCGCGATCGACCTGCTCGGCATCTCCAAAATCATGCCCGTTGCTTGGTGTACCTTGGCAAGTACGACCAAGCTAAACATATGTTCGAGATTTCGGTAGACAGACTGAAGACTGAGAAGCCACTAAATTGGGCAATGCTCGGATAGTATGATGAACAGTCCTTACGAGTACACGTTCTTTCACTAACAACAATCTTCAATTAGTGCCTTTTTTGGGTTAGCGACAATGAACCGGCGCCAACGAGACTTCGAAGCTGCAGAGGCGCACTACATCGAGGCTCAAAGCGCTTGGCTCAAGGGCGATCAGATGCGGGCTCACCCTTTCTTTGCTGGATGCCTGCACAAAGTTGGAGTTTGCTGTCTGGACCAGGGTAAAATTGAAGCAGCAATGTGAGTAGCCTGGCCCTTGATCTGCCCCCTCGATCCGGGAGGAAACGTCGCGACACGGCGGCTTAGACTGACGCGGGGCTGTAGCAAACATTTGCGAGACTCGTTGGAGATGACGAAAGTCCGCAGACTCGACAGGCCTGTCGAACATGCCCGCACTCTGTTCAAACTTTCCGAAGCTGTACTGCAGGACAGCATGAACGATAGTCAAGCCGAAGCGCTGACTCTTCGGGAAAAGGCAGAAAGTATACTTAAAGGGGCAAAGCCTGGCGTAACTCGCTGCGATACCGACGACGCCTATAACAATTTTATACCAATCTTTTGGAGATAGTTTAACACTTATGATCACCTATGGGCTACCAAGACGATGAGGCTCATACTCGAGCGTCTTGTCGAATGGTGGCACCAAGGTGATTTGCGGCGCTTGGACAGTCATTGATACCTGCGACTCGCAAAATAAAAAGTGGTGTGAGGGGCGCTGCCTCCTCCCTCCCCCCGATTTGGCCCACCTCTTCCAGCCACGGTGTCGGTCAAGCGGCGGCCACGGGCTGTGGTCCACGGGATGCTCCCACGCCCGTTTTTGCTTCTTATTTTGTTTCGTCGCGAATCGGGAAATGCGGATACAGTGCGCGAAGCCCATCCACGTCTGGTGATGTAATTGAGTATCTGGTCAGTCTCTCTGACGGCCATTGTCGTATTCTAATCCCCCCCCGCCCTCTGCCCCGCCAAGTGCACTGACTTGTTCCCGGCCACCTCCTTTGCATCTACATAGTTACAGACACAAGCACGGCCGAATGGACACTGGATACGTATGTAGGTAGTGTGTACGTGTACAAAATGCATAGACATTCCCGCCTCTTTTCATGCACCTACGCGTCCATGCCATGATGGAGATGCCGCTTCCCTTCCTCTTTTGTACCTTTGTCCATCGCCAACAGCCATGCAGCCAGCCATCCCGGACTCGCCCGCTCCCAACGACAGGGTTTCGTGTAATGCGCAACCGTCTTGGCGTCAACTTGCGCAACCAACACTACGCGCAAAAGCATTGGTGCTAGCAGGGGTCTTTTGGGAGAAGAGAATGATAATATCCTGGTCAGAGGGAAATACTGGTAATCATGAAAGACGAAAAAAAAAGGAACCTGGTTGTGCACAGTGCTGCCTTGCCCACCCCCAGCCAGCTGCCAGCTGCCAGCTGCCAGCCCGCCTGCTGGGACCGCCACCACTTTAGTTACCTACCTACCTAGGTATGTATGTACCTAGGTACCTACCTTAGGTTAGTAGGTTAGTACTTAGCTTGCTCCCACACAAGTATGCCAGTTCAACGGTCAACCAACGTTTGTGTCTGACCTCCTCGTCTTCGTCCTTTCTTCTTGCTTGCCATCTCTCTCGTGCCTGGCCTCTCCAACTTTCCGATTTCTCTCTTCTTTCAGCGACAACTCTTCCTGCGACATCTCGACCATCTGTGAGCTGCTCTGCCCGGCGCCGCGACTATCCTGAGCTGCTCTGTCCTCCCCAGCCAACCTGCCTTGGCAGCCAAAAAAAGCTCTCCCACCCATCCGCCGTCGACTGCAACCACCTTTGCTCTGCCTTGTATGTGGGAGCCTCGTCTGTCCTCCAATCCACTAGTTACCACCACCACCACCACAAACCTCGTCTGCACATCACCAACAAGACTCGACCAGCTTCTCTTATTCCCGTCGCCATATTCTCTAGAAGCGCGTCACCTCCACCACCAACCCAATAAAGCTAATGCGCACGCTCAGCAGCTGTCACATCGATCCCACCTGACACTCACCATACACACCCCCGACCCTGTACGCAAACCGCCGCCTCCTCCGCCTGCGACGACCTCTTCACCTCAACACACGGTCTACCGTCGAGACTCTGCGCTCGGCGGAGCCGCTGTCCCTCGCTTCTTCTTCTTCCTCCTGCCAGCTCCAGTCCTCTCGCGCGACCAGCCGCCCCCATCGGTCATGACAGCCCCCAACAAGTCCTCCAAGAGGTCATTGCCCAGGGCTGCCACGTCTCCTCTCCTCATATCCGTCTCGTCCTCCTCAGCTGCCACCGCAACCTCATCCTCCGCAAAGCCTACCGCGCACAGGCTCCTCCGCAAACCCTCTGTCAGCAAGCAACCTCTCGTCCCCCTCACCGAGGCCCGCCACTACCACCACGGTCCATCTGCCTCGCGCGCAACCGCAAGGGACACTGAACCCGAAAAGTTGGATGCCACCTGCGACAACCCTTCCGCGGCCCGTGACGGACGCCAGTTTGCCGTTGCCAATGTGGGAAACAATGGGCGCATCTACCTAAGGTACGTGAAGCATGCTATCCCGGCGAATCCTGCAAACGTAGCTTTCTTGTTCTGCCCAGCGGGTCGCCCGTCACAGACCTACACGGGGATGCCCCTTCTAGTTTGCAAACAATTGCCCCAAAATTCAACTTCGACCGCTAATGCCGGCTCTTGCGCCAATCACAGACCCTCGGTCCGTCGAAATCATTCCATATCGCGCCCCCAACAGTCCTATAACCTGCCGGCTTCCCCTCCACAGTCCTTTGAGGCACCGCCAGTTTCCTTCAACCAAGGTCGCATCCCCATTAGGCCACCCGATGCCCATCCCGCACCATGGGTTAACGCACTGCAAGACTCACCCGCCAGCGGGAGCTTGGCCAGTCTCCCTGGCTCGCGTGCCGCCAGCCAACGCGGCCGTCACCGTCGCGCTCTGTCTGACAGCACCATCCACGAACTAACCGCTCCCAAGACGGCCGATTCCGCTGCCGTCTTGGCTGCGCCAAAGATCTCCATCGACGACGCCCGCCCCCGCACCATGGACAATCTCGCCGCTGCTACGCCGCTCCTCGACATCAACATTCCCAACTGGCGCCTCGGCACCCCTCAATTTACCGTTCGCGGCACCGCCCTCATCCGTGGCTCGTCTTACGCCCCAACAGAGGATTTGCGCTCAAGCTCTGCTTCCATGCTCAACACGCTACCCCGCAGTCACCGACCTACCGCAGAGTTTACATATAATAAACCGACAGGAGTCTTTCTTACACCGGGGGATGTCACTGCGCATGCTATCCCAAGGAGCCCAGGCCGTCCACCTTCGTCTTTGAGGCTACGCGATATGCGATCCACCCAGCTATCTACTGATATCAACATCGAACCCGACATGTTTACCGACCTCACCTTTCGTCCTGCCTGCGACGACCGCCGGCTCGTTCGCTATACTCCCTCCACCGGCGCTGTTGCGGCCGCCACACCGCCGCGGCTTGTTGCCGAAATCACATCGCCAAGCTTCCTCGATTATGAGCTGATATCCGACTTTTTTCTAACCTATCGATCTTTTCTCGACTCACTCAGTCTTTTGCACATGTTGTTTGCGAGAATGCGCTGGGCTTTGGCGCGCAAAGATGAAGTCGGCATGATTGTTCGCGTCCGCACTTTCGTCGCCACTCGACATTGGATCCTCAACTATTTTACCGACGATTTTCTCCTCAACTACGACCTTCGAAAGCACTTTTGCGACTCCCTCAACGCCGTAGTCAACGATCTTTCCGACAATGTGCAGACTAGGACTGTGCAGCTCAGAGTCATTGCCGAACTGAAAAAGTGCTGGCGCAGGGTTTGCGCACACTACTGGGATGGCCCAGACTTTGACGACGCACTCGGCGTCGAAACTACTGTCGTACCTGGCGGCATTGCCGGCCATCGCGATCCCACCCTGACCCCGTCATATTGGCAAACTGTGGGAGGCCAGCCGCCACTCTCCCCGTCTATGCTCAACCATCATGGTCCCGACGTTGGCTTTTCCACCGACCCAAACAAGACTCCCAAGATTGGCGACTTCATCGTCTTCGGTGATCGACCTCTGACCCCAGAAAATATTGCTATTGACCTGGCACGTGCGCAAACATCGCCTCGCAGCATAGATAGCGCAGATGTCGTCTCTTGCCCGTTCCCGGGCAAGGCTCTGAAGACCACGCAATCTCATGCCAACCAATGGGCTGCTCATCCTCACCCAGTGCCGGCGACAGCCCAACCGCCACAGTTTGGGGTGGCATCTGTCCCTTCCCGAGCCTTCGCTAACAAGAAGGCCCGCCATGGACATTCGCACAAGCGTAGCAACAGTGTCAATGACTCGCTCGGTTCCAATGAGGTCGACCCCCCCACTCTTCTGCCACCTGCTGGCAGTCTCGTTCGCGGCAACATTCTGCCTCCCGGTCAAGCCTTTGTCGACACTTCTGCACAAGACTGTGGCGGCATGGCTCATCGCCAGACGACTATTTTCACGCCCCCGTCTCGACGCGTGTTTAAGGAGAAGCCATTCCACGGTGCCATGTCTGGGATCGGCATGAAGAAGCTTCTCGCCAGCGTGAGGCGCGCACTGAGCGCTCGCGGACAGGTCACTGCCCCCACGCAGGCCAACCTGACACGCATCTCGCCGGTCGGACCGCGTCATGTGGCCTCGAGCCGACTACCTGGTACAGCTGTCGTTCCTCAGGAAGAAGCGCAGCACCACGGTGGTCGCCCCGCAGTCCGCATAGATCTTTTAGGCGCGGAAGTGGCCGAGGACTTCAAAAAGGCAGTGCGCGAAGAGCAGGCAGAGGTTGCTGTTTCCGTGCCTGCTGGTCCCCTGTCTGCTCCTTTGCCGCAGGAGGCAGGTCTTGGCTTCCGGTTCGATAGCCTGCCTTCCATCCGGCATCACCGTCCGACTAGCGATATGGGCATCACCACGGGCAGCCAGTCTATTGTCATTTTTGACGACACTGTTCCCTTTGAAATGCCGCGTGGCAGGATGCTCCAGCATGCCGACGGACATTCTGTCGAGACTCTCACTGACTCGTACATGCCTGCCACCTCTGATCCTACCCCGCCAAATACACCTCCCAACGTCAATCGTGGCACTCGTCGATCTTCGTATCTCATCCACCCGCGATCGCTACGAAACCCCGACGTCCTGCCCCCTTTTATTCCCGACCTCGCAACCCTTCAGCAGGAAGATGGCTCTCAAACATCAGAAGTCATTGGTAGACCTTCCTTTGCTTCATCTCGTCCAGGTCGACGCTACCCACCTCTCAGCGGTTCCACGTTTCGAATGCACAGACGCACCCGCTCCTCCAAGGCACATCAATCTTTCAAGCCAATGCCGCGCCGTCGCCACAGCTCCGTCAGTAGCGGCCTAGTGCCCCCATCTACCGTTCTCAGCTTGGATGCCGAAACGCTGTCCGATATTTATATGGGCGATTCGCTAGTCCCAGTCCCGGAGCCTCTACATGTGCTTCGCCGCCGCCCTGGTGGTGATTTGCGAGCCGCTACGAGTGCTCGTGAGCTCGATAACAAGCTTCTAAGAAGGTCACAATCTGTCGGGTCCCTCGTCACCTACTCGGAGTCTGTTCGCAGCATGAGCTTTTTCGGAGAGGCCCCCGATTCTAACTTTGACGATGCCGAGTCCGATTATGGCGACTACCACGTAGAGCGCCAAGAAGTCTTTTCAGTTGGTCAACTGACGAAGCAGCAACCTAAGCAGGCACCGAATCTCTCACTCTTAAGCACGCATTCGTCCTCTAAGCCACAAGCACGACCTTCCTTCGAGGCCGAGGCCCAACGACTCGCCCAGATCCCAGACGACGAGGACGACGGCGGCATTGAATCGGCTCTGCTCAAGCTAGAAGGGAAGTTCAACCGGGGCTCCAAGGGTAGCACAGCACAGGCAGACAGTGAAGAAATTGACATTGAGAAGCTGGGTCGTGCCCTTCAGTTTCTCGGCGGCGTGCCAGCGGGCAGCACAGTCAGCAGACGCCACCAAGTGTCCAAATCGAATGCGTCGAGCATGGGTCCTGGCACAACGGAGGATCTTTCTGTCCCACGAAGCGATGTCACGGGGGTTCGCTCATTCCTTTCGGAAGCATCCATGGACTCGTACAATTTGATTCCGTTATTAGACAGAGGGCTGACCGAGGATGGTGGCAGCGAACGAACCAGTAGGGGTTGGGTTGAAAAGTCTGTTCTTCGTGATTCGGAAGACCTCACCACGATTGCCAGCAGCGAACTGCCCAAGACTTCGGTACTATACGATGGTGAGTCTGTGGATAGGCAGGCCACAGCTGGCGATCCAGAGTACGATGTGGTGGAAAAGACGGATAGCATGGATAGAATCATGGCTGGCGACACGCAGCCTGTACCACGCGAGCATCAATCGTTTCTTGAAGATGAAAGCTACGCCAACTCTGATATCTCTTCTGAGATGTCGATGTCGACGCGAGAACCGACGCCAGCACAGACAACTGACAGATTTCTTCGCCCCAGTGGTAAACTACCACCGCATCCTTTAGGCGCGGCCATCACCGACTCCATGCTGCAGCCCATTTCACCTCCTCTTTCTACCCCTCGACAGCAAGCATCGCCTACTTTCCACTCTGCCAAGGCCATGTATGCATCCCGTCCGCTCCCCCATACACCCGATGCCACGCCGACGGCGCCGTTTACGCAGACGCTCCCCGGCTTGCAGTCGTCGCCCGCGGCCCTCCACACACCTCGCAGTGCAGCATCAGGCGAGGCCAATACCAACAAGTTCTCCGTGCACCTGCCCTTTATCCTCGCCTTTGACTCGGACATTCTTGCGCAGCAATTCACGCTAATTGAAAAGGACGCGCTCAACGAGATTGACTGGAAGGAGCTCATTGAGATGAATTGGAAAAACGCCGCTAGCAGCGGCGCGCGCTCATGGGTCGACTTTTTGCGGCACAGCGACGCGCACGGCGTCGAGGTGGTGATTGCGCGCTTCAACATCATGGTCAAGTGGGCCATTTCCGAGGTTGTCCTGACGCAGCACGTTGAGGAGCGGGCACGGTGCCTCATCAAGATGATTCACGTGGCGGCGCACTGCCGACGCTACCGCAACTTTGCGACGCTGGCGCAGCTGACGATTGCGCTGTCGAGTAATGACGTGACGCGGCTCACGCGCACCTGGGCGCTGGTTCCCGCACACGACTTGCGCACGCTAGCCGAGCTCGAGGCGCTGGTGACGCCGACGCGCAACTTTTGGCAGCTCCGCGCCGAGATGGAGGTGGGCACGGATACAGGCTGCATCCCGTTTGTGGGCATCTACACGCACGACTTGCTGTACAATGCCCAGCGGCCGGCCGAGGTGGTGGTGGACGAGGGCGGCGGCCGGCTGGTCAACTTTGAGCGCTGCCGCGTGGCGGCGGCCGTGGTCAAGGTGCTCTTGCGATTGCTCGAGTCGAGCACGCGCTACGATTTTCGGCCTATCGAGGGCATCACGGAGCGGTGTCTATGGGTAGGCGCGCTGAGCGATGAGGAGATTCGGGGCCATTCAGAGGCGCTCGAGTAGTGATACAACAACACACCAGTTTACCCGGCGTTCTTTTTACTTGACTTTTGGAAGCTGCAAACCAGAGCTTTCAATCTCGAAGCATGCTACAAAGCGAAAACACTTTCATCTTACGACTACACAAAGCAAGCACGCATCCCTTTCTTTTCTTTTCTTTTCTTTGAGTCGATTCGACTTGATTATTCAAGCGAAGCATGTATGTATGCATTCGTTAGCCTCGGGCATTTTCTTGCATTCTTTACTATCTTGGAGTCGGCCATCACCACCACAGCGCGGTTTTCTTTTTGACAATTACTTGTTTTTATTTGTTAATATGTCGCTACAGCCTTGCGGTTCTCATGAGTTTTTTGTTTATACAGTCGTTTGAGGAGAAAGGTTTAAGACGGTCTCTCCTCTGTTCTTTCTTCTTGGGTTGTATACACCGATGCGCAAACACTCGTTGGGAAAGTGAACTAGACTTTTTTTTTGTTTACTTGTTTACTTGTTTCGGGGTTGGTAGGATTTTACTTTTGAATGGTGGCTGTTTTTGGAGAGGAGAGGGCTTGCTCGGCTGGAGGGGGAACATGGGGATGGCTAGAGGTGAATGGAATGAGTTGGGAGGCTTGCTTTTTGATATACCCTGTGGTCTTTTGTTGCGACGAGATGGCCTACGTTTTTGGCAATTGATTGAAGTACATTTTCAACGTCATCTTGCTCTTCAACCTGCGTGATGTATACGTAGACAGGTCAATATCAAGCCCACCACGTAACGATGACACGTCTTTTGAGCAGCTCATAGCTTGCATTGACACACGCGGGAGGGACATGACAATGAACAATGAATGGCATATGAAAAGAACCGACTTTTATTGCAAGATTAAAAAAGAAGACACGCAGCCCGGGCGGGGACGACGATCAAGTCAGTCCCCTAACGCCGGCAGTACAGGGCTTTCCCTCTCCCCCCTACAGCGAAATCGACTTTTGTAAATAAAATAAAAACAGCGAGCACCACAAAGGAAATGAATCTTTCAAGTTGCGAACCAGTGAATGAAGAAAACAAAGTCGACAACCGCCGGGTGGACGAGTATCTTTCCCTCATTAGTACCAGCACAGCGTGTAACCACAAAAGACTGCATCTCTTCTTCCCAATCCCTGGCCACTTTCAAGAAAAGCGACACGCACAACAAAAGTCTTTCGTAGCTCATTTCAAAACTTAATTTTTTTCCACTCCTTTTCTTCTCCCATGGTTTTTGTAGTTCGCCATATTCCCTTTGTCGGGCTTCAGCTCCTTTTTTTTTTTTTTTCAAAAAGCAGCTTTGCATTTTTGCCAAAATCTCAGTAGACAAGTGGCACAGCAAGATGCAAGTCTACCAAGAGTCGACGGCACCCCCGTCATAGGACGACAACGGGACGCCGCCGTCAGCCGGCAAAGCAGCGTCGGCAACCGCCAGGGCATCCTGCGTTTCCTACCACTGGGAGTCCTTGGTGGCGGCATCGGCAGCCCACTCGGTGGAAGCGCCGGGGGCACCCCACTCCTCGCCGGGAGCACCGGCACCGTCCCAGCCGGCGGCACCAGTGGCGGCACCAGGGGCGTTGGAGAAGCCGGCGGCGCCGGCGGCGTCCCAGTCACCGGGAGCGGACTGGAAGCCGGACTCGATGGCGGCAGGGCCGTCCTCCTCGGCGGCCTTTTCTTCCTCGGCCTTGTCCTCAGCCTCGGCTTCAGGGTCGCGGTCTTGTTGATCGGCCTGTTAGCTTTTTCTTGTGTCTTGACCTCATCCATAGGGGATGGGGGCGGGGGCAAGGCAATTGGGGAGTTACGTACAGAAGTAAAGATCGGGCATGACGTCCCAGGCAGTCTCGCGCGAGTAAATGGTGCCGCGGAGGCGGAGGACCTCACGGGCGAGCAGCCACCAGACGGTGCCGATGGCGTGGCGACCCTTGTTGTTGGTGGGGATGGCAACGTCGACGTACTCGGTGGGGGAGTCGGTGTCGCAGAGGGCAATGACGGGGATGTTGACGTACGAGGCCTCCTTGATGGCCTGGGCGTCGGTGCGGGGGTCCGTCACGATGATGAGGCGCGGCTCCTTGAACGAGCGGGTGATGTAGTTGGTGAAGCTACCGGGGGTGAAGCGGCCGGCGATGGGGGTGGCGCCCGTGTGCGCGGCGAACTTGAGGACGGCGCGCTGGCCGTAGGGACGCGCGGAGACGACGCAAATGTCGGCGGGGTTGTCGATGCCGACGATGATGCGGGCGGCGAGGACAATCTTCTCCCTGTTTTTCGCGCCCTCCAATTAGTCGCCCATTCGGCGCTCGGAGCGTCCATCAAAACATACCAGGTCTTGCCAACGTTGAGGACGTTGACACCGTCCACACGGGTCTTCCACAGGTACGGCTCCATGTGCACCTGCAAGTTCTTGCTACCCAGGTGAGACTGGGCAGCCAGGAGCATCTCAATGTCCTGGCTGGTGGCGTTGAAAACGGACGGCAGGTTGCTGGGGGCCATCTTGACGGGTTTTGTCTGTTGTTCTGTGGTGGGAAGGGGGGGAAAGGAAAAGTGAGGGTCAGGAAAAAGTTCGCGACAATGCAAAACCGCACACACACATAGCCCACCAAAAATCAATTTCGCAGTCAAAAGTGTGTGCAAGAGCCCTGGTGGCGCTAATCCATTCAGGGCTAGCTTGCTCTGCAAAGCGAAAACGTCCAAAAGTGGTTTGACAATGCACGTGATATAAAGGCTAGACCTGTTTTGGATCGTGTGGGGCAAAACCTCCTGGTTGTCGCCAGTGTTGGGAAATTTCAAAGTCGATGCTGGGGAGAGAGACAGCTTCAACGACAGATACCCGCAACGTCCGCCACAATGCCGCCCAGATTAGAAGCGCTACAGCGTCTAGGCACGATTAACCGTAAGTCTACATCGCAATTGATGCTGCTTTTCCCCATTCCAGTCCAGAAACGGCGCGCCTCGACGGCCGTATGGGGTGGTCACAAGCACGAGCACTTGCTGAACTCCTCCCAGTCTGCCTACGACCAGCCACGAACACCCCCCGGGTAGCGCTGCTACCGCTCATCCAGACGGCCAACCTCTCGCAGCGCGAGCGCAAGCGCAAGGCCAAGCAGGACCCCTACCGGTGGGCGCAGGCCCAGCAGCGCAAAAACGCCAACCTCAAGCGCCGCGGGGAGCTGCAAGCCGAGCGCGACGCCCTCCTCGGCGACCCAATCTGGGGCCACAAGACGCCGTTCCTCGAATCGCTGGAGACGGCCGCCGAGCCCAAGACGACCACCGCCCCGGATGGTACCACCACCACGACCGAGACGCCGCGCAGCCACTTCCTCACCGACGCGGAGATGAACGAGGTCACGCAGCACGCGCACGCGCTGACCAAGCCCGTCGTGGGCGCAATCAGCGCGCAGCTCGGCGACGCGCCCGGCGAGGCCGAGGCGCAGACGCTGCACGACCGGCGGCACGAGCGCGCCGTCGAGGCGCTGCACCGCATCACGGCCCTGCAGAATGGCAGCCGCAAGGATCGCTACCACTTCAACGTGCGGCGCGTGGTGAACGAGTTTGGCCGCCACCAGACGGATGGCGTGGTGGCGCCCAAGCCGCTGCCCATCAACCCGAGCACCGTCGAGATGCCAGAGCGGGCAGGCCCGGACACGGGCTCGTCCGAGGTGCAGATTGCCATCCTGACGGCCAAGATTCGCAACCTGGCCGAAGCGCTGTCGGTGAACCGTGGCTACAAGGATATCCACAACAAGCGCAATCTCCGGCTGATGCTGCACAAGCGGCAGAAGCTCCTGCGGTACATGGAGCGGAAGGAAAAGGGCAGCGGTCGCTGGACAAACATGATTGAGAAGCTGGGCCTCACGCCGGCCATGTGGAAGGGCCAGATTGAGCTGCGATAATTGACACGATAGAATAGGGGAAGCGGGTATAATAGGAGGAGCGGAAGCATCTGTAGCATAACCTCACTTCCTACATGTACAATATGAGGCCACAAGAGCGTCAGTATAAAGCCATTGTTTTAACAAGTACTATAAAGCCCTTTCTCTCTGCGAAACGTGCTTCGTCTAACAGATTTCCGTCGACACATTAAAGCCTGGCGACGGCGCTATACTACAATGATGCTCAAAACAAAACAATTCCCAACCCGCGTTTAGGAGAAGACGCTGATAAAGTTTCCGATGCGGTCCTTTTGGTTTTGTGCTATGCACTCGGCAATCCATGTAATGTTTCGGATTTCCTGTTTCGTGTTAGTATATCGTACATGAATGAGAGTGGGTGGAGGAAGTGATGAAGCTTACCTGCTCTCGTAGCTTGACCCAGCCGTAGACAATGGCGTATGTGAATTGTCTTGTAAAGGCATTCTTGGAAATTTCCATTTCCTTTTGGTAGAACAAATCTTCGAGGCTCTTGCCATCGGTGCTACCGCCGCCCATATTGCCGGCGCCGGAGCTCCCGCCTACCGACACGGCATCGAAAAAGGTCTTGTAGTCGTGGACGCCATCCACAGCCAAGCGCACACCCTCGGCATCGTCAGCGCGGGAGAGCATCAGGGTACCTTCGGGGTACAGTTTGCCGAAGCTGGGGTAGAGCTTATTGCGGTCGGCCTTAGACAGCTCAGTGCCAAACGAGTTGAGCGTAATGTTGATGGCGCGGCGGTCCGCCTCAAACTCGAGCATCTCGGACATGACCTCAGCGGTGGGAGTGCCGGCCATGTCGGGATGCGAGTTGACAAATTGGTGAAAGTCTTCGAGGTAGTTCTTGTACAGGGTGTTGCGGATAATTTCAATGTTGAGCTCGTCGAGGTCCTGGTGGCTCAGGCTGCCCTTGAAGTACTGGGCCAGGGGCGTTTCGATCAGAACGCTGTTGTAAAGCTCTTCAATGTTGGTGGCGACGCAGAGGACGGGCATCGTCTCGAACCAGCCGAGGGGGTGACACCGGTCCAGCAGTTCGCGCGTGTCGCGCTCGTGCAGCGTGCCGGTGATGAGGAGCGCCACGTTGTCAATCATGTAGCCGTACGTAACGTAGTCCATGAATTTGGCGAGCGAGCCGACGGCATTGGCCCGGACATAGCGAAACTCGGAGATGAGTTTGTCGGTCGTCTTGGCAGCGAGGCTCGAGGTTGAGGGATTCGGAGGCAGAGAGGCCAGGAAGTCGCCATAGGCCGGACCGAGCTGGAGCTTGAGATCTATCGATGATCAGCATTTTTCTAACATTATATTGAGCCGAATAACCCACCATCGATCGTTTCGCATTGTGTCAAGTTGTTGTAGGCTGGCGTGGTGAGGAGGCCATTGCGATAACCGCGGACAATACCCTCGAGGTAGCTGCAGCGAGTTAGCTACGTGCGGCGACAGCATTTATTCTCAGACGCACCCGTTGTTGGCGTTGAAGAAGAGACCCTCCATTGTGACCGGCAGCTATTTCAGAATGCGCTCGAAGGGCAAATGTCGGCAGAACAGATATTAGGCTGGAATTGCAGGTATGAAACTAGCTCGAGCGATGCCATCCGGTTGCCTCCAGCACTGACGACAAGAGTGGTCGAGGCTCGCCGGCCACTGACGGCTGGCGGCTCAACGTGAGTGGCCAGTTGGTGGGCGCCAACTTGCGAACTTAAATCCGGAGAAACTAAAGCGCCGAATTCCGCGCTAGCCCACTTCTGCCACCCAAGTTGACACCAAATTTTTTGGTCTTGCTGAACGAGCTTGTCAAAAAAATTTCCCAACCTATTTACACCACGACTTGCGCGCGCCCATTGATCGCCATTGCGCACCGCAAGAGAGACTGACAACCACAAAGTCTTGCACAAGTGTAGCAGGGAGTATACTTATTCGCAATGTCTCTCTTTGTTCTGGCTGAGACGCCAGCAGGGTGAGAATTTTCCGTTTGCCTGGGACACCTGTATGGGGGTTCTTTTTTTGCCAGTCACTAACAGTTTTTTTTTTTTTTGCAGCTACGGCCTGTTCAAGTCTGCGGACAAAAAACTCTTCAAGAATGACGACCTCGCTGCCGAACTCGGTCGCCCCGAGAAGCTGGTGGAAATGTAGGAAGCGCTCAAAAAACATGTGTCGAGATATTGTGGTACTAATGACATCTTGCAGGCTCAAGTTGAAAAGGTTTGTCAAGTTTGAGAGCGCCGCTATGGCTCTCGAAGAGGCCTCTTCACTCAAGGAGGGCAAGATCCCGGAACTGCTGGCTTCGATCCTCGAGGATCTCAGGTCCGAGAAGAAGGCCTCCATCGCCGTCGCCGACATCAAGCTCGGTACCGCCATCTCCAACCTCCCCGACCTAAACATCACCCCCGTCGCTGGCTCAAACACGATGGATGTCTTCCGTGGCATCCGCGAGCACCTCCCTTCGCTCATTCCTGGTCTCGCTCAGGAGAACATTGACCGCATGTCTCTCGGTCTCTCCCACTCGATGTCCCGCCATAAGCTCAAGTTCTCTGCCAACAAGATTGACTCCATGATCGTCCAAGCCATCAAGCTGCTCGACGACATGGACAAGGAGCTCAACGTCTATGCTATGCGTACCAAGGAATGGTACGGCTGGCACTTCCCCGAGATGGCCAAGATTCTTGGCGATAACCTGGCCTACGCCCGCATCGTCCTCAAGGTCGGCATGCGTGAAAACATCTCATCGTCTGACCTGTCCGATATTCTCCCCGAGGAGATGGAGGCTGCTATCAAGGCTGCTTCCGAGATTAGCATGGGTACTGAGATTACTGAGGAGGATCTGCACAACATTCAGCTTCTTGCCGACCAGGTCCTCGTTTACACCACTTACCGTGCAGAACTCTCTTCCTACCTGGAGAATCGTATGCGTGCCATTGCTCCCAACCTGACGGCCCTTCTTGGCTACCTCGTTGGTGCCCGCCTCGTCGCTCACGCTGGCTCTCTCCTCAGCCTCGCAAAGGCGCCCGGTTCCACCATTCAGATTCTCGGTGCCGAGAAGGCTCTGTTCCGTGCGCTCAAGACTAAGCACGACACGCCCAAGTATGGTCTCATCTACCACTCTTCCCTCATCGGTCAGGCCACCGGCCGCAACAAGGGTAAGATTGCCCGTATGCTGGCTGCCAAGACTGCCCTTGGTCTACGTGTGGATGCTCTCGGCGACTACGACGAGGACGATGATGACCGGGCTTCTCTCGGTCTGGGCAGCCGACTCAAGCTCGAGAACCACCTTCGCAAGCTCGAGGGCCGCCCTGTGCTGCCCAAGGGGACGAACGTTGGCCCCTCTGGTGAGATCATGGCCCCTGGCCAGTTCACGCTAAAGGAGACCCGCCGCTACAACGTCGATGCCGACGGTGTTGAGGACGAAACCGAGATTGCCACCAACGGTGACTCCAAGAAGAGCAAAAAGGACAAGAAGGAGAAGAAGGAAAAGAAGGATAAGAAGAAGAAGCAAATTGAGGTTGTCGAGGAAGATGAGGAGATGAACGATGCTGATAGCGACGATGAGGACGCCTCCACACCCAAAATTCCTAAGCTGTCAAGCTCCGAGTACGAGCGCCTGGCTGACTTGGCGGGCCTTTCCGTCAAGAAGTTCCAGCGCAAGTACGAGCGCGGCGACATCCACGTCGAGGATGGCAAGCCCCGCGTCTTCTCCAAGAAGGAGATGAAGAAGCTCCGCAAGGAAGCCACCGCCACGCCGACCAAGGCCTCTGCGGACGAAGGCAAGAAGAAGAAGCGCAAGCACGACTCGGACGACGAGGACGAGCCCGAGCCGAAGAAGGAGAAGAAGCACAAGAAGAAGAAGCAGGCTTAGAAGGCCTTGGGCAAGGTAGAGGGCAAGGGGAAGCACGAGCAACCCGCTGCCCAACGCCCGCTTGGCAAGTCGAACAAGCGTCGCAAAGTATCAAGCTCGACGCGCGTCTGACTTGCCTTGTTGTTTCTTTCCATGCTGGCGTCTGCCACTTTGAGAACGGGGATATCCCTCTTTGTGCTTATTATGCGGGGTTTTTTAACAGTTGGGTTGGGCATATATTTCCTTTGCTGCCAAATATCGGTTGGCCGGCGTTTGAGGTTGACCTTTTCTTGTTTTTGTTTTTTAAACTGAATGTACCAAGTTTTTTTGTCTGTTTTTGTCAATGGGTGACACATCTTCGGCATCTGGCGTGGACTTTGAAACAAAAAGAACAAATGGATATTGCATGTTGGCTTTGATTTTACCAGACAAGATTGGTTTGTATCTAGAGGCTGCAGTTGTCCCGAGGCTGGGGGTTGAGCTCTCTTGGTTGGATGAGAGAATATGAGCGAAGAGATGAAATTTTCCTTTACTGTAAATGCATCATGGATGACAAGTTATTGCACAGTGCTTTGGCGTGTGAACTGTGATTTCAATGTTTTAATGAGCATACTCTGAAATCACATTCAGATTACAACAAGGCCCGTCGATTTTCGTTTCAAATATCGGCATTCATTATGTTCAGACTATAATTACTAGGTCATGACAAACCACAAAAACCAGGTACATCGAAAAACCATGGGTATCCTCCTCGTTTGGGTATCAAAGATTGGTATCCATAAGCGTACATGTGCTTTTTTTTTTTTGTTTTTTTTTTTCGATTCTTCAAGGCATTAGCGAAATTCAGTTGTTGTTTCGTACATGTCGATCGCGGACGTTAGATGTTCTCAATGACGTGGGCCTGAATGGCCTGGTTGAAACCATCCTGGCCGTCCTGGTCCTGGGGTATAGCGCCGAGGGGGCCGGCCGCGCTTGCCATGCTGCTGCTGCTGGCGCCCGGCAGGAAGATGACCTTTGAGTTGGCGCTCTTGGCCATGGCCTGCATGGCCTCGAGGTACCTGATTTGCATGGCCGGCGCGCTCGACAGGATATCGGCGGCCTGGCGCATGAGCTTGGCGGCCTCGACCTCGGCCTTGGCGGCGATGATCTTGCTCTCGCCAATGCGCTTGCTCTGTGCGGCCATGCTCAGACTCTCCTGCAGCTCCTGGGAGAAGATGATGTCCTTGACGAGCATGCTCTCGACCTGGACGCCCCAGCCGGCGGCAACGTCCTCGATGATCTCGCCAATCGACAGGGCAATCTCCTCGCGGCGCTCAATGACGTCCTGCAGGACGCGGGCGCCGACGACGTGGCGCAGCGTCGTCTGGGTGCGCTCCATGAGGGCCTGGCGCACGTTGGAAATGCCAAACGCGGCCTTGTGCGGCGCGACAATGTGGTAGTAGATGACGGACTTGAGCCGCAGCGTGACATTGTCCTTTGTCATGCAAATCTGCTCAGGCACGTCGGCCGTCTGGATCTTGACGTCGACCTGGAGGAGGTGCTCGGAGAGAGGGTTGACCTTGACGAGGCCCGGGTCGACGGCCTTGTAGAAGCGGCCGAATTTGGTGACGAGGCCGACGTTGCCCTGCTGGACCGACTTGTAGGGGTTGGGGCAGCAGATGCAGCAGGGGACGGCGCCCATGGTGCCGATGATGGCGCCGAGGGTGTTAACTGGAGATGGTGTGTTAGTCGCGCATAGTAAGATGAAGGGCAGGCTGGAAGCTCTGGCGGGTAAAACCTACTCATGCTGCCGTACCATCCCTTGGGGTTGGCCTCGGAGCCTACAACCTTGGCGTAGCTCGTCTGCAAGTCTTCCTCGGAGGGCGGCGCGACGACGGCCATGCGCCCCTGCCGCACGAAGCCGCCGGTGCCTTGGCCATTGGCAGACGTGCCATGCTCCGAGCTGGCAAACTTTGCCGAGGTGCCCTCGCCATGGTTGAGGATTTGGTCGGCCGAAGACATGGTGTCGTGCTGTCTATGTGTGCGTTTGCGTGTGTGTGTGTGTGTGTGTCTGCGGATGGAGAATCAATCAATCCAGCGGCGTGTTGATGTACAAGAGAAATCGCAGACTGTCGAAACAATCGAAGAACGGGGTATCTTAGTTGCGATGGGTTGAAACAGGACAAAAAATGGCTTGTCGCAAAAACAGAGGTGTGGGAGAGGTGGCGCCCTTTTGAATGCGCAGATGCAGCTTACCGTAGTTAGAGCAAGAAGCTACAAGCTGTGTTGTGGTTCGTTTGTTGTCGGTTTGGCATGACGTCTGGAGGGCGGGGGCCTGCTAGTGGCCCCCCCCCCAGAACTCACTAAATAGCTGGGCGACGGGGCGGAACAAGTTTTAGTGGGGACAAAAGACAGCTGTTGTCGCGAGGCTGCAGCGCTGGCTGAGTAACGACCGTAGTCAGCACTGCCACTGTGGGCTTTTCAACCGTTGAATCATCCAAGTCAACTATCCCGTCTGCAGGGGTCTCAGGTCTCACCGGTGAGTCGTTTCTGCTCCTTGTTCAAATAGTACGGGTACGTTTGGAGGCGTCGCCATGACGGTGTCGGCGCAATTCAAGCCCGTCCAAATCGGGGGCCAGTCGTAGCGTGCGGCAATGGTGCGGCTTGCCACCGTGCCGTCCAAGCCGGGGCCAAGTACGTAAAAATACTGGCCCCAAGGAGGGGGGGCAATAGTTATTATCGGAATGTTCTCTTCGTAATTCGTACTCGCCCAGCAGATGATGTGAATCGATGGTACCCGTGCGCCAATCATCTATCTGCTCCACCAGGCAGTCAGTCTCCGGTGGTACATAGCAAGGCAGACCGGGCACCACCCCTGCCTACCCTAGGTAGGTACCTACCTACCTCCCTACCTACTTGGGCACAACCCGACATCTGAGTTATAGAACGAAGATTGCAATCAAAGAGGTGGATCAAAAGTCTACGACGTACTGTACTCGGTACTGAGTATGGCTTGGGTCAAGGAAATAAGTTGCCTGGCAATACTTGGCGCTGCGCCACTGGCATGAGACCCCTCCGCTCGACGATGAAGTTGTTCCCAAGAGCCAGGATTTCAACCATGAGAATTCAAGCAGGGCATGACCGTTTTCTTTGTTTTTGAGGGAGCAGCACAGACCTCAATATCCAACTTGAACCTGGACAAAGTTCCAAATTAAAAATGTAAAAAAAAGCCCTCAAGGTTAGTTCTGCCCAGTGCAATTGCCCAGACCGGATCACACATCTCCCGATGGATGGATGGGGTGGCCAAAGTCACCAGACATTGTGGCTTGCACGCTAACGAGAAAGGCAGCAGCCCAGGGCACAGGCGGCACATCGGTACTTGCAGCATCGCCGCCTCAAAAGTTCGACACAACGTCGTACAACTTTGATAGGCAACTGCGATTCCAAACTTCTGCCTGGGCGCTGTACTATTTGACCGCTTTTGACATGTAGTAACTAGAACCATTTCCCCTTTTCTAGAGAACAAGTCAATGGAAATCATCTCCCCAGATTACCCGTGCTAAGGCTTATAACCCACATCTCCACTAGCCCGGCGATAACCAAGTTCAGCGACTTATTCCCAGCCGGATAACCACCAACGAATTGTTCCCATTACTTGTCCCCATAAAAAAAAGGCCCAAAGCTTCCAAATCATCTCGCCACTTACCGGGAAGAACACAGCCCCTCCATCCCGGGACGAATCGCCTACGTTCCTCTGCGTGCCGAATAATCTCAGCACCGCAGGCAGCCCTTGCAGGGTAAGCTCCCCGACCCGCCCTGACTGGTCGTCACTGCCCCTCTCCACCATCGTATCGTCATACCAGGCTCGGCGAGGCTGTGCCCGCAATCCATTTGCAGTTGTCCATTGACATTACTTACGCCCGGATGGGCCTACCAGAACGCCATGTGACTACCATCGTTGCTGAACCTGTCGTTACACATTGTTGCCTGTATTGACGGTTTGACGGTGTAACTCGATGTGCTTGGCGAAGAATATGGTGTTTATCCGCAGAGCGTATCAATTCCTCCCACAAGCTAACATCTCTGCGAGCCAAACCGAATCTACCAATAGGACAAGTAATAACCCAATGTACTCCCGTGTACCATCAACGCCGAGTCTACAACCGCTTCCGCCCTCAACAACGCTCCAAGCAGCGCGCCCGCCTCTACCGCAGCTCAGGCTCCCTCAGGAAATCCGTCGCTGAAAACGCGCCCTCTCCCGCATGCACCCTCGACTCTGCCAATATCCTCGCCACATCACTCAGCCTGTCACCACTCGTCCCTGCTGCTCCCTTTCGACCGCTCGCCTCGTCGTCCTCCTCGCGCCGCGCCCTCTGATGCCCGCCCGCCTGCTGGCCCGAGTCCGGGTCAAACGCATAAATCTTGATGCCGCGCAGGTGCGTGTCCTTGCCGTTTTGGTGATTTTCCAAAATCTCCATCTGCAGCACATACGACACGAGCGTGTTGCCGTCCGGCTCTCCGCCCGCCCCGCTTATGGGCACATCTTGCCAGCCGTAAGGGTTTTCCATGGTCATGGTCGCAAAGGGAATCATGTTGTTCTCGCTCGTGCCCGACCTGAACACAATCTTGGTCGGCGTGTACGACTCGTCCTCCTGGTAGTCGACAAAGAATCGAATCACTCGGATCCCCACGCGCTTGATAAAGTACACGGTGAGCTTGTGCGGCTGCGGGCCGTCCGACCTAGATACAAAGTTAGTCAAGTCATTCGCACAGGATATGCAGCATGTAGACACGCACTGCCAGTAAAGCTTCAAATCGTCGCTTCGGAGCTCATGTACGCCGTTGCCAGGTTTGTGGCTGCTGACCGTAAACTTCCCAAGATTGGAGATCTCCTTGAGTCCAATTGAAGCTGGGTCCACAAGCACCTCCTGCTCTTCCTCTTCCTCCTCTTCGTCCTCCTGTTCTTCTTCCTCCTCTACCTGCTCCTCAATGCTCGTCTCCTCCGCCTCGTACTGCTCCTGCGACATGACCTCGTCCTCGTATGCCAGGGTCTCGGCCTGCTGCAGCAGCAGCATTTGCTCTTCCCGCGTGTTCCCCCCTGCCGCTCCCTGTGCGGCAACGGCACCCGCGCGGCCACCGCCCCTAGCTATGGCAAGCACGCTGAGATCCGGGTCCGAGCCGGAGCTGTCGTCATCTTCAGAGCCCAAGGGCATGCTCAGTCGTGGCGTCGTCGTGCCTCTCGTCGCTGCGTTGTCCGTCTGGTCAGTGTCGGCGAACTCTTCAATCTCCGTGCTCATTTCCTCGTAGTCTTCAATCTCCATGCTCAACTCCTCGTTGAGGTTCACGTTCGGCTCCTCGCCCGACGGCGGCGGCGGTGGCGGCGGCGTGCTGCTGCTGCGACGACGGTGTCTCCGCACGCTGCCGCCAAACCGCGAGCGCCATCCTGCGGACCGTGCCGTCACGCGCGCCGAGAGCTGCCGCACCTGGTGCAGCACGCTGCTACCCTCGCGTTCCAGCCGGTCCACGAAGGCGTCGTGGTTTTCACCCTGCGCCACGGGCGACTCGCTGGGCACGGGGGAGCTGGACCGTCGTAGGAGGGCGCCACCATCGGTGATGCGGATCTGCCCGAGGTGCTGTCGCGGCATGGGGTGATGCGGCTGCGCTTGCAGTGAATTGGCCGGTGAAATGAGAGAGAGAAAAAAGGTTGGGATATATTCGGGTGAGGAAGGCTGTGCGACCTTGTGCATGAAGCCACACAGTTCTACGATAACAGACGTGCTGCTGGTTCAAATTACAAAAGAAGAAGCAGCAACCAGCAACCAGCACCGCTTGGTGACAGCCGCCACCCAAAAGTAAACAGGTAAAGTGAACGAGTACTTTTTCACGCAGTGCTCTTGTCCCATACTAGGTAGGTAGTCATGAGATTTACCCGTTATAAATGTTTGGGTGTCGGGCAGACAATCCCCAGCCACCATCTCAAATCAAGCGCCATCTCAAAACTTACATCGATGTAATCGAAACGGATTCACGCGAGGCGCCACGGTGGGCATCTCGTGCTCGTCGTCGCTCTCTGGGTGCCGCTGGTCCGGCGTCCTGTGCAGGTCGCGCGACCGCGGCGGCGCGGGGCGCAAATGACCTGGGCGGAGGCCGTCGTCCGGTGTTGGCGACGTGTGTTGCTGGGCCTGGGCCGCTTGGTTGGCCGCCGTGTTGGCGGCGACATGACGGGCCCGGCGAGAGCCTCGCTGAATGTCCATGGTGGTATGGCCGTTTTCACCGCAGCGGAGGGGTGACAGAAGGCGCGTTGGTCGCGAAACACGAAAATGTTGATCGCGAAATCACGTGACGTAGTTGACTGGGCTGCACCCACTCTTCAAATGATTAAAGGTTAAATCGAAACAAATTTCTGGAGAAGAAAAGGATAACGTCATCTTCACAATGCTATTGAGTTGTAGTGGGTTGTAGCGCAATGGTGGCGGGAGAGACTGCTACATAGCATTGATACTTGGCGTCTCGTGACGAGCTTTAGTAATTGGGAGGTATTTAGTGCAACCGGTCGAACATCTAAGGGAGGGTCTCGAAAAGCCTGATTCAATGACCGCTTTACATAGCTTTTGTCGATTTTCATATGCATGTCGGTGATGAAGCTTTGGCACAGTTGCTGCGTACCTAATCGGCTTCGCATCATGACATTGCTGTGAGACACCATGATGAACAGAGCAACACTGCACCCATGTTGACTGGCCGTTGGCAGTATTTCTGCTTACTCGTTGAGATTATCATTACAGATCTCTTTGAGTAGACGATTCAAAGCCTGGCGTTTTGGATCTGTGTAGCACGATGGGTGCCGACTCGGCCGACAGACGGCTAGTTGCTGACGCAGCCACGCGACCTTGAGTTCCAGCGACAGGGGACAGTCGAGGCCTCGGGTATTGGAGGGAGCCGATGATGGGTTCCCCAGAGAGGAATCAGGGGTGCGCCGAGCCCTACGTAGGTCAAGTGGGCTTTGACTTTTGACATATGGGTACGTACCGAACCGACGACCAAGCGTCGCAAAGGCGAGAAGTCCGATGGCTTCCAATGCCGAGCGGCTACGAGTACACTGGACTACTGATGCCCGTGCGGCTGCACCGTCTGGTGGCAAGCGAAGAGGTGCGGATGGAGAGTCCGTGCCTCCGAGTTTCAGGTCCGCTTGCATGACACGAGGCGCTGGGCTGAGAAAGCATGGACAATAGGGCTCATTTTGGGGGCGAACGAGGATCTGCTGTCAGAACAAGATGGTCCTCCAATAGTCAGTGAAAGGATCAACTTTTTGTTCGAGCCTCGAGATAAAGGGGCGGGCCGCAAGAGTCATGGATTCGATGAGGAACTAGATTGCTCCAGGCCACGTGTACCTAGGTATGCTTCGGACGGGCATTATCAGGTACATTTCAAGCTGGGTAGAGTTTTCGGGAGCTGGTTAGTGCCGGGCCGCCCAACCGAGTTGTGGGCGGACCAAGCACGAAAACGTTGTTGCGAGAAGAGGCGTTTTCAAAGTTTGTGGCTTTTTCGTAAGGCGAATCGTCCCGTCAATTCATATTCGTCTCTTGTGGTTTCCCCAAAGATGGCTTCGCGTAACTAGTCTGTAATAGTCTCTGTTGTCGTCGATTCTTTTTGGTGCAGGTCGAAATTGAAGCTTTGGGGCCGTCGACCACGTTGGCAAACGAGCAGCCGTGATACGCTGACAACTGGCGTCATTTGTCGTGGGCGTCGACCCCTATTAAATGCACATCAATTTGAAGCGAGAGGTAATAAGGCGCTAGGCAAGGGGCCACGAGCGCCATAGTAACATAGCGCTGCCCCCAATTCGTAAAAGTTGTTTGCTGGTCTGTACTCGGTTGGATTTTGGCATTGGGCAATGTGTGGCTGTTCTGCAGGATGAAAGAGTCTCGGCTGTGTAGTTACAGAGTATTCATAGCGCTCGTCGAATGGCCGATGGGTGGTTGTATGATGGGTGGTTGTATGTTGTGTGTTGGATATACGAGGTTGAGACGTGTTCCGATAGCTGGAAGGGGCTAGTAATAGTTACCTTGTCTGCTGTACAGGCGAGCGCCACTGACGGCTGAAAAGCCTCCTCGTAACTCCTTGCACTCCTGGTGCTGTCTGGCCTTGTGCAGCAGTGACTGTCCAGAGTTACTCGCCGGTCCCGGTTTGGAAGAGAAACAGATAAAAATAAAACCATATTCAAACTGAGACCAGAGGAGCGAAAACAGTAACTATTAGGTCTCCAACTCTCCGGTTCCCTTCCGTTTCAAACAGGTACCTACCTCATCACGAAGCAGCCACGGGGGACAACTTGGGCCAGGCCCAAAAATAGCGCTGCGCCCACCCATGCACCCACCCATGCACACTCTGGCAGCCCCTCACTGACTGACACACTGTGGACGCCGTCGCCTACTAGTACCTACGAAATTGTGCCTGCCGCTAAAACAGGTTCGGGTTAATGCTTTCCAGATTTTCGTAGCGCTCAGAGCCCTGGTTTTGCTTGGCCGGGCCCACTCCATCACTGGCGGCTTCCATTGTTGACCTCTCCTAGTGTCAAGGCTTTTTAGTTAGCACAGCCGCTATTATTCCTCCGCAAGTACCAGGAATAACAAAAATACTGTAATGTAGCAAGGAAATCAACAGTGTCCGCAGCCGCTACTCCCGTAACTAGTGTGGTGTTGTCCATGGACCACAAGGCCGGGCTAAATAATAACCTGGCGAGTCCCCTCGACTCGCAGAGTCCCAAAACCCTCGTATTCCTGTTTGCTCGAAACGCTCGCGTGCTACGGAGGAATACAGGCCAGATGTTGTCCCTGTGCTCTTTTTGATCGGATCTCTTCGCCGCTCCCGTCCTCGCCACTCTCACGAATCCTTTCCCCTCATTTCTGATCCCTCCGTTTCTTGCCCGCCTTTTCCCACATCTCTCCAAGTACCCGCCAAACACGAGCGAATCTATTATCCCGTCGTCCCTTTCTGGTAACTCGATCCTCTGCTCTCTCTGGGGTCTCTGGGGTCTCCAGGGTCCTTGATCCAGCGCCTCGCAGGCGACTTCCACTCACCTCTCTCATCGCCCGCTTCAGCAGCGTTGCGCGTGCCCATGCTGGCCAACGCCAGAATGTTGTCCCGGCGCAGTTTCATCATCGTCGCCGCCTTTACCATATTTGCGTGCACCCTGCTGCTTACCTCGCAGCGCCTCAACGGGCCCTTTGGCTTCGACTATGCCTCGTCGGACCCGGCCGCCAACCCGTATCCTCAAGACCATGCCAGCAGCGCCGACGCCGACAGCAAACACCAGTCGCCACATACAACGCCGCATGTCTCGTCTCACGCCGCCGCTACCATGACCGTCAGCGTCCCGCCTGGCAACCCCAAGGAGACATTGCAGGCGGCCCCGGCCCCGGCCCCCGTCGTCAAGCCCGGCTGCGAGGGCTTCCCCGACATGTCCAACATTTTCGTCGTTCTCAAGACGGGCGCGTCCGAGGCCTACAACCGCATCCCCACCCAGCTCATGACCAACCTCAAGTGCGTACCCAACTATGAAATCTGGAGCGACATGGAGCAAACCATTGCCGGCCAACCCATCCTCGACGCCCTGACCGACGTGCTCCCCGACGTTAAGGCGCACAACGACTTTGAGATCTACCACCACCAGGCCAAGTGCCCCATTGACCAGGAGCACTGCAACAAGGGCTACGACACGGCCAGCAAGGGCTGGTCGCTCGACAAGTACAAGAACATCCACATTGCCGAGAGCAACTGGGCCAACCACTCCCAGTACGACTGGTTCTTCTACATTGACGCCGACACCTACGTCTCCTGGCCCACCCTCGTCGAATGGTTCAAGCGCCTCAACCCAGCCACGCCCGCCTACTTTGGCAGCGTTGCCCTGCTCGGCGAGTTCCCCTTTGGCCACGGCGGCAGCGGCTACGCTGTCTCCAACGCCGGCATGAAGAAGATGTTTGACGGCAAGTCCAAGGTCGCCAACAAGTACGACGAAAAGGCCACAACCACCTGCTGCGGCGACTACCTCTTTGCCTACGCCATCAAGGAAGAAGCCCAGCTGGACGTGCAACAAATGGTGCGTATCACGGAACTGACTTGTGAAACAAGCACGCATTTTCCCTCTTCCTTCTCTAACCACTCTGGCGCAGTTCCCCACCATCAACGGCGAAAAGCCCTACTCGATGCCCTTTTACGACGGCCACTGGTGCCAGCCCATCATCACCATGCACCACCTCGCGAGCGAGGAAATCGATGAGCTGGACAAGTTTGAGCTCCGCCGCCGCTTCAAGTCGCCCGTCCTCATCAAGGACGTCTTCCATGACATTGTCCAACCCAAGCTGCGCAACGACCACGTCGACTGGGATAATGCCAGCGACGACGTGTACTACTTTGACCCCACGAGTCGGCAGTTTGACGCGGCCGAGATGAAGCTGCGCAAACAAGAAGCTGGTTACACCGACGCCGAGAAGCAGGCACACGTGAGCTTCGACGACTGCCGCGCCGCGTGCGAGAGCGTGCCGGCGTGCCTCCAGTTCCGCTTCGGCAACCGCATATGCTCGACGGCGACGGCAGTGCGCTTCGGCAAGCCCGCGGAGGCGACCTCGGAGGAAGGCGCTTACCTAAAATCGGGCTGGATGGTGCATCGTATCAACGAGTGGGCTAAGAAGCACAACGACTGCGGCACTCCCAAGTTTCCCGAGCTCAAGGACGAGAGCGAGATTTAAGCGGGTAGCGCCGCGTGGCACGCGCTTTAGAGTTTTGCGGATAGGATGATCCGATCGAGCCACTCGCTTTCCCGGAGCGAGATTTGAGATAGCGACCGCATTCCAGAAAACCAGCTGGCATGGACACGGGCGGCGCTAGCGAGACGCAAGCCCGTCTGGTGAAGGTGTGCGCGTGCGCGTTCGCGTGTGCGTGCTCGATGGTGGCGCTGTGCCCAAGCTGTACAAGCACACATGATGAGTGAAGCAAAAACTGAAGCAAAAAAGAAACCAGAACAGAGAGCTTTGAAAAGGCCTCGTCACGAGCACGAAAACTAGGAGTTGGGGGTAACCATTTTTGCGATATTTTTAGACTGCTTATTTCACAGCACAGCGGGCTTGCTGATACTTCTTCCTTCTCTCTATGTATTTTTTATTGATTTGCAGCCCAACGGCTAACAGCTCTAACGGCTGAGGGGGGTTTGAACCATGTTCCTGGATAGAGAGCTGAGCTCTGGGGCGAGAGATGTACAGCTATTAATCACAAACACTATACTGTACGTTTCAGATACATCATGATCGTGTTGGGATGCTGCTGTAATTAGAAGAAGGGATGAGTAGCGTAGCCTATAGGGGGGATCACACAGACGGCGACGGAGAACCATGACTATCGGTAAAACAGGTACTTAGATAGTTAGAACAAGCGAGGAAAAGGCGTTTGGGAGCCTTGCACAAGGGTGACAAAATAGCTACACCGTGGCCTAGTACAAATTACAAATCCTGGTACTCTCAAAGTAACCAATCATTACCATCTTCGTTTTCTATCATTCTTTTTATTATTATTCTGCGTTCGTTTCCTAGTGCGTGTTATTGAGTACAAGTGTTCAAACCACAGTGGCGATTTCTTTCGTCGCCCGGCCTTGCAACAATTTATACATGTGTGTTGGGGGCAAAAAGGGGTGTGCGCGATGCCACTGCCGAGGAGCGAGAGACGGGGGACCGGCCTGTTTCCGTGTAACTAGCGCTGCATGGTCGAGGGCGAACCGTTGCACAGCATGACGAGCGCGAGTTGCCAACTCGATAGTCTGCTTGGAAGTAATGATTAAAGCCGTCCGACGCGGAACAGGGCGGTGTTTGCTGTTGGCATTGAGCTTGATCACGCTGACTGTGATCGGATAGCCGGCGCGCGGGCCATGCGTAACAGCATTTGTCAAGATAACTATAACAACCTTTTTGTTATTGCTACCCTGCTTCTGAGGACAGCATGACAAGCCTCCTACAGATATGTGTGATGCGCATCGCCTGGTGAAATTGCGATACTACCGTGTGCGGCCGATGAAATTAACGGGCACTGGGGGCTAGGGTGGTATTATTAGTACTGATTGATGTGCACAAACATGGACGAATCCGCCTCTCTTTTCTATTCGTACGGATACAATAAAAATGATTCTCCTATTATTCTTGATTAAAGGTCATTAACTATTTGCCATCAGAGGGATGGGTGGGATCAATGTCACAATCCATGGTTTATCTGACGCAGCGCTGGCATTCCGCGGCGAAACACATGCTAATACACCCGAAATAGTTAGCACAACCTCTCTTGCTCAAATGCATGACGCACATGATGCGGTGTGCGGCTGGCACGCTTTGTGCAGGAAAAAGAGTTCCGCCGGTCCAGGCCCTGCTCGCTGTGTGTGTGATGTGCTCGTCAGCGATGGGATGACTGTGCTGCGAGGAGAGAGAGAGAGGGAGGAGGGAGGGCGGCCGCGTTTCAGCGGCCGAGCCATGCAGAAGTAACTAAACTTTGTTGGCGAGGGCGCCGAGGGATGCGTGATGCATTGGAAAGGGACATGACGGGGCGCGCATCAACTGCGCTGGTGCAGGTGGTGATGCAGATCAGGGTCACCCCTCACAGGGACTGGGACGGGGCGGGCTGGAACTCGGCGGCTCTATCGTGACGTGTACTCCGCAACTAACTAATTCGTACGGATGTATGTATCCATCGTCTGTTTGTGCAGGTATCTGGAGGACGGATTCGGAGAGTTACTATCATGGCAGAATGTGACTAGAGACGGCTGAGGCACAGGTGCAAGCCACCGAATGCAGGCGCCTGGTGATCTCAAGAACAACGCATTGGCTTGTCACTGTCAGACTAGCACATCTGCATATCAATCCCCCCTTGTGTGCTAGGATACTCCAACGAAATTTGTTTTAATCTCCTCCCATATTAAGATTGAGCCGCCCCCCGCCCTTTTGACTGTAACCCTCTCGAGGGTTCATCTCACCGCGACCCCATTTCTTGTCGTTGCCCATTCGTCTCTCTGTCTTGTCTCTTGGACTCTTTTCCACTCTCGCCTAGTCTTTCTTCCTCCTTGTTCTTGCTTATTTATTTTTCTTCTGTGTCATCTTCATCTTTTGACAACGGGAAAACCAAAATAAGCATCCAATTCTGCTGCAAGCCGTCAACAACGTTCTGCACCCCTTTTTCTACCCGCCAAATTTGATACCCACATAACCACTGCTCGCCGCACACCCGCGACGTCATAGCCTCACCCCTTCCTGAGACGAGACGACCCCTCGACCAAGCAAAAAAAATCAAAAAATCACACGACTTGCCGATAGCAAAGACGAAAGATACGAATTCTTTGACTGCAGACCATAGCCTCGAAAATAATCTCGAAATACTCTCATCATATCCCAAACATGGACTCTACCACCGAACGCAGCTATACCGACGAGGAGCTCGACCGCGAATGGCAGCCGACCTCCCGCCGACCTCTATCGTAAGTACTGTTGGCTCTCGTTGCCATTTCCCGCCTTGATTTCCTCGCCCATCTCGCATTGGGTCATCATCTCGCCTTGCGTTGCATCGCATGGATGACCGCTGCTCATCACCGCGCCTGCATCTCGCCTTGCCTTGTTTTTCCTTGGCCCGGCTCGCCTCGCCTGCTCTACACCTACAAACCAAAAAAGCACCGCCCACTTACTACAACCACCCGCCTCTTGTGCCAAATAAGAACTCTCGCGTCTGGTATTCACACGACCACGCCAATCGAGTACCTGATACTTGGCCCATCCCCAGCCTCATCGCCTAACTCCTCGTACTTCCTACCACCCGCCCGGCTCCCCCCCCCCGAAACATGATCCCTATCCTGCCACCCACACCCATGTGGAGAAGGACCGGTCGCTACTCTCCTGTTGTCTTTATTACAATCGCTTCTCTCCAGCCATCTCGTCCCTTTCCCTTCCTCCTCTTCACCAACCCATCGATTCGTTGAAAACACACTTCTTCCGCCTGCCCAACGATCCCAAAATCATATATAGCACACAAACACCCCAGCAGCATCACCATGGATCAGCATCACCAGGACACACAGTCCCAGAAACAGCACCGACGGCTAACCCTCAACTCTGACGATAGAACTATCGCTCGCTCCTTTTCCGACGAGCTCATGGATATTTTTCGCATTGACAATTCCGTGGCCGACCTCGATCGGGAAGTCGACAGTAGGTGTGTATACGCCCATTACATCCTCGAGCTCGAGCTTGACACGGCCTTGAGCTCGAAGCTCCCCGAGTGAAAGCTAACACCGCTTATTAGACGAGCCAAGGTGAACCGCAACACTATGGAGCTTGCCTCCCTCGAGGCCCGCCTCCGCGAGATGGAAGAGCGTCTCAAGCAGAACCAGCGCATGCGCCCCGACCTCGAGGTCAAGACGTCGGACATGTCAAAGCAGGCTCCCAGCCACCCACCGCCTCCCCCTCCGAGCAAGGACGACAAGGCTCGCTCTCGTCCCGGCAGCGCCCGCGCCCCCCAGCAGGCTCCTAGTGCTGGCAACATGCCCCCTACCCCGGGCGGCAGTGAAGGTGAATAACATTTTGTCACCAAGGCCGACGACCAACGAAAGCCGAGCAAGAAAACAGTGTCGCTAACTCGATGCCTGTCACTGTCACAATAGACGGCGACCACCAGTAAATGATATGACCAATGTTTTGCAAACAAACACTCGTCGAACGAGGGCCCCTGACTGCCCATGACCACCACCCCCACGATGCATGGACGATGCCAACCGGCAATTTTGCCCATTTTCATCTCGTTGCACTATCTATCCCATCTCCGAACCGGGTAGCTGGCAGTTCAACGGCCTTTTCTCCCCACTTGCCTTTATACGGCCGACGTGCTTCTTTTCTTTTGGTGGCCGTATAACCTATTCGTCTACCTAATACTACCCATGGACTGTCTTGTCTATTGGGTCGCCTACTTCTCTTCTCCCAACGCGAAGCCACGCAAGCTACGGCCAGTCAGCATAATATATATTCGACACCAATACCACATACAAGCTACGGGCACACCGAATCAAGTCTTGCAACATCATAACAAGAGACAGACTCGAACACTTTCTGATATCAAGGCCAGCTGCAAACTCGATTTGATAAACCACTGGGCCAATCCGGTGCCGCCTTTTCTTCTTGTGCCAGAGAGGTCTATAATCACCGTTGTACTAATACTTTTTTCTTGTTTGATTTATTTTTTATTGAGGTCTAGTTGGCATTGGGTGTAGGAAACTGGAAATATGAGTACGCCGAGAGTCGTCTGCTTGAGAGGGCGGGCGACGTGGTGACTTGAAGAAGAGGGTTTTTTTTGGCGTGTCGTTTTCTTTTTTGCGCATCATTGTATAGCATGATTTCTCTCCAGGATACCAATCATTGACATTATCCCTTGTGCTACATGTGACTATACCACCTCGCTATTTTCTGCGCCCGCAAACAACGTGAAAATACAAAAGCAAGAAACAACCAATCAACGAAAACAAAAGTACCATAACATAGAGAAGAAGATATGAAGAAGCCAAGAGACTAAATAATGAAACTCAAGATATTGTATAGGCAGCGAGCGCGCTTAGTGTAGTAGATGATGGCAAAGTGCCTACACTCACCAAACTAAAACTTGATTTCTGGCTACTACCTGTCGGATATTCTACTGATTCCCTTGCTCTCTGAAACCACTGTCCCTAGGTACAAAGCAAAATGACAGCTGAAAATAATGTAATCGAGCAAACATAAAAGCTACATCTCGTCCGTGAGCACCTTGTTGGCGAACCCGACGCGTTGCTTGTCCAGGTCAAATGCCACAAACAGCGCCTTGAGCATTACGTCGCCCAGCACCACAATCTGCATACCCTCAGCACTCTGCATGCCGCCCCAGCAGTACTCGCCTCTGGGGTCGGCCGGTCCATAGTTGAGGTAGCGTCCGGGAATGGTCAGGATGTGCTCTGTGCCGGGAAGCTTGAGCAGCAGGTCGGGCAGATCCTTGGCGTTGGCGCAGGGAAAAGTGTAGGCGCCGTCGAGCTCGACTGACTGACGCATGCCTGGAACGCTGTACCAGTACCGACTGGCCAGAGGACTGGGCAGGAACATAAGGGTCGTGCCAGTGTCGATGGTGCCGGAGAAAGGGTAGTACCACCACGTCTGATCCGGAATAGTCCACGAGGTCAGGTCAAAGTTGACGTCCCAGTGAGCACTCCTTCCAACTGAATCGAGCCAGGTAATGTTGTCTGAAGCCTTCGCCATGTCAATGCGACCAAACTCAAACTGGCCAGTGGCATTCTTCTTGAGGTCAACAGTGAAGACTGGCGAGTCAAGGAGAGGGGTAAGCATATCCATGAATGTTGGTACAGGAGGATCGATGTTGTTTCGCAGACGCTTGGCGAGCCCCATGATACCGCTCATCTCGATATCCGTCTCGAAGCGCGAGGCCATGGTTTGAGCAGACTGCACGGTGGCATTTTCCACCTCGATGTTGCCGAATCGAATCGTATCGTGGTATACTATACCAAATGCCGAAGTGCCATCCACTGGAGAAATTAGTAGGGCTTCTAATTACATACGTGCTCCTTTCCTTACGGTACTGAACATCCCAGCGTGATTCGTTGATAAGAGACGAAGTCTGGGAGTCTTTGGGACGATACTGGGGTGCCCAGGGTCCGTTTCTGTTGACGCGATATTTGGTGTCCGTAGATTGCACCCACCTACTTGTGTTATTATGTGATGACTTTTATTCTTCGAGGTAAACGTACACGTCAGAAGAGCCGGTATCCAACGCCAATTTGACCGTCTGTGGTGGGTTACCAATCTGTATGTCGGCTAGGTACAAATCATCATTGCCCATGGGATGGACGTCAACGAGCCCGTCTTACCATTGCGAGACATTTTTAGTTATAGCTTCAATGGGAATAGTACTTGCACATACCATCATCTGCGAGAGAAAACGGAGTTGGTCGGGACTTGAGGGTGCTGCCGCCCCATTTCTGCCTTGCTGCGGCCCAATCGCGCTGGAAGTCTCTCTTGCCCGTCTCGCTGCGCGCAACTTCTAGCGAAAACGATGTCGGAGGTAGAGCTTCAGTATCCCGGACAGGGAGCACAAACGACGAGGCAAACGAAGTCGCAAGCGACAGCACAGACAGGCTCTGCAACAACATGTTCAACCGACACAACGAGGGCCTGAAGCAGGTGCCTGGAGTGTTTCTTGGGATAATTCAACAGGATCTTGAAGAGACGAATGAACGAAAAAGGAACGAGCGACTTGAAGAATGATGGAACTGCTTCAAAATGAAAGAGTAAAGGGGGATAGCGAGAGACAAAGGTGACCGACTGGGCAATGCCAAGGTGAGAAACGAGAGACGGGGATCAGCAATCCAGTTGAAGAGGGTTGGGCAATAAACAAGAAAGTGAGCACCAGGACCGTCGTATGATTTTCTTCCAAAACAATCTCAACACACCATCCAAGCCAGGCTTTCTGTAAGCGGGTAGGTACAAACGGATGTCACCTGGCAGCTGCCAGGTCTTGGCTTGGCTGTCTGCCAGCTGCAACGTCGCTACCCCAACAAGATCATCAAACAAGAGTACGAGACACATTGATTCCAATCTAAATCGCATCCAATATCGACCCCTCCTGCGAGAAGACACCCCTTTCTTCCAACTCGTGCCCAGCCGTGTCCGGGTTCGCAACCTCCATTGCCCGTGCATCACACCCAGCGTCCTCGTATCAGTCGCCGAAACGGCCACGCTGTAATAGCTGGCTGGTCCTGGTACCACATCGCACGAGACAAACACGGCATGAGGCGGCGATCCTGGAGGAAATTAAACGGAGGGGAGGGTTGCATAGCTACCTAGGTAACCTACTTGCCTACGTAGGTATGTACATGGCGTGCCGTGCTTCGTGTCGTGACCCTTTGCTATCAGCGTTTTGCTGAACGTACACCGGGGATGCTGCACAGCGGTCACCGCCAGCACAACAGTATACACAATAGTTGAACGGACGAAAATCTCCGACAACTTTAAAAAATGTGACATCATGTATTTTGTTCCTATTTTTCCCCCAAGCCAATGCGAGATCAATCACCATCTATTCTATGAGAAGCTCCTCTCAGTTGTTACATATGTACAGTTGTTGATATAGTTGCCCCTTGTTCTTAGGACGTTTATAGTTCGTCGTGTCCTTTCGTCTTGGCCTCCTCCTTGCTGCCATCTTCCTTCTTTGTCTCCTCATCAGCATGGCGCTTGCGAATATCAGCGAGAATCCGGTCAAGCTCCTTTTGGTCGATGCCTTCGGCAAACATCTCAGCATCCATGTCATTGACGTCAAACTTCTTGCCCTTGCCCTTGCCCTTAGACTTGGAAGGCTTCTTGGCCTTGGGCTTTTTGCCGCTGCCATTGAAATAGCGAAAGCCCTTCATGGCGACCTCCATGCTGATCTTGCTAAGCTTATCCTCCTTCGCAGCAATGTCGCTGCTCACTAGAACGGGGTCTTCAGCAGCACCGAGCTTGTCTTGCTTGGCCTCCATGTCTTTCAGCCACGCCTTAGTCTCGGTGTTGAGCTTCTCAACCTCGCTGAGGTCCTCGCGCTTGTACGGTGGCGGGGTTGCCGCTGCGGGCTTTTCCTCCTCGACCTCTTCCTTGGTCGTGGTAGCATCCTCATCTTCAAGGCCGTCAAACTCACCCGTGGATGACTCGGCGGCGGCAGACGCAGTGGAGGTGGAGCTAGAAGCCGCAGAAGCGCTGGCAAGATACTGCTCGTGTTCGTCGATTTGCTGGTAGATGCCCGCGAGGAAGTTATCAGTCTGGCTCAGGAGATCCTTGAGCTGCTTGACAGCTTTCGGTCGGGCGGTGGACTCTTGTACACGCTTCTGAACTGGGTTGGCAAGGTCCTGGAGCGACTTGAGCTTGGCCTTGAACTCGTCCTTCGTGGCAGTGGTGCCATCCTCGTAAAGCCAGTCGCTGGCCTCGCTAGCCTTTTCAGAGAGCGTAGTGCGCTCCTTCTCAGTCGATTTGGCAATAAAGTCGTCGTTCTCGAGAAGGTCACGAATCTTGTAGGTGAAAGCCTCGAGCTTGTTCAGAGCCTCCTCCCGCTGAAGTCTAGCCTTGTCGGAATCGGCAAAGGCCTTGAGTCGATCCTTGGAAGTAGTAAGCTCTTCCTGAGTGAGCTGGGGGAGGCCAGCCTTCTCAATAACAACTTGGACGGGAATGCTGACCAGCTCCTTCTTCTTGACATCTTCCTTGGGCGCCGCAGCCGCCTCAGTCGACTTGGAGTCATTGGTACCGGTAGAGGCAGAAGCCGACTCAGTAGAAGAGGAAGCGCTCTCAGACGACTTGGAAGACTTCTTGGGCTTGCTAGATTTTGTAGACTTCTTGCCCGACTTGGTAGCGTCCGCCTTGGCATCCTCACCATCCTCGGAGGCGTCCTTCTTGCCAAATCCAAACAGATTTTTGACACCGTCGATCAGAGTCTCTTTGACTTCGGCTTCGCATTCTACGTAAGCCGAGGCGACGGCTACTTCGCCATTCTCGCTGGACAGCTTGAGGGCAAGTTTAAATACTATTTCGGAGTCGACGCAGGAGGGGTACCTGTCCTTGAGAGCAACGGCTGTGGCGGTCAGGTTCTTGGTAGAAAAGGTGGCAACGGTCTGGTCGTCATCGCCCACTTGCTGGTAAAAGGTGCCAGAGAAGTCCTTGAAGTCGTGGAACGTAAGCGCCTTGGGAGCGCCACCAAGAGGAGAGGTGGAAGTCCAGAGACGCTGGCGCTGCTCCTTGCCCTTGGCGTTGGTGTACTTGATGCCGGCATCGTAGTTGGAGCCCTCCGAAATTCGAATCTCTTTGACGCGGAAACTGGGAGATAGCTCGGCGCCACGGAAGCCAGCACCAAACACAGCAGCCTCGTCAGAGTTGACGTTGGAGCGAAGCTTATCAGCGGAGCCGACAAGCTTCTCAAGGGCCTTCTGGACGAACGGGGTTCTCGTAGCACCACCATGAAGAATGATAGAGTCGAGGTCGACAATGTCAAGTCCAGCCATCTTGAGAGCGTCGTTGACAACAGTGGCAACTCGCTCGGGGAAATCTTGAGCCATGTTCTCGAAATCGGCACGAGTCAGCTTGAACTTGAAGTCAACATCCTCATATAGACCCTCAAAACTGGCGCCGGTATTCTGGTTGGCGCTAAGAACATGACGAACACGCTCAGCTTCCTTAATGAGCTTAGCCATTGCACGTCCATGAGCGCGAACACCCTCCGAGGTGGCAGAGACTTTCTGGGCCGACTTAGACTCGAGAAATTGCGAGATCATGTTGTCCGTGATGAGGTAGTTGAGCGCATCACCACCAAGAGTGCGGTCCCATCCAGCGCCAAGAGACTGAACCTCCTGGACGGTCTTGTTGTACTTGCCAACATCCTTGACATTACGGCTCTGAAACCTGAGGACGGTGGCGGTGGTGGAACCGGCGCCCATGTCGAAGACGATGTGGTACTCAGGCTTGGCACCCTCGTTGATGTTTGGAAACTGACGACCGGTGGCGTAGTTGAGACCGACCGCCAGGCCGTCGCTCATGATGCCGAGGACCTTCAGGCTGGCCATTTCGGCGGCGAGCTGGAGGGCGCGGCGCTCCTCGGTCGTATAAAAGGGCGGGACTGTCATGACGATGGAGCGGACCGACGAGCCCTCGCCGGCGAGCGCCTCCGCGTTCTTCTGGATGCTCTGGAGCTGCATGGCGAGCAGCTCCTCGACCATCCACGCCTCCTCGTCGGCGGTCAGCGTCTTGGTCTTGAGGGAGGGTGTGCCGCGGGTGGCGTGCGCCTGCAGCTGCAGGGCTGGGTGGCGCGCGGCGTAGTCGGCGACGACGGCGTCGCTCGCGGGAAGGCCGAGGAGGGTCTTGAGGTTCGGGTAGACTTCACCGGGGAAGCGAGCGGAGAGGGCAACGGCGTCGGCGCCGTAGGCGCGCTCGGGGAACTGGCCAGACTGGGCGCCGCCGGGGGCAGGCTTGAAGGCGACGGCGGACGTCTCCTTGCGGCGTGAGTCCTTGGTTAAGACAATATCGAGGGGCATGCCAGGTTTGACAAGGGCAGCCTTGATGTACTCTGTGCCGAGGTCGACGCCGAGGACGGCGGAGACGGCCATGACATTGGAGGCAAAGAGGAAGAAAGCTGCAAGCAGCGTCTTGAGTGAGGATAGGCGTAAGCGCGCCATGTTGCTGGGATGTATTATGTGGTGTGTAGAAGGCGGTTCAGCGGCGGAAAGTTGCGAAAGGTGGCTCGTGTGGGTATTAGGAAGGGACGAGCATTGGACGAGAGAAAACGGAAGAATGAGAGCAGAATAAGACTGAAGAAGGTGGGCAGTTCGAAAGACGTCAAAGTCTAGGCGACTCAATTGCTCCAGGAAGTGGGCAGGCCGGCCGCGTTTTGTCGTGAGGATGTAGTAACTATTAAAGGTTGATGTGGCCAGCGAAGCATGTCGGACAAGGACAGCTTGCCGCTCCACACCAAATCGGTTAGCTCAGGGCGCAGGACCCCACGCAGGTACCGAAAAGGACAAGTTGCAGAGTCTTTTTAGTGCAAAATCTACTAGTAAGGTACTTGGTACCTACCTGAAGTTGAAAATAATAAAGCAGATAACTAGGTAAGGAAAGAAATAGAACGGGGATTCACAACATAAATAAATTAAAACAAGGAAGAAACGAAGAAACGCAGAAAAACAACTACATTAAAGAAGATGGTTAGAGTTGTAAAGTGTCGTTTATTACGAGTCAGGCGTCTGTTGCCAGCTGCCTTGTGCTCATCCTCTGGCACGATTTGGTCAACAGCTCGTCGCCCATATTGACGACCGCCTCCGTCATCTCGTTCGAAATAGTCTCTGCCTAGATACTCCAGACAACCAGCCTCGCATGCCTAGTTATGCCGGTCGATCCACTGATTCTCCGGCAAAGGAGCGCGGCCCGCGCTGTCACCATGGTATCATGTCGCTACTAAGAAGTCAGTACGTCCGGCTCCTGCCTAGCATGCACTCTAATAATAGTGCCCTCTAGCATGTATCGTAGCGCGACTGCTGTGGTAGTAGGCATGACGTGCAAGGTGGTGAAGCAAACTCCCAACACAATTCGCCACTGACAGTCAACCTTGAGGCACGTCGGAGCACGAGACTGGCCGGCGCCAGGCAGCCACCACAGACCAAACCGATCTATTTCTGGGCCTGGTTCCAAGCCTTCCTTTGTCCGGTCGTAGGTGCAGTATGCGAGCCGCACATGCCGTTCTGCTCCGTGGTGTCGCTCTCGACACAAGATATATCGCTGCTGGTGCAGTTGCTGATTCTTCGCCAAAATATCCATGTTCAGCTAGCAGAGCGGAAATCCAGGTTGAAGCTTCGTACCAAACCACGGAAGAGCGTCAGCTGTGTAGCCCTCGCTCACCTAAACTGATAAATTTCATCATTTCTGAACAAGCCCCAGTTGTAGCATTGTACCCCTATCAGACGAGCGTGTTTAATCGAGCTGCAGTCTCTTGTCGCGTCGTGTACCGTTGTTCTTGGGCCAACTCGCTCTTGTCATCGTCTCGGGGTCACCTGGGGCGTAAACATTTTTCATTATTTCATACGTAGCCTTGCTTTATAAATGCTCAACTGACCCGTCTATACACGAGGTTGCCACCGGCCCTGCACGAGGTTCTGGAACGTTCATTAGCCACCCTGGTGCTTCCTGCCGGCCTCTCCCAATCCTCCAAAATCCAGTACCAAAAAGGTCAATGAAGACCGAAAACGCCGCCATGCCATTGTGTACAAGTTCCTCTGCGCTCTAGAGGACGGTAAAATGTATCGCCTGGCACTCTTCGCAGGCTGTAGCTGACCCCGTATCTACTGATCCTCCTGACGAGGGGGGCGAGGAGCGGCGCTGTTGGGGTTCGTGTTACGGTTGTTACCCCTTCCCCTGCCCCGGCCATCGCCACGGCCACCTCGACCGCGATACTCTCCACGACCGCGACCGCCACGGAAGTTACCACTTCCTTCGCGCTCATGACGAATCTTGTTGCGCTGCACCTGATGGAATCCATCGTTTGGTTGTGCGGTGCCAGGAGGGGCCTGCTACCTGTTAGTTTGTGGCACTATATCGGTCAACAGAAATGAACTTACAGCAGTGCTTCCGTCGGGTTGGTCATCAGCCCAAGACCGAGCACCAGTGGCTTCAACATGAGCCGCAGCTGCATGGGCCGCATCCTGAGGAGCCTTGACATCCACCCACTCTTGCGAGATTGATAGGTCGTTGCCATTAGCCAGCCCATTTGGGACAGCTTCGCTAATAGAAAGAGCCTCAGCACCAGCCTCAATTTCCACGACATTGGGCTCTGTAAGAACAGTGACGGGCGCAGTAGGAGCAGAACCCTCCGTTTCCGTCTCAGTCGCCTGTGAAGCTTCCGGGTATGCCACAGTATAACCCTTGGCGAGGGTGCTGATATCAGAATCTGTCGCCATGTCAGTGTCATAAGTAAAATATACACCACAGCCTACTTACAAGTTGACTCGAGCTTCTCTCCGGGGACGCTGACTACTTGCTCCGCAGATCCCTGCAACAACTTCACCATGGCAGCGACAGCGGAGCTGTCCCCAGAGTAAATGGCAAGCAGAACTCCCTCAATGGCCTGAGTCTCGTCTGACTCTGGGTCTCGGCCTTCCTCTCGACGGTACGCAGCTAAGCGGAGGAACTGCGACAGCAGAAGGAGGTTCTCCTGGAAGCTCTTGTCAAAGACCTCCTTGACTTCCACAGTCACATTCTCTCTGAGCTTTTGAATTGTTTTCTCGAACTCGGCCTTTTCAGCTGCAGCTTGGGCTACGTACTGATCATGTACCCTCTGATATTGGGCAAGCTGCTCCTCGAGAGTCGCAAGCTGAGCCGCAAGACCAGGCTTCTTGAGAATTTGAGTTTTCTGGTCGGTGTTGAGAATCTTGGCGGCAACCAACTCATCGAGGGTCTTGCCTTTGTGCTCGGCAAGGAGGGAGTCCGTCTTGTTGGCGTTAACCTGCAAGCGTTTGTTAGAATCGGCGGCACTTTAGCCTGGGGGCGGGCAGCAGCCTTACAATTTTCTTGTTTACATTGCGAATGTTTCTACGGAACTCGTCAGTGACATGCGACACGAATTCAATCCCTTCGAAATACATACTTTTGGAGCTCCTTGATGTATGGGCTCTCGAAAACATCGTCGGCCCTGTCTGCAGAGGCGGCAACAGAGGTGGTGCTCGGAGCAGGAGAATCGCTACGCTCGATGGCCTTGGCAGCCTTCTTCCTGGCTGACTTGGAAAGGGGCTGGGTAGCAGTCGCAGCAGCCATGATGATCGATCGGACGATATCGTACGCTTGTTGTGTAGGTGTTTGTTTCGAAGGCAACGTCGACGAAAATCGAGGATGGAGGGATTGAGAAGGCAAAAAGGACGATGCCGCAATGCAGAAACAGGTGCAAATACGAGGAGGTGATATTGCAAAGACAAGGTAGTGATGACGGAAGAAGTTTAGGTTCTAGGGGGAGGAGAAGAGTTCAAATAGTCAAAGTGGAGGAGTGAAACTCAGGTGCCTGGGCGGGTGGTGCACTTGTGGCCGTTTGTTCGACGACAGCCCGCACTGTTGGCAGTGGGTAGCCGGCTTCTAGAATCACACAGAACCACGACTCTTTTTTAGGCACCGGTTAGGCCTAAAGGAAGCTCTGTATTCTCAAAATCTTTATTTCTATTGAGGTGGGTATCCGAGTTTTTCCAATTGCAGTGAATTCTATCTACTACAGGATTCCAGCAGGTCTGCGAGCGTTGGTGCCTGAATGTAGGCATCTACTTAAGGATGTGGACCCGGTCTCGTGCGCATGTCGGGGGTTATCAGGCACTACAGTAACCAAAGTCTCGATTTCGCCACAGATTGGAGCCGCCTAAGCTGATGCCTGCCTGTCTGAACGTATATAGACGGCCGTGCAGGTATGCCGCCCACTCATGGCTGCACTTGCGTGGCAATGCACAGCGGCATTATCGTACAGATCGTGTCGTGTCGCATTCGCGGTCTCCGCTCTTGGTAGATCGGGTCGTATGGGGTTGCCTGCTAATCTGCGATGTGTTTGCTTGGTTCACGTCTAGCCTCGTGTTTTTCAACCCTTGAACTTGGCAAGAACATCCTGCAAGGTGATTAGCTGCTATCCAATATTCAATGCCTTTGGCATCCTTACTCGCGTAGCCTTTTTGACACTTCGGGTTGTTAGGCCTCTTTCGCCAGACTGCTTGGATTGGATGGCCGCTTCTTTGACGAGACTGAACTAATGTAAACAGACGTGCAAAAACGGATACATCCACCTGCAATATTACCTTTCCATAAAGAGCACGTAGTTCAGGTAAATCTGTCGCCTTCTCAGTTAGGTAAACAACGGGGTGCGGGACGCAGCGTACCGACACATCGGCGTCCTTCTTCAGTGTATGATTCGAGTGCGCCTTGATAATCTTTTTCAACGTCGCCTTCGGATATGCTTTTGTGCCCATTTTGACAGCGCGTTTTCCCACCTAAGGCAGCCAGCAGGTGTAGAGAACCTTGAGTCGAATTCTATGTCGCGTCTGAAGGTTGAGCTTGTGTGGGGCGCGACTCATGAAGAAGACGGTGCGAAAATGAGCTCAGGCACTGTGCCTTACACAGTATCCGTACCCCACCATCAATCTTAGGTTGCTCCCGAGCAGAGAGTAAAGCCAGCAAACCAGGTCCGCTTGGTTACAGAAGAGCTATCAAAATGTCTTCAGTACTGCAAAGGCGTATGGTATGTAGCGCCTACAGATGCAAGTCCTCCGTTCGCACGACTGACACGCTTCACACAGCTGTCCAAGGAGGAGGAGGCAGCGGGACAAGAAGTCGAGGTCCGTCGCGAGGACCAGGACAAGATCAACAGATTCAGCAGATTGCATCAAAGAGAGTTGCTTCTGGAGGAGGAGCTGAAGGCGAATAATGTTTGTGTTCTCCGTTCTTAGGTGGTGTACCGACCGTTGACTGACGACATGAAATAGAAAGAAAAGGAAGAGCTCGACGACCTCTCGACCGAACTCGAGCTCGCCGACGAAGACGAGAAAATCCAGTAGGACATCTCTACAAGCAATAACGATACAAAAAGTCGGCCCTGTGCTGACAATTACCCCAGATACAAGATTGGCGACGCATTCTTCCACCTGCCGCTGGAACAGGCCCAAGAAATGTTGGGCACAGCGACGACTCGAATCGAAAAGGATACCGAAGTACTGGAGGAAAAAATAAGCACCATCAAGGAGCAAATGACAGAACTAAAAGTTGACCTGTATGCAAGATTTGGCAAGCAGATCAATCTCGAAGTATAGAAGACGAATAATACGACTGGAAAGTCATTATCCGACTACGGATAGCGCCTTCTCTGTGACCTCTACGATACTAGTGCCGACTGCGAGGTTGCACTTCTCAAAAGCATCAGCACGAATTGCCATTTTCTGAGAGCATCATTGTCCGCGGGGGCCGTAAATCGGAGTGTAACGCTAGTAGCACAGCGAATTGAGACTTGCGTGCTTGCAACCGTATCATCTGCGGCGAAACGGAAAAAACACACCCCCACGCACCGTGCCCATCTGGGCTCCGCCCCGAAGGCCGCGGACAACTGGGGCGAGCAACCCTATTGACTGGCAGAGTTCTGTATCGGAAAAGGGCACCGCGTTGTACCCGGGTATATTCGAGCGGCGCCCGATGAACGGCCCCACGCCCTTCCAAAGCAACAACTTAATTTGGGTCGCTCCCTCACCGATTTTCAACCATGGCACGCATTCTCTTTCAATTTTCATCTTGCCATTTATGCGAGCGCTCGCTGCTGGAACTACTGGGCTGACGACTACGCAGCTCCGTTCCAAAGGAAGCCACCGGTAGTGCGACTTGCGCCCACGACGCATTCCGATTCCGCGATTGTCATGAGCCGAGTCGGGGAACATTGACCCGACGAGTCGTACTAGAAATGAATGGCAGCAATTCCGCCATAGTGGCCGAGGGAGGGGAGGACTCGGGCCGTCCTCGTAAGGCACCACTACTGTACTCACAAACGCCGAGTGATGGCTCTCAGTTGAAACTGCGTCGCCTTGCTGACTACTTTGCTCTTTTTGCCTCTAGATGATGGCCAACACGGCCGGTCAAGTACCGAAATCAACCGAGAAGCGGAAGAGGAGCGGCTCGAATCTTCTCTTCCCGAAGAAGATGATCTTGAGGAGGACGACCTCGCAGCGCTTGACCAGGTTCGCTCGCGCACACGCAGTCGTCCCGGTTATGAGACGATAGAATGGAAAATTGATGACCCCGAGAACCCCAAGAATTGGTCCCACGTTCGTCTTCCACATCCCTCGTCACCTCTCCGACCCATGACACTAACCCACGGCTCCCCAATCAGACTAAAAAGTGTCTCGTCACCGCCCTAACGTCGATGCTCGTTCTCAACTCGACGATTGGCTCCGCGTTGCCCAGCCAGGCCATCCCCTTCATCGCAGACTATTTCGGTGTCACCTCCCAGGAGCAACGCGTGCTGCCCATTTCCATCTTCCTCGTCGGCTACGTCTTTGGGCCCCTCATCTGGGGCCCGCTGAGCGAGCACATTGGCCGGCGCAACCTGACCCTCGTCACCTTTACCAGCTTCACCCTCTTCACTATGGGCTGCGCGCTCGCGCCGTCGTGGCGCGCTCTGCTCGTACTGCGCTTCTTCACCGGCGTCTTTGCCGCCTCGCCCATTGCGATTGTCGCCGGCATCCTCGCCGACGTCTACGGCGACGCCCGCGAGCGCGGCCGCGCCTTTGGCGTCTTCATGGTCGTCACCACGCTCGGCCCGCTCGTCAGCCCCATCATCTCGGGCTACACCGCCGAGACCATCGGCTGGCGCTGGGCCTTTTGGGTCAACCTCATGTACGCCGGCGCCACGCTCGCCTGCGTCCTCTTCCTGCCCGAGACGTACGAGCCCGTACTACTCGAGCGCCGCGCGCGCCGCCTCCGCGCGCAGGACCCAGCCCGCAACAAGGTCGTCGCGCCGCGGGAGCTCGAGGAGACGGACGTGGGCCAGCTTATTAGTGTCGTCCTCGCCCGCCCGCTACGCATGCTCTTCACTGAGCCCATCGTCGCCTGCTGTTGCGCCTACCTCGGCCTCGTTTACGCCGTCTTTTACATGTCTTTCCAGGCCTACCCCATCATCTATCAACAGCTTTACCACCTCAGCCCCGGAGAAACGGGCCTCACTTACCTCTCCGTCGGCGTCGGCGCCGCCGTGGCCCTCCCCATCTTTTGGAACTGGGATGCCGTCCTCGCCCGCGCCCAGGCCCGCGGTGCACTCTGGGTCCGCCGTGAAGAGTATCGTCGCCTGCCCCTCGCCTGCATCGGTGGGCCGCTTTTCGTCATCTCCCTCTTCTGGATGGGCTGGAGCGCCCGCCCCGGCGTTTCCTTTGTCGTACCCCTGCTCGCCGGCATCCCCTTTGGCGTCGGCATGGTCCTCATCTTCTTCGCCATCCTCAACTACCTCGTCGATGCCTACGAGATATTTGCCGCGTCCGCCAACGCCGCCTCCTCCACCAGCCGCTCCGTCCTCGCCGTCGTCCTTCCCTTTGCCACCACGCACATGTTTGATCGGCTCGGGATTGCTGGTGCCTGCTCTTTGCTAGGCGGGCTACTCGCCGTCATGTGTGTCATTCCCTTCATCTTCATCTGGAAAGGCGAGGCCATTCGCGCCCGCTCCAAGTTTTGCGTCGCCTTGCGCGAGAGACGAGAGAAGTTGGCGCGGAGGGCCGAAGAGCGCCGTCGTCGGCAAGAGAGAGAGGAGATGCGCGAAAAGGCGAGAAACGATGCCCAGAGGCAGCGAGCAGCGGAGTCACTGGAAGTTTAGACCACAGTCTCTTTGTTGTTTTATTTTGTTTTTGCATTGCCGTATAGAGTATGATATAACGCCTGCGGAGATGGCCAAACTCGCTTGGCTCCAGAAACCAGAAATCAGCATTCAAGAGACAAAAAGTTAAAATAACCAATAAAGTTAGAATAATACATATAAAGATTATTGATCAGGAAAACTAAAAAAGCTACCAAAAAGAAGCAAGATACCTAGGTGGTTAACTAGTAACCTAGCGGATTGAGTTTGGGTTCTGCTAGTCTTCTTCTGGATGTGCTTGAATGTTCATCCGTCATCAATCAAGGACGTGTAGTGTAGAATGTTGAGATCGTCCGTCACACTTGATGAATTGATTTAAAGTCACGTAATATGTGTATTATTATCATTTTGAGATCCCAGCTGGGTCTTCTCGTCCCCAATCGGGAACATATGTATCTATATGTTGAATGTGCGCCTCGCCAATGCAAACCCTGAAACCCGTGGGTTGAATAACCTTTTGTTGGGAAGCACTAGCAAGCGCATCTGTCACCAACAGCCCAAAAACGCCGATGTTGAAATCGTAGCCGGCATTATTTCGCGCAGCCTCAAGCAAGAACAAAGAAAAACAACGCTTTAAGAATGGTCAATTCTTCAATGACACATTCTCACACCCCCGTCCGTACTCCGACCAAGCTGGCATGTTGTAGCCGCTTATTTGGCATACTGGGCACGGAAAGCCTTCGCGGCGCTGACCATGTTGGCCAGAGCCTCCTTGGTCTCCTTCCACTGACGGGTCTTGAGGCCACAGTCAGGGTCGATCCAGAGCTGCTCAGGCTTGAGGAACTGAAGCATCTCCTGGATGCGGTCCTTGATCTCTTGCTCGCTGGGAACACGGGGCGAGTGGATGTCATAAACACCGGGACCAATGTGGCGGGGGTAGGCAGAGTCGACGAAAACGCGAAGGAGCTTGGCGTCAGACTTGCTGTTCTCAATGGAGAGAACATCGGCATCAAGCGCAGCGATGGCGTGGAAGAAGTCCTGGAACTCAGAGTAGCAGAAGTGCGAGTGGATCTGAGTGGCGTTCTCGACACCAGCAGTGGACAGCTTGAAAGCGTTGACGGCCCAAGCGAGGTAGGCGTCACGCTCCTTGCCAGAGCGGAGAGGAAGACCCTCACGGAGAGCGGGCTCATCGACCTGAATGACGTCGACACCGGCCTTCTCGAGGTCGACGACCTCGTCGCGGAGGGCGAGAGCAAGCTGCTCAGCCTGGACGGACTGGTGGACATCGTCACGGGGGAAAGACCATCGAAGGCAGGTGACGGGGCCGGTAAGCATACCCTTCATGGGCTTGTCAGAGACCGAGACGGCGTACTTGGACTCCTTGACGGTCATGGGGGCAGGGCGAGAGATATCACCGACAATGATGGGGGGACGGACGCAGCGGGAGCCGTACGACTGGACCCAGGCGTGGGTGGTGAAAGCATAGCCGTCAAGGCGCTCACCAAAGTACTGGACCATGTCGTTACGCTCAGGCTCACCGTGAACGTAGACGTCGAGGCCGAGCTCCTTCTGGATGCGGACGTTGTCGTCAATCTCCTTCTCGATGAACTTGTCATACTCAGCCTCAGTAATCTCGCCCTTGGTAAGACGTTGGCGCTGCTGGCGAATCTCCTTGGTCTGGGGGAAAGAGCCGATGGTCGTAGTAGGGAAGAGAGGAAGGTTGAGCTTCTTCTCCTGCTCGCTAATACGGACGGGAAACTCAGCCTTGCGGCTGTAGTCCTGGGCAGTGATCTTGGACTGACGCTCCTTGACCTGAGGGTTGTTGGTGCGAGCGGAGGAGGCACGAGCCTGCATAGACTTGGCGTTGGCCTCGAGCTGCTCCTTGACGGAGGCAGGGCCCTCGGTGACGGCCTTGGCAATCAGGGCAATTTCAACAGCCTTCTCGGAAGCGAACGAGAACCAGTCAGCGACCTCGGCGTCAAGCTTCTTCTCGGAAGCAAGAGTGTGGGGAGTGTGGAGGAGGGACGATGAGGTAGCAGCAATGACGCGCTCCTTGCCCAGCTTCTGAATGGCCGACTCAACAGTCTCAATAGCGCGCTTGAGGTTGGTCTTCCAAATGTTACGGCCGTCGACGACACCGGCAGAGAGGATAGTGTTGGGGCCAAGAGCAGCGGCGACGGCGTCGAGCTGCTCGGGGTTGCGGACAAGGTCAACGTGGACAGCATACACGTCCTTGGGGACGAGATCGAGGTTGTGGACGATGTCGCCGAAGTAAGTGGTAAAGACGAGCTTGGGGATCTTGTCACCAAGGCTGGCAAACTTCTCGTAGGCGGGCTTGAAAGCAGCCTTGGTCTTGGCAGGGAGGTCAAAGACGAGGACAGGCTCGTCAATCTGAACAGTCTCAGCACCAGCAGCCTTGAGCTGAGTGAGGTACTGCTCGTAGACGGGCAGAAGCTTCTCTAGCAGGTCGATGGGGTCAATCGACTGGCCACGGTCGGCCTTGCCAAGGTGGAGGAAAGTAACAGGGCCGACGAGGACGGGGCGGGTTTCAATGCCTGCCTCCTTGGCCTCCTTGAACTCGACAACAGCCTTGGGGCTGTCTACAAGCTTGAAGGTCTGGTTGTCCTGGAGGGTAGGCTTGACGTAGTGGTAGTTAGAATCGAACCACTTGACCATCTCCAAAGAAGAAACGTCAACGCCACCCTTCTGGTGACCACGGCCCATGGCGAAGTATTCATCAATGGTGTCAAGACCATCCTTGGTGTAGCGCTCAGGCACAGCACCGAAGTCCTGGATCTGGTGAAGGACCTGGTCGTAGAGAGCGAAATCGTTGCTGGGAATGGAGGTGACGCCAGCATCCTTCTGGATCTTCCAGTGCGCAAGACGCAGACGCTTGGCCTCGGCAAGTAGGTCAGCCTGAGAAATCTTGCCACCCCAGTCTAGAAAACAGTTGTTAGCACGATTGCTTTTTCTGTTGGACCAGCTTGGCGAGGTAGTGGGCTGAGTGACTAACAAGCTTCAGTAGCCTTCTTCAGGTCACGGTTGACACCCATGCGGGGGAAACCGAGAATAGCGGACTGAACCATTTTGGCGGTTATACGGTATTTTCTGAAGGACCTATACGATTGAGATCTGGAAGAAATTCATTGGTTAGTGACCATGCCGCATAGAAGAGGGAGGCGGGGTAGCGGGAAGCTGAACGCCGAGCCAGATCAAAGGCGGGACTGGTTGGTACATACAATGTGACGGCCGTACTGCTGGCTCGATGAACAAAAGATAGGATATCAGTTCCTCAAAGCACAGAGACTTGCAGGAGGAAAGGAATTGGGTGGGAAAGAAGGAAAATTTCCCGCGAGGGGCAAGTGCGGGGGCGGGCTTAAATACACTGCCTGAAGCCTGAAGGCGGAGGGGGGGAGCAGAACAAGCTGAGCTGGTGAAAGGGAAAGGGAAAGGAACAGCGCCTGAACCGGCGCAGTGAGCTTCCCCCCCACTTACCCACCCTCGTTGTGGGTTGTGTTGTACATGAACAGGGGGTTTGTAATCAGCCCGCAGCTTTCATGCCAGCGCGCAGCTAAAATCTGTTAGGTATTAGTGTCAATCTCGAAAACTCTTCGATGGTACAAAACAAATTGCAACTTTTTACATAGACAGAATGCCAGCTCTGAAAACGACTTGAATTGACCTTTGGAACTTGCGCAAACCTGTACGAACCCTTTCTTTCTTCCCTTGGTTGTGTTTGCTGGTTTCCTTCTTAGCCAGTCACGTGGGTTCGCGTTGGTGCAGCCGCGACATTACGTATGCTATGTAGCCATCGTGAAATCGCCTTTACAAGATCACTGGTGAACGAAATCGATCGCGCTGCACACACTTATTTCCACATGACTCCGGCCTTTATAGCGGACTCTGATGAGGAGTCTGAAACTGATACTTTTTCGCCTCCGCCCGCGGCCCAGGTAGAGGAGCCCTCGTTTGCAAGCACCAATTCTGAGCCTGTTAGCCTGGCCACATCTTCCACGGATACCACCTTTTTCCAGGGCATATACCACGAACAGCAGATCGCCGCCGCCAGGGAGCAACAACTCAGAACTCACGGAGGTCTCAATGAGACTCTACCGCCTACGGCTCCTACCGGGACCGAGCAAACAGACCCCGTCTCGTTGCCGTCGCAGTATCCAGAGGGCACTCCATTGACGGTCGGGGATACTAATCGTAGCAACGCTTCGAATCCCATCAAATCAGCCATTATGAGGGGAAAGAAGGTTAGACAAGATACCGTTCGGGCCGCAGATCCGTACGCGTTTCCAAGCAGCGCGGAGGAGGATGAAAGCCGTGGCGGGCATCGCGCCGGCCGTATGATGGCTGTCAGCTCATCTCTGGCTTATCGCGGGGCTGGAGTGGGGGGAGTCGACGAGGAAGATGCAATGGGACCGCCTCTTAGGAAGAGGCAACGGTTAAATCCGCGCGGTAACGACTGCATCGACAGTTCACTACCACCCACTGCACCACAGATGTACAGCAGCATCCCGCCCACCATGCCTCCAGTTGTTGTTGATGAAATCACTAACAACGAAATCACCGAACGTTCAAGCACCCAGTTAGTTCCTACCATGGATATCAGCGATGATCCGTCACTCATGATCCACCCTCGAGGCTTGACCAGCAACCAGAAGCAGCAATACATTGCAGTGGACTTGGCAGCGCGAGAGGGGAATGAAGATATTATGAACCAGACCCCTCGGCAGTCGAGAGCTAGATCTCAACGTCAAAGGACAAACGCGACCGCGTCCAAGCCAGACACTCCGAAACGACGTGCCAAGTCTAAACCAGACAAAGACGTTGTTAAATCTCCACAGCTCGGCACACCGGAACAGACACAGGAGGGAAAGCATATAGTTGTCCTTGACGATAGCGAAGACGAAGCATACGGAGGGAATGATACCCAGGTCGTCAAAGAAATCGAGAGGAAGCTCGCTGCAGATGAAATACAGCCGCTAACAACTCCAGCGACAAAGAGGACAAGGGGGAGGCCAAAAAAGGCGGAGAGCCAGGCACAAGGAGCTCTCGCTATACCATCGGAACCAAAAAGGGCACCAGAGTCTGGAAGAGCTTCAAAGAAAAGAGGCCGGCCAAGAAAAGCCGAAACGGCGGTGGTCGTGGAGACCAAGCTGGAGGTAGTGGAAGAAGATGAAGCACAGACTGAAGTTCCAGAAGGAGGAGGAGCCAAGCACGAAAAGATAATTACGACTGATGTCAAGACGGAGGACCAAACAAAGCCAAACGATGTTAAAGTTGACGATGAAAAGGCCGCCGGCGGTTCTCTTGTGACAGCCAAAAAGACGCCACAGAAACCGGCTGGCAAGCGAATAGAAACACCACAAATGGGCAGTACAGGCAAACCTCTGTATCGAATAGGATTGAGCAAGCGATCAAGGATCGCGCCGTTGCTCAAGTCGCTCCCGAAATGAGGTCGCCCCAGACTAAGTAAAGGCAATACGACAACTACATTGCCATTTTTCTTTCTTTCTAATAAATGTATGGGCTGCTCCTCACTATTTATGTCGCTCATTGATGCAGGTGGCTTCTTATTCGAACTTTGCTCGCTTACTGAGCCTTCTCGTAATTCTGGTCGGGAGAACCTAGATCGTCTAAGTTTTCTCGGACCAAGATACGTCCTTTCTAACCTCATCAAGCTGGTGTTGCGTAAAACACTCAATTGCGCGGTCGACCTCGCCTTTCATCTACGTAAAGTTGGGACGACCTTGGCTCCAATTGGTCCAATGATATCTTTGACGATGAAAAGAATGGAATGTGTTATTCTGTCGCGACAGTCAATGTGCAACTCAGCGGCTTCCAGTAATGGATTGCATCCACGCGCGATTGAGGTAACTAGAAGCCGTTGCGAGGTAGAGAGTGTGCTGAAGAGAGTTTTGGACAACGGCTCGTTAGATTTGCGTATCGGGACCATAACTACTCAATTTAAAGACTCAGAAGTCTCTTTAATTGATATTTTATTTATTTATTGAGGAACTTGATTAAATTGTCACTTCTAATCATCAAGAGTCTGCTCCTTCAGATTCGTATTCGCTTCACCCTTCCTATTTTCTTCGCTCTCGTTGCCAAGGATAAAAGCCGCAGGCTTGGCGCTAGCCCTGGACTGGACCCCTCACCAACGTTTGTTTTAACTCGCAAAAAAAAATCAATTTAGCACGAGCACGCCATCTGGAGCTAATAACGCAGGGATGTGGAGGAATCGCCAGCGTGGGTATCTGGCTGGACGGGCGACTCTGGCGCAGGCCGACGGTCGGAAGACCATGACTCTGCCCCGCCAGCTTGTGGCTGCCCCTCCAAGAAGTGGCATGTGTTGTCGGTCAATGACGGGTGAAATGGGCATGTCGAATGAAGAATTCCCCCATGTTGGTCAATCGAGGCAATCATCTGTTATGCTCGACTTGAAACTGGCCAAAGTTCTGTCAAAAGTACGTGACGAATCGGACGTCCATCTGCAAGCCACCTGTCGCCGATAACGGTTCCCCTCCCCCACCTGCGGTAGTTTTTTTTGCACCAGCAGATCTCGGAGCATCAGATCGCTTCCCGAACATCAGCGACGTCTTAAAGCCTTTGGTTCGAACCGCTCGTTGCAGAGGGCATACCGGTCTATATACGACACCAGTCTACCAAAATCACACCAATGGCGACCAATGGAAAATCTGCGGCTGCCGAGGCCCAACCCGAGGCCACCACTGGCAACCCTTCACATCGCTACCTGAGCACCCGTGGCGAGGACTCTGGGGTATGTAGTCATCGCAATGCAAAAAAAATCAGAACCCCGACCGCCCCAATGAGCGCACTGCCTTTTGCGCGCACCCGGGGTTCCCGATCCGATGAAAACGGCAAACCGCAAAATATCCAACAACTAACACTTTTTGCGCGCAACCGCAGTTTACGTTTGAGCAGGCCGTCCTCAAGGGCCTCGCCTCCGACGGCGGGCTCTTCATCCCTGAGGCCATTCCCGCCGCTGCCGGCTGGCAGGCCTGGAAGGACCTGTCTTTTGCCGACCTGGCCTACGAGGTGCTCTCGCTGTATATTTCCCCCGACGAGATCCCGCCCGCCGACCTACGCGACATTGTTCGCCGCAGCTACGCGACGTTTCGCCACGCCGACACGACGCCGCTCGTCCACCTCGAGGGCAGCCACTACCTGCTCGAGCTCTTCCACGGCCCGACGTTTGCGTTTAAAGACGTGGCGCTGCAGTTTGTCGGCAACCTGTTTGAGTACTTCCTCGTGCGGAAAAATGAGGGCAAGACGGGCAAGGGTACGACTCTACCGATGGGGGGACGTCGAAGAAGAAAGGCTAACAGATGTATGCAAAATAGACCGCCACCACCTCACTGTCGTCGGTGCCACGAGCGGCGACACGGGCTCCGCTGCCATTTACGGCCTCCGCGGCAAAAAGGACGTCTCCGTCTTCATCATGTTTCCGACTGGCCGCGTCAGTCCCGTCCAGGAGGCGCAGATGACGACGGTGCTCGACGCCAACGTCCACAATCTCTCCGTCGGAGGCACATTTGACGACTGCCAGGACCACCTCAAGGCCCTCTTTGCTGACCCCGACACCAACGCGGCCCTCAACCTCGGCGCCGTCAACTCCATCAACTGGAGCCGCATCCTCGCCCAAATCGTCTACTACTTCCACGCCTACTTCTCCCTCGCCAAACAGTCGCCCGGCTTCACTCTCGGCGACAAGGTGCGCTTCGTGGTGCCCACGGGCAACTTTGGCGACATTCTCGCCGGCTACTTTGCGCAGCGCATGGGCCTGCCGGTCGACAAGCTCGTCATTGCCACCAACGAAAACGACATTCTCGACCGCTTCTGGAAGACGGGCACGTACGAAAAGCACGCGTCGCCAGACGTGGCGTCGGACAAGGACGCAGCGACGGCGCCGGCCGTCGGCGCCGACCCCTCGGGCGTCAAGGAGACGCTCAGCCCCGCCATGGACATTCTCGTGTCGAGCAACTTTGAGCGGCTGTTGTGGTTCCTCGCCTACGAGTTCGCCGCGACGGCCGGCATGGACGACGAGTGGAACAAGCGCCAGGCCGGGCAGGAAGTCGCCGGCTGGCTGCGCAGCCTCAAGGAGGCGGGCTCCTTCGGCCCCGTCTACCAGGACGTGCTCGCTGCCGCCCAGCGCGATTTTGAGAGCGAGCGCGTCACCGACGCCGAGACGCTCGACACCATTGCCGCCTTTTACCGCCGCGTTGGCCACGTCCTCGACCCCCACACGGCCGTCGGCGCCGCCGCCACGCAGCGCTCCGTCGCCCGCGCCGTGCCCGCCGGCATCCCGCACATTTCCCTCTCCACCGCCCACCCGGCCAAGTTTTCAGGGGCCGTCGAAAAGGCTCTGGCCCGCGAGACCGGGTTCGACTTTGCCGCGCAGGTCCTGCCTGAGGAGTTTGTCGGGTTGGAGACGAGGGAGCGCAGGGTCGCAACAGTGGAGAATGACTGGCGCAAGGTGCGTGAGCACGTCAAGGCTCAGGTGGAAAAGGAGCTGGCGGAACAGCAGTAGGATGAGACGGCGCAGAAGAGAAAAGAGGTGGAATACATGGACGGGGCAAAACATTCATATTTAGAGCAGGGCGCTTCAAGCATATAAGCAGAATGATTGATATATTCCATTTTTCTGTTTAAACGTGGTGTGATATCTCTGGCTGGATGTGTTCACAGATGTTCGCGTACTCGCTCCAGTCCATCTTTATGTCTTTTGAAGTTACATTTTACATATTTGAACTCGATGCTATAGGAGCAATCACATGGACAAAGAGTTGCAAATCTGCTTATCTGTATCGGTACTAGTATTTGCATGATATAGATCCGGTTCTCATCTCCAATACAGTATTCGTCTGCGTGAGCGCAAGGCACACATAGACTAAAAAAGCAAAAAGCCTTCCAGTAGCTCACACCAACAGAGAACAGTAAAAAATATCAACATTCCAATGAGTTGATACCGGAAATCAATAAAAGAAACGCCGACGTAGATGCATCAGTAGTATCGCGGGATTCAGGCGGATTGTGCGTGGATTCCCTCAGGGACATTCGTGGCTAGCCAGCCCATGCCGCATCCGTATAGTGTACATTATCGTCTTGAGGTGTATCAATCACATACGACGGATAGTCATCAAGCGTTCGCTTAGCCCTTGTCTTTGATGTGCTTCTTGATGAATTCGAACGACGAAAAGAAGATGGCGTTGACGACGCATGAGCGACTCATGGAAACTGCCAGCCCGCGGTACATGTGCCGCTTGAAAAATGTGATTTTGGGTGCCGGTTCGACCTTCTCGCCACGTGCGTAGAGGAGCGAATTTCGCTGGTATATACTCTTGGCCGAGTCAATCGGATCTGTGTTTACCATTAGCTTTGCATCCCAGTTCAGCCAGCCGAGAGGCTTAGCTTACATATTATCGCCCAAGAAATGAGGCCACACGAACCACCAGCTGCTACTACGGCGAGTTTATTGCTGCTGTCTCCGGCGAGTGTAGTTCCGAGTTGCTTTCCGCTCTCATATACCATGAAGTATATACCTGTCCCGATCGTATCTCTCACTGTTGAGGGTTAGCGGCATCCGGCAACAGCGCAGTGAGTCGACTTGCATTGATGCAATCTGAAGCCAGTATAAAGGCCCAAGAGGCCTCGGTGTTTCACGATGGTGGCCATGGTCCTCAGGGTTCCTTTGTTCTGGTAGCTCTGAGCGATAGTGGCGCTCTGTTTCTTGGCCCCGCCACGCTCTGCTAGCAAGACAGCCACTTGCGAACTGAGTTTGCTGAGCTCAAACGGACAGGCCAGTACGGGGATGACAGCCCCAGCCGTTGCACCAGCGGCACCGAAGCAGGCAACCGAGTACATGTTTGGGTAATTGCCTGGCGTATTGACATAACGCAAAATATCGAAGCCAGTATTCTTCTTGACCCATCCGGCGTACGCATATTTTGCCCGTTGGTATATTGAGAAGGAGACGGTCCGGACGAGAGTGATGCTGGCCATAGGCGCCGTCACACCTGTTTGTAGCAACTTCGTTAGTACTTTGCGAGCAGCCGGATTGGCAACCGGGATTCGGTTGGGTCACAATCGCAACAATTCACCACCTACCTCGAAAAAAACCACCTAAAGCTTCTTTTTTGTAGGTTTGCTTGACGCAATCGAGAAAGCCGCGGTACTGGTATGTCTGCATGCGGGTCTTGACGCTGTCTAGAGGGAAGGCGACCAAGGTAGAAAAGGCACTGGAGCTGCTGGCGGCGATTTCAGTGCGATAGCGTTTCGTGAGAGATTGGCGCGGCTTCTCGCTAGCGATGGACGCAGCATTCTGCTTTGCGGGCGGTGATGAGCCGCTTGTCATCGTGGCAATGATGGAAGGACGAGCGGTAGCAGCAGGCCCATGTTGCGAGTTGGTGGGGCTTTCGCTTGCGCTCATTGCCTCTGGCGAGATGGCAGCGGCCGGTCACAGACGCGTTCAGGCTATGGCCCCGATCATACGAGGCCAGAGTCTGGAGCGGTGATCGCAGCGTGGCCAGTCGCCAGAAGCGCCGTGTCCATGAACGAATTGAGGCTCGCCAGGAAGGGGTGGACAGTCGAGAGATAGAGCACCGCCCGGGTTTTCGAATATAGGTCGATTACGGCACCAGATGCGCTGGTGATGTAGAGGAAGTTTTGCAGACAAGTAACTGCCATGCAAAGATTCTGGGGACACGGCGAGGATCGAGGAGCAGCGAGGAGCGTAGCGGATCGGATGGAGTTGAATATGACGAGAGGAGAGAGACGGAACAGAGTTGGTTTGACTCGACGATGATGAGCCCGATGGCGGGGCGGGGGCTAAGAGGCCACTAGGTAAGCTAGGTACCAGGTAGGTAGCAAATCGGCCGGCCTATAGGCCAGACCAAGACGGAACGGCACAGTAAGAACCACCGTATCGTGCAGACCAAATCAAAATTTCAGCGCGAGAGAGGGGCTTGATGAAGATGGGTGAAGGACGGATGATTCATGTCTGAGTCGCGGGGCGTCATCTCGGTTGCAGCTTCAACAGATGAGGGGATCGAAAAGGTGGAGATGGGGCTGCAGCTGGCAATTGGGAGAGAGCTCAAGGGTTAGTCTGGCAGGCGCTACTTACGTCCAGAAAGCCATGGCGGTGATGAAAGGATTATAATTGGCTTGAATTTGTACTAGCACCAGGGTTGAGAGACGTTCTCATCCATGAATTCATCACCAGTAGACGCACTGAGCAGTCTACCTATAGTTACCACAAGCTACCTAAATGGTCATCAGTACCGGTATTGCCTGTGAAGATGATGTCGCAGCGCTGCAAGTGTTAGCTTATAAACCGCGGGCTGTGATAGGCTAAGCGGAACCTGCAGCACTTGCTTGCAGTTGCTGTGGCTTGCTGGCTGCCATCTGCGCCCGTTTGCACATTCCCACTTACACACCAAAAAAAACTCCATACAGGGTAAGTAGTCTCACCATTCAAACAACGACAAGACAATAACTACACCTGCCAATAACATTTAGAGAAAATTGCAAGTTAGCAACTCAATTCTGACAAGATCTTCTCTCCATAGTTCAAGATACCAAATACAAAAACAACCCCGTCGTTCGATCCTATCGCTTTCTCAAGCTACAACCTCGCTCACCACTGTTGGGTCCATTACCGGGCGGATATGGCTCAGATGGCCTGGAACAAGCTTTGGCCGACCGATGAACTTTATCCAACTATACGGGTCGGCAAACTCGTCATCAAGCGACACACGCTGTCCCTGTACTGCCTCGGGAAACTCGCCTGCCACGCCAATAGAGCCAACTTCCGCCTTGTACTCCTCCCACAGGCGCATCAGCTCGGCGAACTTGGCCGGCTCTGCGTAACAAAGATTCTTGGTCTCGCCAGGGTCATTCTTCATGTGGAATAACTCCCACTTTTGCGGACCGCGTGGTGCAGGCACAAACACCAGCTTCCAGTGACCTTGCCTCAAGGCTCCTGATCCAGCGATCTCGAAGCCTGTCACATATGTCTCGTCGTGGATGTCAAACTCCTCGTCTTTGCAACGCTTCTTGCCCTCATTCTCCAGATGCAGCGATTGCAAATATGGTTGCCAGCTTTTCCCTCGCAGGCTGGCAATCTCTCGGCCCCGGTAATGTGTCCCTGGGTGCCTCAACCCAGCCATTTCCAAAAATGTTGGCACAATATCCATGACAGTGCAGTATGCCTTGGTAATGCGAGAACCCGAGGCTTCTGTACGCTTTGGGGGCTTTACGACCAGTGGCACCCGGCAACCGCCTTCTGTTGAGTGCATCTTGAACAGTCGGGACGGCGCCGTCGCCGCTTGCGCCCAGAGAGCCCCGTACCATACAAATGAATCCCCTCGACCGATGTTTTCGAGAGAATTGTCATAGTATTTGGCAATATGGGCAGCAACCTTGTCTCCCATTATGGGCTGTGCTTCGTAAGAAGCGCCTTCAGCTCCGTTATCCGACATGAATAGGATCATGGTATTGTCATATTCTCCCGTCTTACGAAGATGGTTGACAACCCGTCCGATATTCCAATCCATGCGATCTACCATGCCTGCATACACCTCCATCGCTCGTGCAGAGCTCTGTCTTGTCTCTTCAGGCAAGTCTTCCCACTCTTGGGATTCTTGCTCACCGACGCGCACAATCGGGTGCGAAACAACGTCCTGATCAACAAGACCAAGCTTCTTCAGACGCTCAATACGTTCGGATTTAAGAGCCTGAGGCCCGTTCTGATACATTCCTATGAGGATCAATACCATGATTTGAAGAGACGCAGCACAATAGCGGTCAGGGTAGCCTACCTTGATATCTATCTGCTACCTCTTTCGGAGCCTGAAGCGGCCAGTGAGGTGCAGAAAAAGGAAGATATGCAAAGAACGGCTTTTTGATTTCCGCCTCGTCTCGCCCAGAGAGATATCCAATCAGCTTCGAGGCATATGCGTCCGAAGAATAAAAATTGTCTGGAAGCTCAGCAATCTGACTGCCTTCGACGTGCAAAGCTCGGGTAGCCGTCTCGAAAAATCGATCTGCGTGGTCCTGTTCTTCGTACTGTGGTTCGTATCCTAGGCAAGGGATGGTGTCAGCGGAACCCCGAATTGTGTGGCTTACTTGCTATGATTACGGGAGCATACCATAATGGTTTGCACAGCCAGGTAAAAGGGCAAAGGATTTGTCGAATCCGCGACGGACAGGATAGTGCTGGGGTTTCAACCCCAAATGCCACTTTCCGGCCATCATGGTATGATAGCCACCGTCCTGAAGAAGCTCTGGAAGAGCGACGACGCGTTCATTCAAGTATCCTTCATGACCAGGCTGACCTTGGTGTGCAGCAGAGCTACGAGTAAACTCTGCCAATTCTCCAAGGCCTGCAATGTGGTGATCGGTTCCTGTCATAAGCATCGACCGAGTTGGTGAGCACGCGGCCGCCACATGGAAGTTTGTGAAGCGAAGGGCATTATGTTCTCGGGAAAGTGCGTCGATGTTGGGTGTTTGAATCTCAGATCCAAAGCAACCACAGTCACTGAAGCCCAAGTCGTCGGCGACAATGACCAAAAAGTTGGGCGGCGTCATAGCGGGAGGGATGTATACGACCAAGATTCAGTATAATCAGGCATGTGAACCTTACGGGACGAATTAAGACAGAGGGAGCTTATTCGTCCTTAAGTACGACTACGAGAGAGGCTTTTGTGTCGACGAACCTCCTCCAGCCTCACACCCCAACCAGCGCTGTTTGATTTCTATTTCCCCTCTTTCGAGCAAGAAAAGATAGCCAAAGCATTACCGTCTTAGCTGAACCGAGACTAGCATAGGAACTCGCACAGGCAAGGCTGCATCGGTATCCATCGCCACGAGGTATGAATGCATTGAGCAGAGGGACTGTGTGCGGACTTCGGCAAGCCCTGGGGCATTCCTTCGGGGAGCTGGCTTCTGCATGCATGGGCATATACTTGGCGGGGTCAGAAAAGCTTCCTCTCATTGGGTGCGGCGGCAACGGAATAAAACCCTGATATCCAATACGGGCATCAGCAATGAGCAAACGACGACTGACCAGTTACGCAGACCAGTCGTATGGGGCGGAGGGGAACAGGAGACCTCCCAGTGGGACAGGCGTGGGCCATGGAAATGAGGCTTGCGACGTACGCCAATGCAGAGGTGTACCGACATATCAAGCGTTGCGCAGCCGGTTTTTACGAAGAGCTGATGAGCGAAATGAATTCAGGTTGCACGAATACAGTAGGCGGCTGTCTCACTAGCTGGTCACGACGGGTATAACTAAACGAGCTCAGCTGTAACCCCAGACGGGTTACGTCCCGGCCGGCGGGCTCCGGCTTCCGTTGGATGGATTTTTTTCCACGGAGAATTTTGAAACAGTGGCTCTCGGAGGTGGGCAAATGTCGCCAGCATTGCCCTGCATTGCATGAGAAGGTGCAATTCCGCCACAGACTGTCTTCATACAAATGGTAATATCAGCCAGCTAGTGTCTTACCTGGCGCTAGCAGCTCCAACAACTGGCATTTCCGAGCGGCTTTCGCTTCATATAATCGTCAAGTTCACGATGGTCATTAGAACATGCTACGTAGCATTTATATGCTGTGTCTACGCCCCTTTCCATCGACCCGCTCGTCTATTTCATACTATCAGCGTTGAGCTTCTTCGAATGTGTAAAATGAAGGGCGAATAATGCGAGGGAGTGAACACGTCATCTGCGCATAGGAACTGTGATACGCTCAGCTCGAAAAAGAGCCGAGACTTCATTGGTCACAACGTCGGCTGTCTTGAAGCTGAAGCCCGAACCAGCCAGACCTGGACAGTCTCATAGCTGGGCGGCGTTGAGCCTTGCCCGACGGGCGCCGCGTCGGGCAGCGATCCCAACAATTTGTAACAAGGATGAGGGCCCATGGACAAAATTGTTTGACACCGTTGAAGGCCCCTGGTCGACCACAGAACTGAACACGAGGTGTGATCAAACAACCCCCCGGTCAGTGACATACTACATCTTCCTGATTCTTATCATCGACTCTAGTTATTTTGATTGTAACCTCCTTTCACCTTTCATCTGTCTCGATTCTTTTTAAATATAATTGCGTTACCTTTTTGATTAGGCATACCAAAGAGTTTGCATTCTTATCCGACACCAGACTGGGGTGTCTGACCTGTCCAGATCCTAGACTTGTCTTGTAGCATCGAAGAGATCATGTATCGTGCATGATCATGCGTGCAGATATTTACTTTTCATCCAGTAGAAGGGATATATACTCGAACTGCCGAACTGGGATTACGTGGGCAGTAACGGACGATCAAGCAAACAAGCAAACAAGCAAACAAGCCGTTCTAGTCTTTACTGCCACGTCGCGAACGCTTGCCCGAGCAGTTTTGTTCGTTCCCCTCGGAATAACTAACATGTCACTCCCCTCCGAGATGTACTCCATACGGCGACGGAAATACACGACAGTGAAACATTGAAGTCACGCGATGGCGACTGACAATGCCCGCCATGAAGCACTGCCGGCTCCTCCGTGAGAAGCTTTATTTGCTGCCCTGTAAGTTGCACGTCTTATGCTGATAGTTATTCATTGCTGCCCGCAACGCAGTCTGCTTTCATTTCAGACGTAGCGGCTTCATTGCCCGTTTGCCAGTTGTCAGCAACTTCGGCCACCTTAGGAACAGACTATACCCCAAAATGGGAACGTAGTCAACGCGGATATAAAAAAGGCAAAGACTCTTACGGGGTATTTGGTTTATAGCCACACGGCCATGTGTTCTCTCGACTGTGGCCATGACGTGGGCATCTTCGGTGATGTCCAGACACATAGTTACAGCGCCTGTCCGCCCCGACTGACACTTCCCTTGCCCCAAGACTCTCATATGGCCCCATCCCTTGAGTGCGAGAATACGAAAACAGAGACTGTTCTACAAATTAGACATGGTGCATTGCTAGGCGTGGTCTTATTGCGGCCTCCTCAAGATCCCACAGTAACAGCGCCGCTATAAGCGGCTCTAGGAACCCTTCACACCACACAACCTACTGCCCACACCACCCTCCCATTTCACTCGGGCAGTGACGGTAAAGACAGCGCACTCCCTCTGATTCGTGGCAAGCCGTCAAGAAGGGAGGGGCCGCAAAGTGGACGGGCATGCACTCGCCATCTGCAAAGCCACCATCGCTAACCACTGATTCGTCTTGCAGCCTTTTGCCGAAAGACTTTGACCAAAGGTCGACCCCGAAACGGGGCCTCTAACCACCTTTTCTCGAGCTTCATCTTGTCGGTTATGGCCACGGCACCGGTTCCCATCCATGAGCACTGGGCCTGCTGGCGTGCATATCCGTCGTCAGTGTCATGTGGCAGACGAGTGCCACGACGAACGGTATGGTGCGCCGTGGGCCCGCATCGCCAACTCTGCCGTGGCGGGATTCTGCATCATCGTGCGTGCCCGTTATACCAGTACATGCCGCCGCAGCTGCGCGGGCTGACGATCATCGTGGGCTCGATGCTCGATGGCCTCGGACGGACGCCTCGTGGCGCATCCCCGTCGGCCTGCAGCTCGTCACGCCCGCGCCCTCGTGCTGGGGCGCTCTGGCCCCTGGTCCCCGAGTCGCCGCAGGAAATCGAGAGGCCGACGCCGCGCGGTCGCTGCGCCTGTTTGGCCCAGGGGGGAGGGGGCTTGCAGACGCTGCGCGAGAGCCTGGCGGCACACGCAAAAAGGGCCGTGGCGAGAGGTTGTCGTCACAGCTCATGGTGGGCCAGCAGATCACGGGCCAAGGTATCCGTGAGCCATTATGTGGCCCGGGGTTTTAACAGCGCAACGGCTTTGCGGCACAGGCGCTGCTCTTTACCGTGCTTTCCGATGTCACCGGCTTGAATGTCACTGTCTTGGCGGGCACTTATCTTGGCCTGGACTGTGGTCGATGGCGTTGGTCGAAGCTGTGTTTTCCAGTCGTATTGTTGCCATCCAGGTTGACAACACCAACACTCTCTCACCTGGTCGTAGTTCGGAGGCTTCTCTATGGGTCTGTTTCTATACATTGTTGGCGTTGTATGGAGCCTCCAGCATCCCTCGAATGAGGCTAGAAACATCTTGGTGGCGACCATTTCCCTCTTCAACATGGTGTATAAACATGTCCTGGGCTTCCGTGTAAGTCCATCCTCGTAACTAGCGGGAGTATCCGCTCTTCCCGCTTTCGCTCCCGCCCCCTCCATCCAGTATGTGACCCTGTGATGGTCTGAACAAGATATATCATCATCACATTTCATTACAAGGGCAAAAAAAGGAAGAAAGCCAAGAAACTTGTTGAAGCTCTTAGACTCATTTCTTCGCTTTCTTCCCATCTTTGCCCTTGTATTGAAAGAAATTGACATAAAAAGGAACTGAGAGCAAAGACTAGAGAGGGGAACGGCAGGCCCCCTCCATCCTCTCGAAAAACAGCAGGCCAGGTGGAAAAACGGTTGCAACTACACTGCATTCATAATATGATGATAATGTCTCTTGTTTCCTTCTTATGTTGTGGCAAATCACAGTCGCCACGCAGGATGGACCATTATGTCTTGTATACAATATGCGGCTGCGCCATCTGCAAATTCGATTTTTGGGATGAATATGAAAACTCCCCGTCTCATCTATATACGCCAGTAGATAACCGGCACCCCCCATGATGTATGCAATGCTAATTTTCCCCATGTTGTCCGTAAGAATATCGCGTTTTTTCTGCTTCACTTCACTCGCCAAGTCCCCAGAAGCTTGGCGAGTTGGTGAAGCGTCCCTGAGCTTGAGTCCCCCCATTTACACCCTTCCCCCCATGACTACGCCCGGGTGTATCATACAAGAAGCTCATGTACCCAATAGATAAACGGGAACCAGCTCAGCTTCGTTTGTCCGCTACTGCCACGAGCCGCTGCTGCGGGGAATTGCCGTGCTTGGCACAGCCTCATGAGATTCCCGCGCGCAGCACGTCTGGAAAACGTCCACCTCGTACAAGGGGGTGGCTCGGCCTTGTCATTGTGTGTATAGTGCGAGGTAGGTCGCTCATGACGCAGCGGCTTCGCCATTGGTCGACTCCGCCGTCTTCTCGCCAGCATCGCTGCCATCGCCCACGACGTCCTCGACAGACTGGCCCGCCACGGGAGGGAGTTCGTATCCATGTTGCAGAGCCAAGCGCTCCTCCTCCTTTCGAATCTGTATGGCTTCCGTCTCGCGGCGGAGCTTCTGCAGGTTAAACACGTCGTCGTCTTCCTCGTCGTCGGATTCGTCCTCGCCGGTCCACTTGCCGCTCTCGAACAGGGCCCTGCCGGTATTGTCCTTGGCCTTGCGCAGCTGCTCTTCGGCGGCCTTTTGGTCCAAGCGACTTTGCTTCCACTTGGCAAAGGTTTCAGGCGTGACGGGCGTGAGGGTGCCGGTGAGCTTGTGACGTTCGGACTCGAGGAAGTCTTCCAGAGTGAGGGTCTTGAGGGGAGACTTGTCCAGGAGAGCCTTTTCAGCCGCTCTCTGCTCCTTGGTCTTGAGAACAAAACTGCCGAATTGGTTAATAATGTGGCGCAGGCCAGGAGCAAACACGAAACGTACCCGGGAGGTAGGGCATGCTTGTACATGCATTTATCGGCACCGTTGGGACAGATCCAAAACCAGCCGTATTTTCCATCCTCAATGGCAGACACAAAGAACTTGCACACCTTGTCCGTGGTCGTCTTTTGGTTGCCCTTTTTAGACAAGACGACGGACCGCAGCTTCTCCTCGTCCCAGTCCGCCGACGTCTCTTGCTTCTTCTTTTCTTCGTCGCCTTCTCGCACGTCCGTGTACAGGTTCTTCTTCTCCGTCCTACGCTCCACCGATAGGTCGTGCGCAAACTTGCACTTTTTGCCTTTTTCACAGTCGCCCTTTCTCCAAAAGATGCAGACCACTGTCTTGGGGTCCACGCCAAATGGAACCTTTTGAATCTGCGCGGGACGAGCGAGGAGGAGGGCCGTCTCCCTCTTGGCGTCCTCAGCGGCCTTTTTCTCCTTCTCGCGCTGCTCCTTTTCGGCCTCCTTCCTCTTTTGCTCGACGGTCCCGCTGCCCTTGAGGTTGCTCGTCATCTGGGCAATGTGTTTTTGCGCCGAGGCGCCCTTTTTGTTCTTCATGCCAAAGGTACGATCCTCCACAACCTTGGAGGCCGCAACCTTGGTCTTGGCGACGGCTTGCTTTTCCTTCTTCGCCATGCTGGGCAATGTCGCTCGCGGGCGGGTGGTGGCGTGTGGTGGGGTAGGCGGAAGTTGTTGTAGGCACTGTCAAAGTTGAAATTGAGTCGCTCTTGCGAGTATAGAACGGTCGTCCCTCGTTATTGAAAGTAAAAAATGACAATTCCGGCCTCTGCTGCCCTCGTCGTTGCCACAAAGCACTTTTCGTCGTAAATCTTGTAAAAGAGGTTTCGACTCTTTAGTGGGGAGTCTGGCGTGGGTGGATGAGGTCACCAAGATCACGTGCATGGCCCTCATCCTTTTGAGGGATGACTTTTTGGGCCCACCCCGGCTAGCCAGCGCTTGAGTGCTTGTCGCGACCCTGGAGCTCCACGAAGCTACGTATACCAGTTCCCATCTGCATTGCTTGGCCCAGCTCGCGCAAACACACCGGACGCCGCAACACTGTCACTCCTTTTGTGAGTGCTTCGATCTAATAGACGATAAATATGCTTATCGCTCTAACCGATCGCTAATTTTGCAAAGGTCCCACGTCCTGCCCTCTTATTGACACCCCTGGGATTGTTGCGTCGACAAACGAATCGCCAAGATGATTTCCGACAACGATCTCTATACTCTCGCCATTTTCCTTGGATCTGCTGCTATGCTTCTCATTATCTTATACCACTTCCTCGAGGTCAATTCGACAAAAAAGCCCGTCGCTGGTGCCAAGCCCAAGTCGACATAACGAGGTGACATTGCAGAGCGGCGCTGCGAAAACGATACGCGAAGAAACGAACACATTGTACATTAGCCGGGCGACGCTGGGAAAGGCCATTATAAATGATAGCGTCGGCGTCTTGGAACAAAAGACACATGCACGGCCACATTATACAAAGATTTGACACCGAAACGGGCCACCTAGGAGTCTATTTCGCGGGTTGAACAGGCGTTAATCGATTATATACATTTCAAGTTACATCCTATGGTCTGGCCAGCATTGCACAAGGGTGGTTTCACATTTGCGGTGAGAGAATGATAGCCAGCCTTCTGGGAATATTTGGGAACAGTTGCATGATGCGGACTAATCCTGGTGAAGTCGAAATGTCGGATCGTGGAACATTGATTTGTAATTTCATCCAATTTCTGAATATGAATGCAGCGAATGAGCACTGGCAAGTCTGCGGCTGCGTTAATGTGTCACGGTGAATCACTGCACCCGAGTGCTACGTCGCGCGCAAGGTTTTCTCGAACAGGAGGTGCCTCGATATGTGTTAGAAGCCAAATCTAGACTCGTCGACACACAGTGAAGTCGATCAAGCCTAGATAGCCTAGACCACATAATCGTCTTTGTCACCTTGTAGCCGTTTCGTTATAAAAATTGAGGTGGATATAACTAGGTAGGCGACAGCTGGCTTTCATGATGGGAAGTACCTAGTAGCCAATGGGGCACGTGATGTAACAGCCCAAGCGGCGCGCGTACCTGCTTACGTGACGCAGATGATTGGCTCATGGGCACTGTGCCAGCAGGTTACTTCGTGGCTGCCTCGCGCCCCTTGTATTCATCAACGCGCCCTCCCTCCCTCTCTTCCCTTCTACTTTAACCCAACCATCCTCCGTTTTCTTGCCGTTGGCTTCCTCGATTCTCACATTCGCCATCGAGTATATCAAGACCCTTTTGATACTTTCGTTCGGTAGTCGCTCACGCGAACCTTTTTTTTTCTTTTTCGAAAGCGCTTTTTTCCCAAGCCGAACAGACCCTTTTCCGTTGTCGCCCAATCCTTGCGACAACTCTTCACTTGCAGACCTACATCGCTTTTCATCACCCACCAAGCGTCTCTTCCAGCGCATCATCATGTCCGGAAAGCTCGATAAGCCCCTTGACGATATCGTCTCTGCCCGCCGCAAGAGCGCTGGCAGTCGCCGCTCTCAACGTGGTGCTGCTGGCCGCCCCACTGCTGGTATCCAGAAGGCAAAGCCTACCGCTCGTAACATCGCCGGCAAGCCTGCCCAGGGTAAGGCCACTGGCCCCCAAGGAGAGAGCAAGGTCATTGTCAGCAACCTGGTACGTTCAAGCCCTATGCGCATGTTGCGACGCCGCCGCTAACTACAAATACAGCCCAAAGATGTCTCGGAGCAGCAGATCAAGGTATGTTTCCGTTGAGGCCTTTCACGCCCCTCGGACCTGTTCGATCTTTCTTTCGCTACGTTTGCTCCCACAACCGAAGTGCCTGGATCCAATAGTCCAGACACTGAGCCGCCGCGCCTGAGAATCCGCAGTCTGGCCCTGTCTCCTTCCTGGTGGATGCTTGACGCCACCAGTCGAAGTCGAGAGCATCTAGTCTTGCCAAAGCCTGTTTGTTGTGCCTGGTCAGCATTTTAAACAGAGGCTGCAATGACATCAGAGATGCGCCGTCTGACTGTCTCATCGGTTTTGATGTGAGAAACGCACAATCCGCATTGCACGCGGTGTTGCTGTCAATTTCTTTTGATTCAGCGAGTTGGAAGCAAACGAAGCATGCCAGCCTATGGATCGGCTCGCAAACGGCCCACAAATGCAGCTCTCTGCTTGTCCACTCTCTCTGTTAGGAACACGGGCCGGATGAACAACGTCGTTGAGAATCGGTGAACAATACGACGTCTCTGGCGAAATCTCGTCTGACTGGAAGAGGCAGACGCAGAGGATGACGGGAGAATATGGGCAAGCAGGAGGCCTCTATCGTTGCTGTAGCGGTGGCATAAGTGATTTTGTGCTCGGCAACAGCTTGCGCGAGACTCCGAAACTCGCTGATAATCATGGCGAACCTTCGTTACGACTCTGAAACAACGCGTGCCCATGGACAATCCTTCGGATGAAGCTCGGCATCGGACTGTGGTCGTTGAACGCATCACATCTCTTCCGGTTAACTAACCACTACTGCGCCGTCTAGGAATACTTTGTCCAGTCTGTCGGCCCCATCAAGCGCGTCGAACTTTCCTACGGTCCCAACTCTCAGAGCCGTGGTATTGCCAACGTGATCTTCCACAAGCCTGATGGCGCTAGCAGGGCCTTTCAGAAGCTGAATGGTCTCCTCGTTGACGGTCGCCCTATCAAGATTGAGATTGTTGTTGGCGCCGCCCAGGCTGACAAGGTCATCCCCCGTGTCAAAACGCTCGCCGAGCGCTCTTCGTAAGTTCAAAGCTATCATGATATCGGTATGCCTTTGCTAACTTGAACACAGTCAGCCCAAGGCTCAGCCAAGGTCTGCTGCTGCTGGAAAGCAGATCAACAATGCTGGGAAGGATGGTGCGAAGGGCAAGGCCGGCAAGGGCCGTCGCGGCCGTGACGCTCGCCCCGCCAAGAAGACTGCGACGGAGCTTGACGCCGACATGGACAACTACATGGCTGACTCGTCTACCAACACCGCCGCTGCTGCTCCTGCCGCTGCCCCAGCCGCTAATGGCGACTCGGCAATGGCAGATGAGATCAGTGTAAGTTCGCAGTTGGTGCAGATAAGTTATGATTCTAATGTGAGACTAGTAAACGACGAGAAATGATTGGATGGGGGGAGGAATTGTAATATAAGCTAAAGCTGCTAAGAAAGGGCCAATACCGCAGCAGGAAGGGGCTGCTGCTGGGCAGATTGGCTTGCTAAGAATAGCGAATGGGAAGGAAATCAACAGAATGTACTCATAAAGACGATCCCCAATACATCTATTTCGGTATGTAATTGCACGCTTAGAATGCATGTGCCATTCGCCATACTTGAGAACCATTTGGTACGAGGGCGAGGCTGTCGCGATTGTTGCTACAGTCATGGCAGGTAGTTGGACTGTGCAGAGGTGGTTGACAAGGAGAGGGAGCTGTCGGAGCAGGAGTCTTGACTGATTGAAGTACAAGATGCGAGGGAAGGACAGCTCATGCTGGACTGATATGTGGTGGCGATGACGATACTGCTGGTCGAGGTGGGATTAGCATAGCAGCGCGGCTGGCGCGGGCTGTGCGCTAGGTACCGACGTTGGTTCCGTATAAGGCTCGTCGGCGGGCCATGCGACGATGCAGGCGCCTCGAGCGACGTCTTGCGCCGCGTCAAGCGAAGAGTACATTGATGAAGAGGGCATGATGGTATCCAGTGTCTTTTTTGTCTGATTTTTCTTGTCTGGCAAGTTTGTGCTCTGGTCTCTTTTTTTCTTATTCTCGGGGGAGGAGGAGACTGGACGGGGTCAACCCTGGTATGTGCTGTTTGTGCGAAACGGGTACGTACGCACGAGCGCGCCACGTAGAGGGAGGGGAAAGAGAAAAGTAGTTATCTTCAAGTATAAAAAGAGAAGAGGAAGGGAAAGAAAGTGAAAAGGAAAAGAGACAAACAAAGAAGGAAACGAGCAAAATAAGGTTACTAAAACAAGGCAGCGAAACAGCAAAGGGCACACCCAACCACAACTGCACGAAAACAGAGTTGCAGGGGGGGGAGAGGGGAGGGGTTTGTCGTTGGACGACGACGAGGGGCGCCTTTTTTCTTGTTTGGGCGGGCACGCGGGAAGAAGGGGAATTCCGTCAGACGAGAATACCGACGAATGATTTGCTACTCTTTGTCGAGTCACATTTCGACGAGACAACATTCACACACACACACACACACCGTGGTGTACGTACGTACAAAGTGGGTGTGGGATGGGTTTGCGGCATCTTGCACCCGATGGACTTACTGTACTTGTCACCTTTTCTCCGCAGGGTTGAGCCCACCGTTGTGTGAGAAAAAAGGAATAACAATAAACAACAATAACAATAAATAATAATAACGGGATGAATATTGGCTCCCTTTTCTTGGTTCGGGTTTCGGGTGTCATGTTGAACAGATCGGGGAAATCGGGGGGGAGGGGGGGGGGCAAATATGTGTGTCTAGAACAAGAAAACAAAAAAAAAGGAACCGTCGTGTAACAAACTCATTGGGTTCGGCGTTGCGCGCGTGCGCGAGCGCGCGCCAGATAGGCCGTTTCCCCCCCCCTCCCTCCATGGTTCTTTCTCCTGCCTGATGGGGGAAGGAGGGGGGGGGGCGCTTTTTTCCCTGCCTCTTTTTGCAAAGCCGTATGCATGCACGCACGTACAATGTTGACTGCATGGGAGAATTATTGAGGCGTTCGTTTTTTCAGTTTGTCAGCTGGTTCAACTGGGGAGGGGTGGTGGTGGGCTTGGCTTTGGATGTGGTGGTGAGCGTGTTGCTCTCATTGGCTTGTTGGTTGGGTCGTCGTTTATTTTTAACATGACCTATACATACAATGTAGGGGAAAAAAAAGCTTCGTTTGTTTTTGGCGCTGCGACTCTGCAGCCGTTGCCTTGGTTTTGGACGGCCTTGGCCGCATTGTACATGAACGTGTTGCTCCCAACTCGTTCATAAATGCCGGCTATCTTGGATCGTGTTGGAGGAATATCATTCACAAAAGAGATGGCGCGAGGTGTTTTGGCTGGCTCTCAGGTTGGGTGCTTGGGCACCGAGCCAAGGTTCCGTTCCGTCTTTCCAACGTCCAACAATGTAGCCCTGGTACGTGCACGAAATACGTGGTAGTGCAGATACAAAGGACAGGCCGTCCTACATCGTGTTGTGGCGGCCTCTCCGCTCCAAGCCTCACCTTTCATTTATGCCCATCACGACGACTGGCTCATCCTGATTCGCTGCTTCGGTCTCGGCACCGTGCCTAGACCTCAACATACATCACAGTCACCATAGCAGGTATGAAAAAGACCTCGATATGCATCAGTCGTCAATCCGTTAACCGGGATGCTCCCAGTCACTTATTCTTTCTTTTGTTCCTGTTTCTTGATATATCTGCCCCTCTATCTTGCCCGTCCCAACTCGCCTGCGTCAAACAAAACGACTCTTTTTGTAATACCAAACAATACACCAATTTGCTTTTCCAACCGCGGCTGGTAACAGTCAACGTTGATACCCTCGGGTTTAAGCCTTGGTTGTGGGAACCTCCTCGACTTCCTCGTCGTCGTCGCCACTGTCGACATCCTCAGCATCGTCATCGCCGAGATCGGGCATGTCGCCGCCGCCAGCCAGCTTAGAGAAGTCGATGCCTCCAAAGTCACCTAAAGTAGCATCAGGGTTAGTATGTAGTACGGTCGCGCGAAGCGAGTTATGAGGACTGAAAAGCTGCATGCAGCACCGGGCTGCAGTGCACCATCACCCTCTTCCGTTCAAAAGTTCACATACCTCCCATACCGGGCATGCCACCCATGCCACCAAACTGGGAGAAGTCCTCCTCGGGGGCCTCGTTCTGCTCGTCCTCATCGACCCACTTGTCAAAGTCGGTCTTCAGGAAATGCAGACGCTTGCTGTCCTTTAGCAGGCGGGGCCAGTACTCTTCCTTGAGCTCCTTCTTCTGGAGCTTAATCTCGACATTCTTGGCCGTGTGGTTAATCTTGCTCTCGGCGGGGTCGATCTCGGCAAAGAAGTCGAGCACGACGTGGTACTTGCGCTTAAGAGTACCCGAGGTGCCGGTGAAGGAGAGCGAGGTAGGCTTAAGGTCCAGCTTGATGTCGTCCTTGGGGACGTCGGGGACGGAGATGGTAAGCCAGACAAAGTTCTTGGCGGCGTCGGAGCTCGACGAGCGCTGAGCCCAGAGGACTACAAGTTGGTGTTAGCTTCTGGTGATCGTGGGCATGGGTGCGGGCAGAGTGTAGCATCGCGCAGCGATGATGAATCATCAGAAGCTTTGATTGGAAGTGGCTGCGCGATAGGGAATGACTGTGCATGGTTTTGACGAAGGCGCAGGACAGCTGGTGGAGGTTGGGGGCGAACTCGGATAGCTTTTCGCGGGGGACGCAAGTGAAAACGACGTACCTTCAGGAGTGGCGGTCTCGGTAGACATGGTGAAGAATGTGTTTGGAGTCGAGAGAGATTGTCGGGGTTACGACAGGATTAAAAAGGAAGACGAGGCACGTCTGTTGAGCAATGGCTAGGTGTGCGCTTCTCGAAGATGGGATCGTAGGATTCTGGGGGAGCGAGGAAGCAGATGTGATGGAGCAGGAAATGTGGTGGTGAAAGGCGGCGCAAGGTGTTGTGCAGGCAAACGAGCTTGGTTAGCAACCCGTCTTGGGACAATCACTGCAGCTTCCCGTTTTGCTGGCGTTTTCGATTTTTTGGTGCTGCAATGGCGGGCCAGTTGCCTTGCCCCTCCTCTTCGTCCGCCTTCAGCTCTTTTCTGGCACATTCTACGGTGGACAGGGCCAGACTGCGGTAGTGAGGTAGGAGGTACAAGGAGCACCTGGTTAACTGCCGCCGTCCACCCAGTATCCCGCTAACATCTCCTCAGCGGGTGGCACTTAGCAATCCCCTGCTCGCATAGTTGTGGGCCGCTTCACAGGCGGCCCGTTTCCTCCACGAATTATTCATCGTTACACTGCTCGGCTGGTGCTGAAAATATGGCATTGTACAGAGTAAACATCTCAAGTATAAAGAAAAGAAAGGCGAGGCAAACATCTACCAAGGGTAGTTCAAGCTATAGCAGAAAGCCGGCTTCAGAAACACAGCTCTGAAACTACCGGTAAGGTAGGAGGCCCCAAGCTCCGATGCAGGGCCCTCTGTAAGCGCCTCTCAGCGGGCAACCTCGCTGCGCCACACCCTCCAGTGGCGGCGTCGCCTTGCTCGGTGGTCGGCATCGGAGCCTGCGTGGCCGTGGGGCAATGGGGTTCGCAACCCGATGCCTGGCAGGCGGCTCTGAAGCTCCTGTAGCATCCCAACGTCCGTTGCTGTGCGTCCAACACGTTACGCCGCGTGGCCATAATTCCGTCGCGGCCCAGCTATCCCATCCCCAAACACTCAAAGACAGACACGCGACTGTTTAGTCAGGCCCGGATTGGCTCCCTGCCACTGTCAGATTGCGTTGATTAGACCGAGTTCCCCGCGTTGTTCACCATGGAGGCACTGAGGGCCGTCTTCACCAAGCCGGACCCCCAAGCCCAGGTACGTAACATTACCGGCCGTTTTCTCTCCGGCCTCTTTCCTCCCACGACCATCTAACCCGCCCCCCCCTAGGCCCGAAAATGCAACGCGCTGCTCCGCACCAACATCCGCAAGCTCGACCGCGACGTCAACACCATCAAGCAGGCTGAGGCCAAGGCGCGGCAGCTCATCTTGCAGGCCGACAAGCGGGGGCAGCGCGACCCGTCGCGCGCCGCGCAGGCCAAGAAGGAGGTGCGCATGTACGCCGGCGAGGTGGTGCGCGCGCGGCGGCAGACGGCGCGCCTGTACACAGCCAAGGCGCAGCTCAGCTCGGTGCAGATGCAGGTTAGCGAGGCCTTTGCGGTGCGAAAGATTGAGGGGTCCATCAAGGCGAGCGTCGGCATCATGAAGGACGTCAACAAACTCATCAGCCTGCCCGCGCTCGCCGGCACCATGCGCGAGCTCGGAACGGAGCTCATGAAGGCCGGCATCATTGAGGAAATGGTCGAGGACGTCCTACCCGAAGACAATGACCTACTGCTGGATGACGAGGCCGAGGCTGAGGTGGACAAGGTGCTCAGTCAGATTCTGAAGGAGAAGAAGGAGACTACACCTGCTGCGCAACTACCTGCCGCGCCGCTACCGGATCCCGAGGTGCCCGTGGAAGTCGAAGAGGAGGAAGACCCGGAGGAAATGATGGACCAAATGCGGGATCGTCTAAATGCCTTGCGAAGCTAGATGTAGAGGGGATCTTGTTGCATGCCATGTGAAACTGGTCGTCATTGGGCCATGGCAGCGGCGTTTGGCGCTAGGATACAATTGCTTCCGTGAGGACTATTGAATACATACACAGTATAATGGCTCAAGTTTGGTTGTCCCTTTGAGCGCACTATTGTGTAGCGATCCATTGTCACAAGACCACGTGTGAGTTCTCGTCCAGGTTATGACTGGTAGAGTACATTGTGAGGGACAGATGAGCCAAGCCCATGGTTGACAAAATGGGCAATTAATAACAGATTAACTCGAATTGATTACGGATTACTTCCAAACGTAAATTGTTTAAACCCTGAACAGTCATAAATTTACCCGCACCTATGCTCAACTTCCAGTTAGTACATTCTTGTCATCCCTATCAAGTTCGCTGTGGGGTGGGTGACAGTCTGGTGCGGGGCGCTAATCGACAACTAGGGCGATCGTCAGCACCACCCGACATCAAAGCTTCCCGCTTCAACAAACAAGCTCCCTCCCACACCATCGTACCAGCACCCGCCATGTCGTCTCTGGCTCGCGCTCGGTCGCTTCGCAAGCCCGACGGCCCGACGGCCCTGCCACCGCCGCGCGAACGCCCCAACGAGGCGAGCCACGACCCCAACCGCAATGCCTCCCCCAGCCGGCTACCAACGAAGCCGTCTTCGCGGCCCGCGTCTACAATGAGCCCCGCGCGGTCCACGAGCGTGCGCCTCAACCGACCGGGTAGCTCATCCTCCACCGCGTCCTCGGCAACAGCATCGACGGTACCTAAGCGGTCTGTTTCGCTGGGAAAGAAGACGACGACGACCAACAAGACACAGGGGGGGCACACCGCCGCTGCCGCTGCCGTTGCGCCGCCTGCGAGAAAGGACACGCAGAGATATCCGCCGCTATCTTCGGCCACGCGGCCTACCTCGATGGTATTGAGGCCGACGTCAGCCGGCTCCACGGCGGCGGCACCGGCGGCGACGAGGCGCACGACACCGATGCACACGCGTGCCAAGAGCACGGCGACAGCGGGCACGAGCGCAGCACGGACGACCGTACAACCGCCGACCACAGGGCAGGAACGAAAGAGCAGATCGCGGCCCCCGTCGCGCGATCCGACCTCTTCGTTATCCTCAGCTACCGCCGCCCCAGGCACGCCGAAACGCCGCGCTGTCTCAGTCGACAAGCCGGCAGCGCCCACCACACCAATGACCACCGCCGCCGCCACAACCCAGCCGCGCCTACAGCACCGCCCGGCCTTTACCACACTGCAGCAGCGCTTCTCCCCCGCCAAGACCAGCTCTCCCAAGCCGGCTACAGCGTCATTCACGCAGCCACCACGGCCGGCGTCGCCCTCCAAGCTGCCCGCCAACGTAGCTGTCGCCGCCGAAACGGCGCGCCTGCAGACGACGCTTTTGCAATTGCACCTGCTGCACCAAGCCGGGGGCCCAGCCGAGACGCGGTGGCGCGCCAGCGCTCAGGCGACGCTCGGGGCGCGCTTTCGCGGGGTGCGTGACAATCACCGCGCGCTGGTGGACCGCGAGGTCGCCGCCATCGAGGCGGACAATCTCGCGGCGTTGCATCGCTGGGCGGGGGTGGGGGCCACGCTCGACGAAAAAGTCCGGGCGTTGGACGCCGCGGTCAGCGGCGTCTGGGGCATGAGCGAACCGGGCGGTAAGTACGCGCGCGCGGTGCGCAAGTTTGAGCGTTGGGTCGAGCGCGTCATGGACCTCGAGGAAGCGCGCGAGAATGGCACCCTTGGCTGCTTACTAGCAACCAGCGGCGGCCGCGGTAGCACCGGCGGTAGCGTGGAGGATGCGCTCTTCGTGCCAGAGCTGGACCCGGCGTGGGCTGACGACTGCGCGGCCATGGCGCGCAAGCTCGAGAACTGGCAGGAGCAGCTGGACAGTACGGGCTCCGAAAACGATCTGGGACCGCAAGACCGGGCCACGAGTCTGGGCCGCATGCTGGAGGGCGCGCGCCGCCTGCTCGTGGACATGCTGGCGGAGCTCGCGGCCATGGAGGAGATTCGGCAGGCGGCGGTGGTGCGCGAGGAGAACTGGATCGAGGCGATGAATCGGGATGAGGAGGAGGACAAAGGCGACGTCAGGCCGCGAGCTGGTGCGGTCTGGCGGGCCGTGTAAAGCAGCAACGGGGAAGAATGGGGCGGATGTCATATTCGATTAGCATATTCGTGCATTAGCGGCGTTTTCGTTCTTTCTTATACCTACCTGGGCATAGGCCACTGATATCATGACATTGTGAGACGTGTTTTCGTGAAAATTGAATCTGAACTTTCTATTCTAGTTAAGCAAGATGTGACTGAAATTCGCTTCATACTTGTCGAGCTGCAGCTACCGCTATTTGCATTGCCCTTTATGGCGACCTTCTCATTAACCGACTCGATCTTCAGCTTTCATGTTTGAACCCAATTTCCTTTTGTTTCGTTTCTCTATTTCATCGATCGTTTTTACTTTACGTGACTCTTGTCCGGCCCTCACAGGAACGAGCGGCGCGGGAAGCTCACGCCCTGGACAGCGGGCTCGTCGACGAACCAGCTGCAGCGGTCGCCGGCGCCCTCATTCACGAGCGTGCAGGGCAGGCCATCCGCGGCGTCGAAGATTTGCTTCATGATTTCCTTCTTGGCGGCGCCGGTGGCGACGAACGCGACGCGCACGGCGTGGGTGACGACGGGCAGGGTGAGGGTGATGCGGCGGGCGGGCGGCTTGGGGGAGTCGTCGATGGGGGCGACCCAGGCGGTGGCCTCGCGCAGCAGGGCGTGGTGGGGGAAGAGGGAGCAGGTGTGGCCGTCGGGCCCGCAGCCGAGCAGGACGAGGTCAAAGATGGGCAGGCGGACCGAGTCGCGCGAGGCGAACGAGGCGACGAGCGTCTGCTCGTAGGCGTCGGCGAGCTCCTGCGTGTCGTCGAGGTGGGCGGCGACGTCGATCGGATGCACCGTCGGCTGCCGGTCGGCGGGCAGCTTGTCGAGCAGCTCGGCCTTGAGCAGGGCGTAGTTGGAGTCGGCGTGGTCGAGCGGCACGGCGCGCTCGTCGGCGAAGAAGATTTCCCACTTGGAGAAGTCGAGGGCGTCGGCGCCGGCGCCCGGTGAGGAGGGGGCGAGGAGCGCGGCGGCGAGCGTCTTGGGCAGGGAGCCGCCGGACACGGCCACCTTGAAGCTGTCGTGACGCGCGAAGCCGGCGTTTTGGCTCTGGATGATGTATTGCCGGAGGGCCGGGGCGAGCGTGTCGACGCCGGAAAAGGCGTAGAGGTTGGGCTGCGTCTTGGGCATCGTGTGTATATGTGCGGGATGGGACGGAACGGGTTCGTGCGGTGCAGAGGTGCGTAGATGAATGTGCGTGTTGATAGGGAACGCGGTCTGTGGATGTTGCAGGTTATTCCGTTTGATGCGTCGTCGATGGTAGCAAGGCAGAGTAAGCTTTGGTTATCTCTGCAGTTGGAGATTGGCGGGGTTGGAGGGGACGTTTGAGCTGGGTGTGCTGATCAAAGCGGCTTTTTTCAGTTTAGCACCTGCGTCATTGCTATCCGTACAGAGTACAGTGCTGCGAATTATTTTAGCGCGGGGCAGACAGCGTCATCGGTCATCGATAGCCTGGAAAAACATAGGTAGGTACCTAGATAACAGCCGGGCCCAGCCGCGATGGCGGTGATGTTCATGCGGCAAGGATTAAAATTTCTTGTTACTTAGTTTTGTGGTATTGTTTAAAATCCCATCATTGGGATTGACCCTATTCTTAACGGCTGTGATGCGGCTCTGCTAGTACATAAGATGAGCCGGAATAAATGGACCTATTGACAACCTGGAAGGCAACAACTTTTGAGATGCTCCGGGTCAGATCAATGGCACTCTACGTTTTGGTGTCGGCTCTGTCTTACGATTCCTGGGTATTTCCAAGGAGGAACATAACCATCACCATGGTGTAGTTTGTCTTGTTGATTTCGCGGTTGCAGGTCCGTGTACTCGCTAATGCTGGAGGGCAGCCTTGTGGCTCACCACACAGGGCTGACCGCTATGTGGTAAAGCGGCAAAAAACGTTCGTCAACTCCGGCAATTTTAGTTTCCGGCGGGGACACCGGCCCGTTGCAGTGTTGCGCTGGAGGAACAAGTTGGTCCCAGCTGTGCCGGGAAGTGGCACGGGAAAAGGCGATGATGGCCGCACAACCGAGGCCCTGCGTTGCGCAAGTCGATCGTAGGCCCTTGCAAATCGCACCACCGCTTGCTCGCACGCCGCCCACGTCCCGTGCCATCAGATTGGTGCTTGACTCAGCCATCCACGGAAATGGCCCGCATGAGGGTGGCTCGCTCAAGACGATTTGCATAACCAGGTACCGGGTCGGCTGCGAAACTGTAGGTTGTTCAACTAGAGGACGAAGGCGCTCGCATAGAAAAGTCGAAAGCCTCTGTCTTGGGGTGTATTCGACTTGTAGAGGAACGAGTGGCAAGCCATTGAATGCACAGGCCGACAAGGGCTGGAGTAAGTCAAGAACCCTGTCCGCCTGAACTCGTTCCATGATGTTGCTAGCGTTGGTCTCCAGGATCTGCAAGCGTGTATCGGAAGGGCTGTCGAACGGGCTGTCGAAAGGCTGTCGGTGGTTGCTAAGATGAGGCTACGAACGGGCAAACGTGGACGTGGTCAAATGGCAGCGAAGCGAGCGCCGACTGCGAGGCGACAGTACTTTTGCAGATCGGGCTGCCCATACCAGGCCTCATATTGGACGCGGCCCTTGTGAATATTGTGACAGCTTGATGTGATGGCTTGCTTCTGTGCATGATTTGACATGCTTTTCCTCCATCCGGACCCTGTTTGACAGTGGTGAAAATAGGTGGGCGGAGTGGAGCCAGGATGCGCTGGTGAGGGATGCAGCACGCTGAATGGACAAGATGGCCCCTCGCCAAAGTTGCAGGAGTGGCGCTACAGAGTGGCGCACCAAAAGTGGCGCTTCAGGGTCCTTTTTGGCAACCCCGACGCACTTCAGCGCCTTCCTTTGGCACACTGCTTCACTGCTTCTACGGCTTCTGGCCCACAGCGGTCTTGGCGTCTACAGTGGACTCAGTGGGCGGCCACTGCGCCACAGATAGGCTGCTAAGCCCACTGAGCCCAGTTTGGCATTTTTTTTTCCTCACATCCAAAAAATTTCGTACTGCCCGGGGTTCCTACTTTTCCTTGCAACCGTCCCGAATCTTGCTTTCTTTTGCGGCAGCTCCTCGTATGGGTGGCTTTGGCCATTTTCCTCTTCAATTACCACCTCTCTTCCCGCTTTCATCCCGACGCTGCGAGGTGCGTTTACACAGCACATACAGTACATGCTGCACATACTGCACATCGCTCCTTCATCCCACCTTTACCGCGGGGCAGCACTGGCCACAATTCCTCTAGGAACGGGATAGAGCCCGGAGACCATTGACAACTCGACTTCGGACTTGCGACGCCCATTCTGCAGACCAGCAACTAGTTGCATTGCACCCAACCCAGGAATTTGTTTATATACACGATTTCTATTGCTTTCCCGATCATTTCCAGGGGTTCTCGACCTCAGCCACCACCCATAACAACGGACGTCTTCCCGTGACACCACACTACGATTCAACGATATAGTCACACAACAAATTCGCCAGAAAATGTCCGAAATAGATGTCCAAGAGCAGTTGCTCGACCGTCGACTTCAGCTTACCGAGGGTCTCGCCAGTCTCCCATATGACCTCATCTTGTACATAGAACGAGCAAAGATCTATGGAGACCTTGGCTACCCCGACCTCGCCGCTGGTGATGCTTACCGCGCCTTGCTGCTGACTGACGAAGTCCTTTCCGAGGGCTTTGAATTCCATGAGCAGGCGTTTTCAGCTTTGCGTATGCGGTTGCCGCCACCCCTCCCTGATATTCTCTCATACAGCAATCTTTCCGACGAGTGGTTGCCTCCTCGCGGCGTCGAGGACCAGGATAACGAGGAAACTGTACATGCGCTGGCTCGCTTGTGCTCGATCCGAGCCTACCAAATTCTATCTCTTAATTTGCTGCTATGCGGATGTCTCAAGTCGGCGTTGACCTTTTGCGACCGTGGCCTGGCGGTGAGCCCGGCCAATCAGGAGCTCCTCAACACCAGAAACAGCATCGTGACGGTCGCCCGTCGACGGCTGCGCCGGGAGGAGTTTGATATTAGCGACTTGCCTGACTCGGGCCTGGTACGCAGGGAAGTGTATCCGTGGAATGACCACGAACCTGATCGCTTCGACCCGGCGTCGCTCGATGCCCTGAACGCCGACCTCAAGAAGATGGCTCCCAAGTGTGCCATCAAAGTCGCCACGTTGCCCGTCCTCCTAGAAACGGCGAGCAGCAGCACCGACTCGCTCGAAATTATACCCACATGCCAGCAGCTTGGCGTCTTTGCGCAGGAAGACATTGAGCCAGGCGAGGCGGTCCTACGCGAGTACACCCTGCTCACGGCAAACAACAGACTCAAAGACTCGGTTTGTGATGCATGCAGCTCCGATCTCCCCCCCATCGGAAGTGAGCAGGAGCCGGTCAAGTGTGATGAGTGCTACGATACAGTCTTTTGCAGCCAGTTCTGCCACAACGAGGCTCAGGAACGGTACCACCCCGCCGTTTGTGACAAGGACGTCGACGCCATCGCCAAGGACGCTGACAAATTCGAGGCTGACGACACGCTCTACTTGCTCCTTCTCGCGCGCGTCCTCGCTCTCGCAGAGCACCAAGAAACTCACCCCCTCGATGTTCGCGAGGTCAAGTTCCTCTGGGGTGACTTTGTGCCGAGCCGGGCCAACGACATTGACGTATCACCCTCGGCTGGCCCACCTCCCGAGTGGACGCTGCCTTTCTCCTTCAAGTACAACATTGAGACGCCCTTGCACCTCCTCGAGAAGATGGACATTGATGTCTACGCTACGCTGGCTAGCTACGATCTCTGGATCCTCAACACGCTGTACGCTAAATTCCGCGGCACCGCCTCAGCCCGCAAGAGCCTGCGCGACGGCCGCCCGGATGTCGCCGCCGTCCATCCATACTGGTGCCTCGCCAACCACGACTGTGACCCCAATGTCACCTGGGACTGGGGTGGCCGTATGGTCCTCCGCGCTAGGACGGAGCGCAAGGTCAGCGGCCGGCCCGGTGGCATCCGGAAGGATGAGGAGATTCTTAATCACTACTGTGATATCGACATGCCTGTCCGACAGCGCCGCGAGTGGGCACGCGGCAGCCTCGGCGGCTGGTGCATGTGCCAGCGCTGCCGGACCGAATCCGCCGCGGCAGAGGACGCTGGCGATGGAAAAGAGCTAGACGCTGGCGGTGAGGGAGACTCGTGACGCAGGTCAAGGACCTGGGTAGGGAGAGCGTTGATTTTCTTGACAACTTCATTGTTCCGCTCGGCTTTGGTCCCCCTTCTGACTATTCAAGGGTGTAGAGGATAGTCGCGATGCCGATAATGTCTCCGGATACACGTACAAGGCGGCGGCGATACATATATACATGAACATGACAAGCAACACTAGAAAACAATATAAGAATATACATCCGCCTGGCGTGGACATGTCTCAACACAAGTTAACTCCAATCCAAACGCAAGTCAAGTAGTCAAGTAGTCAAAAAGTGAACGAAGACGTCTGCCACTAAGAATATCTCGTGAGCAGAGATGTGTAGGGAATGTGAATTCGTTCTTGTACTGGGGGAGAGGAATTCCAGAGTAGGATATTGTAAAAGTCACGTCTAAGCTGCCCAATTTTTTCCTTGCCAAACTACCAAGCAAACAACAAAAGGAGAACGCGGAATACATCAATCGATGCAAAAAGAAGGAGAAGAAGAAAAGGCCAGCACAGTCGCTTGCACAGAAGAAAACAAAAGTTGCACACCCCATCAAAGAGCAAAGAAAAAAACAGCCACCATCTGCCTTTGTGCTTCCCACCGTCATTCCCTTGCCACCCACAGCTCCCCGCTTCTTCGTCCTTCTTTACCGGTTCGCGCCGGGCAGGGGCCGCGGGCCGACAATTTGTCTGCGTCCGGCGCCGATGCCCTGGTTGCCCTTGTTTTGGGAGTCGCCGCCGGTGTAGCCACTCCACTGGCCCACATCCCAGCGGCCGCCGATGCCATCGACGCCGTCGGCAGCAGGCACGGCGCGGGCCGTTTCCTTTTGGGCCTCTTCCCACTCGCGCTGCCGTGCGCGCTCCATTTCCATCTCGCGCTCGAGGAGTGACTTTCCGGCAGTGGCCTTGGCCTGGGTCTGCTGGTTGCGGCGGCGGTCTTCGCCATCGCGCTCCTCGGCGCTGCTGACCACCTCACGCGCATACGTTGGCGGCGGCGGCAGGTTCACTGCGGGCTGTACCGGCACAGGATGACTGGGGAGGAAGCGACCGGCGCGGTTCTGGGGCGTTGGCGGCGACTGGTACGTTGCAGGGTCGGGCAGGGGCCGGCTGCTGCCACCCGTGTTGTGCGTCTTGACCTTGGGCGTCGTCGATGCGGTGGCCGGGTCTGGCAGAGGACGTGGTGATTGCGGTGGTGGGGGAGAGCGGGTTGCAGGCGCGCGCGGTTCCGGTGTGCGCTGATGCTGGACCGGCGCAGGTGACGCCCGCTGCTGTGGCTCGGGCGTAGGAGACTGTTGCTGCTGGTGTTGTTTCCAGTGCGTCTGGAGGTATTCACGCTCTCCTGGCGCCCAAGAGTCTTGTCGCATGGGCGGGCTCGCAACGGGCGCTGCAGCGCGTGGTCGGCTTCGAGAACGGGCCTTGGGCGATCTTGTCCCGATGGGCGGCGCCTTGAAGACAGTACTGGAGATAACGGATGATCGGTTCGACCCGCGTCCTTGTCTCTCTCGCTCGTATTCTGCCTCACGCTCTCGTGCTTGTTCGAGTTGTCTTTCGAGTTCCTTTATACGGCTGCTGTCATCGGTGGCGTCGCCACTAACACCACGGTCGGCCTGGTACTGACTCAAGAATTGACCGCGCAGCTTCACCGGGCTACGGCTCCTGGCTCTCTGCCGTTCATCCTCCAACTTGGCCTCAGCTTCGGCCTCTTCCTTCTTGCGTCGCTCTTCCGTCAACTTCCACTGTCGCTCCTCTTCCTCCCAGCGCCGCTTCTCGTCGTCTGCTTTTTGGCGCAGCCTTCGCGTTTCTGCTTCCCAGCGCTCCTCTTCCTCCTTTTGGGCTTGCGCTTCCTCAAGCGCTTGTTGTTCTCGTGCCCGTTCCTCGTCTTCTTGTCGCTGCCGTTCTTCTTCGGCGGCCTGCTCTTTGCGTACGCGCTCCTTCTCAGCGAGGCTGGGCACGCGCGGCCCGCTGTTAATAATTTGTCTGCGGCCACCAAACTGAATGCCGAGGTTGCCTTGGCTGGCACCGCCCATATAACCGTACTGGGAAATGTTCCAGGCTGGGGTTGACGCATTTTCCTGCTCCTTCCTACTCCAGGTGCTAACCGGGCCAGGAGAGCCAGTATCACGCGCCGGGCTCTTTGTCGGGCTCCAGCGGCCGGACATTGAGTCACCCGTCCGTGACGGAAGCATACTAGACCGGGTCGTATTGCTATAGGCGGATGACGTGTTGCTCGTGACAGAAGCGCCGCGGCCACGAAGACCCCCAGCAGTAGGTGTAGAAGGTGGGCCTCCAGGCTGCGATGACCTAGGGCCGATGACGTTGGGGAATCGTTGGGGATTGGCACCGTGGGCAGCTCTGCTGAACGCACTGAGGCACTGGAGGACTTGCGCTGGGTCTTTTTGCTCGTAGAGGTCGACGGTGAGGAAAATGTCATGTTCGTGGAGATTTAGCGGCGGAGACTGGCAGGCTCGAAGGAAGTGGGAGATGTTTTCCATTTGGACAAAGGGCATGGTGGATTGCTTGAATTTGATCCCGGGAGGAGGTATGGCGAGATTAATCAGCCTATATATCGTACGGTGGTGAGTATTGCAGCTGAGGGGAGGGTACAGTTCTGGGGAGACTCACTTGCAGAGAGCAACGCCATCTCGCAAGGCATCGAGTAGATCTGGCGAAGGTAGTCTCTCGCGTAGCGACTCTTCCACCCACGTCCGTGCCTCGTGGGCAGCGGCCGGGGTGTATTTGTCGAGTCGCATCTTGCGCAAGTCCTTATCGAGTGACGACACGGACGCCATGGTAGGAAGCCCGTATGATGTGTAAGGGAAAAAAGGGCTCACAAATCCTCCAACTATTATTGTTTGCGACGTGTAGTTGGGGGCTACGAGGAGGACAATGAAAGTCTCTCGGTTTGCGTGCCGAGCGGCGGGTAGGGGAGTGCCCGTTGGTGTTCAAGGGTATGCGGTGCTTTAGACAAAGGACTCGACGGGCGGGTGCGCAGGCGGGAAGACCGGAATGCAGATTGTATGTATTAGCAGTCTGGTATTTGGCGCATTTCAGGACAAGACGGGAAGCCTATGCAAAAGGAGGGGCAGACTCGGGAGCGGGCGACTGGTTGACACGGCGAAAAGGAGGTGGATTTCCAAAGTCGAGCAAAGTAAAATCAACGACTGTCAGTGAGGTGTTGCAAGCTGCAGGTGGTGACGGTCGCACGAGCAAGCAGGCAGAGCGGATAGAGGAACCTTTTGGATGCGTGGCGTCGGCAGGCAAGTCGTCATCAACAAAAGACGACTTTGGCTTGGACGTGATGGGCGGGGCAGCCGGAGCTGTCGTTCACATAAAAAGGTACTTACAGAGAGGTACTTGGCTACAGCGTTGTTTTAGCGCTGATTTAGCGGCTTCTGACCAGCGCCAAACAGGTACCCCGCTGCCCTGGCCCTGTTTCTTCCAAACAAGTTGCCTGATTGGGCTAAGCCGGTCCCCATGGGCAACCTGATGGCTCTTTGCCCCGTTCCTCTACCCTAGATGACCCTGCGGCGGCAGGGCTGGCCTTTCACCTTTGGCACCGCGTAATATAGTTGAAAAAAAAAGGCTACAATTAAAGGGAGCTTGATTCCTCATGGGCGCAAGGACCCGAGTATGTCTGGTTCTGGATTGCCTTGCCGTGCCTCTGTCGTTGACATGACGAATTTTGGCGCATTGGCATGCACTCTCGGCGTTTCGGATGGAAGCGTCGCGGTATTGATTTGCTGTCATATCAACCCGATAAATCGGGAGTAATTGCCGAAGAGGGATAAGTTACTGCTGCCTAAATCTAACAGGACTGGACGACGCCACAGATACTTGCAAGTTTCAGCTAAATACTCCGACTATGCAAAGGGCGTTTGTAAATACGTACGGGCCGAGTTGAATGGGTTGCAATGTTTATATGCAGGTTGTATGTACTTTGTATATTAATGAGTTAAATTCTAACGCTACTTGAACTTTATGCCAGAAATCAAAATGCAAAACAGAAACACAAAAGCCGCTGGGAATCGGAAATGCAATGTCCATCATCACGCGCGCCTCTTCTCCTCCGCCACGACCATCTGCCCCGTCGCTTTCCCTTCCCTCAGCCGCCGCCGCTGCATCGTTGCCACCCCCTTGGCTCTCTTGGCGTCCATGCGGGCCTGATCCTCGCGCAGCTGGCGGATGAGCCTGCTCTTGGCACGGATCCGGGCCCCGTAGCGCCAAAACACAAACGGGATCGGAATCATGACAATCTCCGCCACGCCCAGCACGGTGCCGGCCCAGCGCGGCGTCAGCACGCGGTACATGGTCGGCCCGGCGAGCGGCAGCGTGCCGCCAATGACGCTGCGGATAAAGGCGTTGCCCGACAGCGCGCTGGCGGCGTAGATGCCGTACGCGCCGGCGAGGTAGTTGGAGCCGTAGATGAAGACGATGGTGTTGCCGAAGCCAAAGGGGATGCCAAACGCGATGGGGACGGCCCAGTGGATGCTGGTCGGCAGGCAGGTCCACGAGAAACCCATCTGGCCGATGCTCGCCGCGATGGAGCCGGCGGCCATGACAATGGCCTGCGCTTCCGGCAGCACCTTGCCCGTCTCGGGGTCGCGCGGCTGCCGGTTGATGATGCGTCGGAAAATGGGCTCGCCGAGGAGGGAGGTGAGAGTGCCGATGCCGATGCCAATAAAGGACAGGCCAGTGGTGCCGGCGGACCAGCCACGGTGCTGGGAGAAGACGACGGGGTAAGCGACGAAGCAAAGATACAAGACGGCATAGACGATGGAGATCCTGATGGTTGAGATTGTTAATACACCACTAAATTCTTCCTATCTCCTTGAGTACGGCGTGTAACTTACCAGACGTTCATAAACCACAAGATGGGTTCGGTGGCGGCGAGGATGAATGGTCTGCTCAGGTTCACCTTTAACAAGTGCAGTGTGGATAGCTTGTAGTCGTACTGGCACCAGTACCGCGGGTCGTCATTCTCCTTGCGCAGGCGCGCGGCCTTGCGGCGGAGGACGGCCGGAGCATACGTCTCCCGGACCGTGAGCATCATGAAGAAGGTGACGCCGCCGAGGATGAGAATGACCCAATTGGCCCACCGCCAGCCGAGGTACTGGAAGACGAAGCCGCCAATGATGGGGCCGGTGACGGGCCCGTTCATCGGGGCGAGGCTGAAGAGCGACATTGTGCGCGCCAGGTAGTCGGGATGCGAGATGTCGACAATGGTGCCCGGCGCGTTGCCTACCATGACGGAGCCAAACAAGGCGCTGGCGTGGTGTTAGTGAAGCCACAGGGATCGAACGAGCGCAAACGCGCTCAAGACGCAACTGCAACAATGGAAAGAGGGCAACAAAAAAACTCACTCAAAGAATCTCACGACGATGATGCTTGTCAATGAGTGCGCGACGCCCGAGGGGATAATCAGCAGCGTCCAGCCAGCAATGCAGACGAGGTAGACGTTGCGCCGCCCGTACAGCTCGCTCAGCGGCGCCACAATCAGCGAGCCGACGGCCAGACCGACGAGGTACGTCGTCAGACCGAGCGTGACAATGGTGGTGGAGGCGCCAAACTCGGCAGCCAAGCCGGGCGTCGACGCCGTGTAGCTGCTACTGTACAGCGTGGTGCCCCAGGTGCCGATGGAGGCGACGAAGACGACCCAGCCGCGGTACCAGCGCGGCCAGTTCTTGGGGTTCTCCGGGTCGCCCTCGTCGAAGAGGACCTCGAACTCGGCCGGGCGCGAGGCGACGCTGCTGGCGCTGGCGCCGGAGCGCGAGTACGTCAGGTGCCCGCGCGCGCGGCGCTCCTCGTCCGTCTCGAGGTCGACGGTGACGGCGTGCTCGAGCGTCTCGTACAGGTCCTCGTTGTCGAGCCGCTGCGTCTCGGCCGAGCCGCGGCTGCGCAGAGAGTGCGGCGGGGGGTTGTTGTGCTTGATGGGCTCGAATCTGGGCGAGTCCATGTCCGAGGGCGACGACGAGCCGCCAGTCAAGCTGGATGGCCCAGCGGACGCCTTTTCCGGATCGTGTAGCGGTGTCATGATTGGGGGCCTTTTTTTTTTTGCCTGGATAGACCGGCCAAGAATGCCGTTGAAGAATAGTGTCTAAGACAGCCGGCTCGCTGTTTGCTGTCTGGCTTGGGGCTGAGAAGAGCCTGGAGGGTTCACCCCACGGGTTCGCAATCGGATCTATGCACTGATGTGTGACAAGGCGCGATGAGGCTTCAACATTGGGCTTTTCGGCCGTCTGGCGTGAATATGCTGCATGCAAAAGGAAGAGAGAGAGGAGAGAAGCAGGACAAAGCTGCAGGATTCACATCCTTATTACGACGCTGCTTTCCCAGTTTCCCCCCCTTCTCAGACGTTGCTCCCACAATAACCGGGGAAATACGCCCTACCGTCGCAATGGACTAGCAAGCAATGACCCCCATCCGTTTTTTTTTTTTTGCAATTAGCGTTCACTGGCGCAAAGCGGCCAAAATTGAACCTTGAAACACTGTTTATTAGCCCAGGATACCCGCCCTGCCTGCCGAACGGACCCAGCGAGCGGAAACAAACTCGCCAATAACTTGAGCCCAAGAAAGCGCCACGTCCGCGGACTCTCATCCGGCACACGGATCGGACTGAATGGGGGCGTCGGTTGTCTGGAGTTGTGGTTGTTGAGATTGAGTTTTGTCTGACGCGGGGTCGTCGTCTTCTTTGCGCAACACTGTTTCTGCTACGAAGAAGCTGCTCTGAGATCTGCGGGGAGAAAATAACGACCAGACGAGACGGAGAGAGCACAAAGCCAGTTTGTTTGTTGTCTCCTGGGTCCTCATCCTTGTCCTATTTGGGAGGGGCAAAAACACGCCGGGCCCACGGACGCCGGCCAGCCAGCCTTGGACCGATCGGCCGAGTCTTGAGTTGCATAGGACACGGCGCGCCCAAGGGCCCGCGGGGTACAGAACCAGCTGGTCGTCCTATTCAAACAAGGCCTTTTCAGATAGGTAAAACGAAGGCGTCAAACCCAAAAGTCTCCATTCAGGGCCCGAACATCGGGCGTTGGCAAGAACAAGGCTGCGTGGGCAAATGACAGCGGCAGCGGGGTAGCCGGAATGAGAGTGTCCTAGCCATCGTGTCGGCCGCGGCCGGCCCTGTCGCAACTGCCGTGCTGAGAGAGGAAGGGGAGAAGACCAAAAAAAAAGTGACCAGTTTCCTGGGGCGTCAGGCAAGTTCAGCTGGTGCAAGGTGGTGCTCTTATTTGTGTCCATGAGTCGCGATGCAGCAAAAGTCAGGCTGCGGGCAAGTCAAAAGTCCCACGGCGGAATACCCCCGGTTCCGCAGTTCCGACGCGTGCTCCGTCGAACAGCCAACATGCAACATTGAACACGATTTGGGAGAGAGATGTTGGGAAAAAAAAAAAAGAATTCTAAGAAGAGCAAACTGATATTGGAAACATTTCATCCAATAATACAAGCATTCCTCTCGCGCGCCTTGGCGTTATGCGGTGCACTGTCTCCTGGGCACTGTAACGGCCAGTGCAACCTGTTTGCCCACTTTGTGGCGATCACATCTGACTAAACCAAGCTTGGCCAGCCTTTCTGGACCGAGCGGCAGGAGGCAAAAAAAAAAAGTTGAGCGTCCCACCTTTTGCGACGACCGACAATCATCGACAACGAGCTCACCGCCGCCGCCGCCCATCACATCCCGCCCTTTTGCCATCATGACCGGCACAACCATTGGCCCCATCGGCCGCGCGTGGCTCAAGTGGAAATCGCTGCGTCTGCCATGGCGCAAGCGCTTCCTCGTCGGTAAGCCGCCATCCCCCCCCCCGAAACGCCACCCACCCGTCAAGCTAACAAAACCCAGGCTTCGATCTTCAAGGCAACACGTACTGGGAGTTCCGCCTCACGACCCGCGGCACCGGCGACGCCGCCCCCAACGGCCTCGGCGAGGTCGAGCGCTGGCGCCGCATCGTCCAGTACCCGCGCGCGACGCACCTGTCCGCCGTCAAGGTCGGCCCGCTCTGGCACCAGTGGCTGCGGTACACGCGCCGCGACCCGCCGAGCCTCGAAGAGCAGCGCGGCGACGTCGTGCGGCAGGCCCGCACCAAGGTGCTCGCCGCGGATGCGGACGCGCGCTGGGCCGCCAAGCCTCGTGTCATGGATGCGCCGCCGCCGCCGCCGCCGACATTGCCCGAGACGACAACGACACCACATGCACAGGCAGAGACGACACCGTTGAGGGCAGAGTCGAGACGGAGACGGAGTAGCAAGCGCCCCGAGGAGATGACGCAGGCGAGGGCAGACGACGACGCGGTCGATGATGACAAGGACCCGTGGAAAAAGGCAAAGACCAGGGGACCGAGTGAGGACTGGCAACCACAGGCTTGGAGTCCGAATGCGAAAAAGTGAGAATGGCCATGTATCATGGGCCCACGAGGGAGAGATTGCATCGAAACATAGCTGAGATGCGTGCGTGGGCAGGAAGGGCTATTGGAAAGAGGCCAACACGGCCTCGTTGTATTGTACTATAGAACTGTAACTATATCATCGTGTATCACATCTTTAGCTACTCTTAAGCGGATGCTTTGAAAAAGACCTGCATCTTTTCCTGTCACTTCCTCTCCCCAACTTTGTAGCAAAGAACAATGCGAACCCCTGTAATGCAGCTGACTGTATGTCGTGTGAATCGTGGTATCTATCCTGCCAGTATGAACCTCCCAAAACGCCAACAAAACCCAACAATGCGGACCAAAACAGAAAATTAAAACAACAATAATGCCGAATGCAAAATATTACACAGGTTTTGCAACACATGTATCCTCTTCACTCGCCGTGTCCCGTAGCACCTGCAGCAACAGGCGCAGCCGATCCGACGACGCGTCGAGCACCTCGGCCGCCAGCGCCTCCTCCGGGTCCGGCCGGGCCTTGCCCGTACGCTTGCGCTTCACCTTGGCCTGTCGGGCGTCAATACCGGCGCGCAGGGCTTCGTCGAGCGCGGGCCCGTATTCGAGCGCGTGACAGGTCCATAGCAGCTGGACGGCGGCCTCGATGACGAGAGAGAGCTTGGCGTTGTCCTCGACGCCGACCGTGTTGGCCGGGTGCTGGGCGTAGCAGCGCGTGAGCATGACGGTGCTGAGGCACGCCTCGGCCTCGCCCACCGGGTCGGCCTTGTGGGGGGGCACGTGGCTGGCGGGCAGGAGCAGGGCCAGGAGCACCTTGAGAAGCGTGACACGCAGCGCGGCCGGGAGCGGCCCCCGGCGCTGCGCGACGACGAGCGCGAACAGGTTCAGCGGCACTACCTTGAGCGACGATGCGTAGGCGTCGCACAGGCGCACCACATCGGCCGGTTCGTGCAGCACAGATGTCGCCTCAGAGAGCAGCTGGAACAGCCGCAGCCGCAGCGGGACTGACTCGGCAAGCCCTGGGAACGTGGTGCCGAAGGAGCCGGCTGATGAGAGCGCGTCGCGAGGTTTCTCGGGCGTGGGTGGCTCGGACGCGCCGGATGAGAGTGGGTCCTCATCGAGGTAGTCACCGAATTTATCGTTTTCCACGTCGACGCGGTCCTGGCGCTTGCGTTTGCGGCTCGCCTCGACGCGGCCGCGCGGCTCCCGGTCAAACACTTCGCGAAAGTACGAGCTGGAGAGGCTGCCGCCGTCAGCGAAGAGGGCCTTCATGATGGCCTTGAAGCCGCTCTGCGGACCGTTCTTCTGCTGCATGTACATGGCCAGGATAGAGTCCTGCCGCCTCGTCGTCGGCACAGGCCCGTCCTGGCCTTCGCTTGTAGCCTCGTGGGCTTCCCGGTCAAGGCGCTCCCTCTCCGACCAGTCCGCCTGCAGGACGTCGAGCATAAACTCGAGCCACGCTTTCCAGTAGCGCCAGCGCTGCGGGTACAGCGTGCTGCAATTGAGCGCCCACCCGAGCGTGGTCCAAAAGTCCTGGCCCCGGCTCCACACGCTATTCTCGTTGGCGAGGCTGCCGGTGACGCGCTCGCGCTCGCGCTCGCGCTCGTCCTGGGACGCGTCGGACAGGCTTCCATCGGTACTGTAGCCTGTCCGCCGGTGCCAGCGCGGTGTCGAGTAGAACTGAAAGGCGGTGCGCAGGTTGGCGTTGACGGGGCCAACCAGCTCGAGGAGGCTGCGGAGGTAGCTGAGCGCCAGCGTCGCAATTTCCTCGGACTGCTTGTCGGCGCGGGTTGTATATACCGGGTGCACGATCAGCGTGTTGAGGACCGCGAGGTGGCTCGGTGGTGGGACGTATACGCTTTGTGAAGTCTGCCGCCGTCGCGAGGATCCCGCCCCGAGGACACTGTTGTAGAGGTTGATGGCACCGAGATCTAAGACGATTGTTAGTTTCCGTGACAGTCTCGGGGCCTCTCACGCTGTTTTCAACGTACAGAGTTGTTCTTCGAGGAAGATTTGGCAGTGCGCCTTGAGATCGCGCGGCAAGGGCCGCACGTCGCGAAATGGTGCATGTTGGGTGTGGAGCGGGCTGCTTGCTGCTGTTGATCGATGCGACGACTCGGACTCTATCGCAGTGTGAAAGGAGACCGGCGATGAATCCGTGCTGGAAAAAGCCGGCCGTGACATCTCTGGAGCGACGTCGTCGGCCGTGATGATTTTGTTTCGGTCTGCAAGTCGCCCCTGGGTGATGTGATGCAGCTGCAAGAAATGCGGGCATGGCACTTTACGCGACATCTCGATATTATTAGCACCGCACTGTGGCGCGCGACGGGGCGGGATGGCGTATGGCGTTCGCTTTACAGTGCGCGACAGGAACCAACGCTTCATCACACTGTACCAGCAACGATCAACTCTTACAATAAACCACTGGCGCCACCATATAGAACTAAGATACAAAACATCGAAGTACCAGCGAATTTTGTAACCTTGTCATCTACAGAGATGTTTATAGCGCTGGCATTTTTCCTGTCTTTTCAGTATTCCTTACGATGTGGCACAGGCGTGCCAAAATAATATTGATTAAATCATGAGAAATCAGGATTATGAATGAAACTTCAAAATTAAAATATTACTCAGGGTAGATTTCCACTATGGTATCATTTTTCTATGTAACAAAAAGAGTAGAGCTAATAGTGTCATGGCAGCCCATGAAAAAAAAAAACATTATGTAATAGCATGTCTATTCCCCAAACGCCGATGTAATGCAATGTATTTCTCGACGTTTTCCAGCCTAATTCAAGACACTCTCCTTCTTTGACTTCGCCTTCTCCATTGTCGCTTCAGCCTCAACTTCGGCCTCGGCCTCGGCTTCGGCCTCCTCCTCGCTTCTAGGACCAGCAGCCGCAGAAGCAGCCCTCATCTTTTCCATGATCCGAGAAGCCTCAGAGGCGAACTCGCAGCGAGCACGAATCTTTGCACCGTACTTGTAGAAGAGGAATGGGAAAGGGAGGCAGGCAAGGGACAGGAAAGCTGGAACGGAGCTCGCCCAGTGGATACCAAGATCCTTGTACATGTAAGTGGTGAAGAGAGGGAATGCTGCGCCAAAGAGAGATCGCAGAACCGAATTTGCTGCCAGCACTGAAGCAGCATACATGACATAGGAGTCGATGAGATAGTTAAGGAGCGGGAGGAAAACAAGAAGAATGCCTGCAGCGAAGAAGCCGGAGCCGACAATGGAGACTGCCCAGTGGATTTCGGGGCCGTTGGTCCAGGCAAACCAAAACAGACCGACCGGAAGCAGAATAGAGCCAAGAATGGCAGGCGGTAATCTCTCCTCGGGAGGAGCGATGCCGTTCGGGTAGGTTGCCGCCGCGCGCTTATAACGCTGGTTGTCGAAAACCGCGTAGAGGGTCGCGGTCATCATACCAATGGCGATGCCGAGGAAGGCCAGACCACCAATACCAGGGCCCCAGCCGCGACCAAGCTGGTAAACGATGGGGAAAGCGGCGAAGCACATGTACAATGTGCCATAGATGATGGCAATGTAGATGGATGTAAGTAGGACGATAGGCTCCTTGACGAGAAGAATCCAAGGACGAGTGATAGAGAGCTTGAACTGAGCGGCAGCAGTTCGAGGAGGGGCATGAGCATCAAACTTGCTCACGTACACCTTTCCTGTCTGTTTGCTGAGCTTCACAGCGCGCTTGCGGAGCAGGACAGGAGCGTACGTCTCAGGGTACGTCACAGTGCTGACAATCCAAAGAACACCACAGAAGATGGCAATCATACCCTCGACCCAGCGCCAGCCCGCTGCCTCGCCGAGGAAGCCACCAGCAATGGGGCCCAGCGCAGGTCCCAGGAAGGGTGCCATGGAGAAGATGGCACCGGCCTTGCCACGCTCCTCGGCCGAAAAGATGTCGGCAATGACACCGCCGGCATTTGTCAAGGGTGACGAGCCAAAGGCGCCGGCGAAGAAGCGGAGCACAATCAGAGCGCCCATGCTGTTGGCGCCGGCGGCGCCGGCGTTGAACGCGGTGAGGGCGAGGTAGCTGATGAAGAAGAGCTTCTGGCGGCCAAAGACTTCGGAGAGCGGCGCCCACAGGAGCGGGCCGAGGGCGAATCCGAGCACAAAGAGCGAGATGCCGAGAATGGCCACCTCTTGGGAGACGCCAAAGTCGAGGAAGATTTCGCGGATGCCGCCCGAGTAGGCGGACGAGGCAAAGGTGACGGCGAGGGTGGCGGTGGCCTGGACGATGATGATCATCCACTTGCGGCCCGAGGAAAAGGTGAAGGGGTTGTACGAGTCTTGGGGGAGAAAGTCGACGACAAAGGGCGATTCGGCGGTGCCCTTGCCGGGGTACTGGTAGTGAAGGACGGCTGGTGTCACGCCGGCCTGGTCGAGGAACTGTCGGAGGTAAGAGACGTGGTTGACGTGGGGGGATGGCTGGGCTTCGACATCATGCTCGGAGGCTGCCGTCATGGAAGATGCGTAGCCGCCCGGCGTGGCGGTGCCGTGAGTCGGCGATGGTGGTGACATGTCTGTGCTGGCTCTGTGCACTAAGTTCTGGTGTTGTCGAGAGTGATGTGGTCGTCGAGTGTTGGCGCTATCCTTCTGGGAGGGATACGAACAGGCGATGATACCTCAGTAATGATACTGACGGGTATCCTGGAATAATACTCTAGTTCGGCTTGGCGAGACAATGAAGAAACAGTTCCAGACAAAGTGGGCAGTCGGCCAACCTTATACTTTGGATGTGATGAGCAAGTGACGAGCAACTATGGAGCCCCCATGAACGGGAGAGATATCATAGAAAAAATCGACTAAAATAAAGGCTATACTTGGCAGATGGTATTACAAACCACGATCCGCTTCTCGTAAAGGCGAGAGAGACTGAGCACCCCCCTCGTTGCAGACGAATAAGTCCGTGAGACGCCGCAGGGAATAGCGAATGCGAATTGGTGTGGCGGCAGGGCCATCGCACGCCTCACGCCGCTTGGCCCCAACTAGCAATTCTCCGCTCCTGGTGTCATGGTGTCAAATCGCCGCGGAAGTTTGAACGTTTTGTTCGTAATCAGCCTCGGAACAAAAGGCCGGCGGCCCTGCCAAGCCCCCTCTTCGGAGTAGGTGTGGGCGCTGACAACGGACCAGTTGGTCGCTGCCCGACAACTGTGGTTATCCCCGTAGGCTGTGCTCATCCAATGTATTGATCCACCGGACTGGGGATTTCCCTCCCTCTGGACTTTTTTTCTTGTTTGGTTACCTGATACGGATACAAGGTGGACTCGGCAAAAACGCCGACGGCATTTACGTGGGTTCTTATAGCCGGCTGACCAGCTTGTGTCAGAGTTCGCCTAGTTACTTGCCCATCAAACTTTAAAAAAATATTTCTTAATGGTATTATCTGCCAACCTTTTTTTCTTTTTCTGCTCTCCCACATTCTGCATCTATGTAACATGCCTGGTACGCTCCAAGTGTCATTTCGGGCTCATCCGAACATGGGCGTTGTCTTAGATTGCAGTCTGCCACTAGTGGCGGAAGAAGAGGACATCAGTTGCGAACCAGCAAGTTAATTACGGAGTCTCGGTAACTAGAGGCAATCGGTGCAATGTCTGCTATTATGAGTAACACTGTTCGCCTCCTCCTACGTAGTTGGCGCCGATGTGGCATGAGCTTCTGCATAATGGGCTGAAAATCACATCACACGCTTTCGTATAAGGTGCGTGCGTCACTAATAAGCCCGGGACAGGACTCTTGATAATCAGGCAAGCCAATACCTATTCCTGTCTCTGTACCCCCCATCACTACATACAGTCACGAGCGGCGACAATGGTGCAAGCATCGAAATTCCAGTCTGGTGCCACGTTTTGATATGCTGGCTATTCTTGGAGCACATTCTGGCATGTGATTCCCCTTTCCATGGGCAGTGGAGTTGTCACAAAGTGTTTGTTGTGGTTCCATCACCAAATCAAATCACTGCCACGTTCCGCAAGCCAGCTTTAAAATGCTTCTAGTGTCGGGATATTGCAGGGATACATACCACCTATCCAGGATGAGGGCCAGAGACAGGGATCGAGGGAGGCGAGCCCTGCTGTTTCAAGGAACGGACTTTTCGCCCTCCCTTCCGGCCGAGTGGGTCGAAGTCGCCGGCCCGGTAAAAGCTTAGTACCGTTGCGCCGAGACAACATCTGTTCTTTGACACTCTGGCGTTGCAAAGATTTAATAATGTGTCTCGAGATCCGTGCGAGATTCTGTTACATCCAATGGTCTCCCCCACCATCCTTTTTTTTGACAGCCTGCGTGTTTCAGGTCAGCTGTCAGTTTCTATTTGAAAGCACGCGGTATTACGGACAATCATCTACAAAGACCGCGGACTTTCCGAGCTGAGCGCAAATCATTACCAAAGGATCTGGTAGCTCGGCGCCGGGAGCGTCATGACTGATCTGATGTACTCACGTGGGGTATTATCATTACTATGATGAGTATCGAGCCGTGAATGGCGACATGGCGTACGTCGGCGACCATGGGCACCATGATCTCCAAAGTCTAGTCCTCTAATCTTCAAGGCAGCCTCTGCCGAAGCTTGCGCCCACGTTTTAACCCCTCTGATGCTTAGACCCATACAACTCCGCTGTCTTGGTTACGTACAAGAATGGATTGAGGCTGCGAAGGTTTTCTGATACAAGGAGGAGGATGACAGCTGCAGTGGACCTGTCTCGGTCCGGTCGGATCTTATCTCGGCCGCATGGACTGCAAACTGCTGATATCTTTCTGCAACCTGCGCGTTGGTACTTGATCTAGATTATACTACTGTGTACGGAGTAACTAGAGTAGCTATATATTTGAAAACCCCACCGTATAGCCAAAGCATCACAGTCCCGTCTCGGTCGAGAGGCGATACAGTGCGCCACCAGTCTCTTGGGCCCACGCTTCCGCCCAGGCGTCGTTTCCCACGCACCGCCAGTACCAAAAGACGCTATCGGGGTCATACTTTTGCTTGGCAGACAAAAGGAACCCGTAGCTGTCCTCGCCGAACCCATCGTTGCGCCAGTCTGCTTGCCACGGACCTGCCCAGGGCCTGGCCGGGGCCGTATCCTTGTGACTGAGCTTGTCAGTGAGTTGCTTCTTCATCTGGGCAATCCCCTCATAATACCCGGAATTATCAAGCCAAAAATTGACCTGCTTACGCCAACACGTATTAATATGTATATCTGGTCACCCCCTCCTACGACAAAACTCCCATAGTCATGAGTAACCTTGTATAAGACGTGATGCTGGACATACCAACTCCGACACGGATAGCTCGGTTGGTGTAGTTGGCCTAAAAAGCTGCATCTAGTGGTGTATATTGCTCTTGGTAATGTAGATCCTCATTGATGTACTTGACCCATGTGGCTAAACTGCCATACCCCCTTGATCTTTGTCTCGTTATTACCTCGGTCCTGGGAAGTGCCAGTGGAAGACCTTGCACGCCGGTAGCCAAGATAAAGGCCTGGGTTATTAATCCCTCGCTGGTTATTATTCACTCTTGCAGAGTCGAATCCGGCTGCAACGTGCTTTCCACCAGTCGCGTTCACGGTATACACTGGGAAGTTGCTTATCGGATAGCAGTAGCATGTGGTATTCATCCATTCAAGTGCTGTTAGACCATTCAGATGCGAGTCTTTACCTTGTTCAGTCGTATCCGCTACCCTGGCAGCATGTTGTGGATGGCCTGATTCGTCGCTTCCCAGATGGGCGCAGCAATGGTCACGTTGAACTCGCCCGAGGTCGGTTTGAAAGACCTACAGTAATCTACTGGTGTCTACGAGTATTTTCACTTAGAAATATAAGGGCGAGGTAGTACAAGATGCGCGGGAGATGCATGCGCATTTGCGTTTGCTGAGTACTACTGGCAGCCCAGCGAGGGAGGACCCAACACAGCCGCCGCATCTTGGGATGTCTTCGAGTGGAGTAAGGAAGTGTCGCTTCAATGTCTCCAGAGAGAGCTTTTAGAGAGATTGATGGGGTTTCTTTCTTCGCTCTTGTCCACAAAGCCAGCCTTGTCACTATGGCGCTGTTTCTACCACCACGAGTCTCGTGTGCGCCTGGCAAGCTTTCGGATCGAATGCAACGCCGGCACAGCTCTTTTTATGAGGATACTATTGAGGCCACGATATTGGTCTGCTTTAATCTTCTGTCATTTCATGTAGAAGCTGGGCCGCTTCTGATGGACGGTGGAAGTGTAGAGGCACAAAAATTAACAACTCACTGTTGGGTACGTACTACCCGTTAGGAGATGTTTGTCCTGGAAATTGTGGTTAAACCAGGGAAAATTCATGAAAAGAAAAAGTCATTTGGCACAAGTTGCGCTTCTTTTAGCCCATAAAAGTACCGACTACCTAAGGTAGGTATTATTGTGTAGCAACAGGCGAGCAAACGGCCGCGCTCAGGCAGCTGGCGGAACGTGCCATCACCCAACATGCCTCGAGTACATCCAGCTGCAACATAGTTCACAACGTTGGACGCGGCATCCATCAATAGCTTCAAACGCCGCCATACCCATTTTTTTCTTGTCCTCTTCCTCTGCAAGGACACCTTGTTCCATCTCGCCACTACACAGGTACTCCTGCACGACAACGTGCACGACAATGTGTCCGTCCTACCTTCCTCCATTGGAGACATTGCCTCCTGATGTAGCAAGCGACCTTGACTGCAATTTTTGCAGGTTACATTGCCCGACATGCCTTCTTCTTGTTCAGAGCAATTCTTACTGCGCTCGCAAACATCATCTTTCCATCACACCCAGATGATGCCGACTCGCTCTCGCCTCTAGACAGCGGCGAACATCAAACCGCCCACCAAGAACAACGCTTCTCGCATCCATGTTTAGCTTTTGTGGCTGCTCCTCTCGCCGTCGAGCGAAGCAGAATGCAATCCCATACAGCAAGGCGATGGCTCCTGAAGTCAAAGCATGCCTGAGGCCCTCTGGAACAATGACTCACGGTGCAGTCGATTATTCAGGCGATGGTAGGCTGAGTCTAGATGATTTCGGTGTGCAGATATCGGGCCTGCCCAAGAGAAAGAGCAGCAACGCGCTAGAAACAGTCAAAAACAAGCTCATACGACACCTGTCAATCGACAAAGATCCGCCTCCAAAGTCCCAAGTCTCCTCTCCAGACAGCGACGAGGAGGTTGCTCGCCGGGCAGAACTTCGTCGGTTTCGGGCCAGACGAATCCAAGAGGAGTTGTACCAAGACCATAGCAGTTCCCTTTCGCCCCATGTCTCTATTCGAAGTACAAGATATTTGTTGCCGCTCATCGACATTGGTCGTCCTGGCCGTGGCCCCAGGGATGCCATCGAATTCTCCATTGATAGCGGGAGCCATATGCCTGCGATATACCCGTCTCCTATGCATAGCCCGGAACCTTTGAAGAGAAAGACTCCAAATCCGACAGTGAAAAGGTGGAGTAGCTGCCCGGCCGTGATTAGAGAACAACGAGGCCAAATCGCTGCACCAATCTACAACAATTCAAACACAGCTATGTCCCGGAAGCGTTACACCATACCTAGCCGACTTTCAGAGTCCAAGTCGCTACCGAACTTGCTACAACCAAATATGAAAGCCCCTCAAGTCGCCAGAACAAAAATTGCCGCGTTTGGCAGTGACGACTATACTGCCGTGGACGCCTGGCTCGTACTGCAAGAGTCGCGATCGCGGGCTAGCCCAGCATCGGGAGCGACAAAGGATATATTGAAGTATTCTGGATCACGCAGGACTTACCTAAAACCTTCGAATAAAATTCCCACAGAGTTCAGCGATGATACTGTTACAGTTCCATATCCGATTCGGCAGAGCGGTACCTCTCGTCTCCCTTCAGCGTCACTTGGTGCGACGCAACAGTGCGGATCGCAAAAGATAAGCAGCTCAAAACCAGCTTCTGCGAATCGCTCTCAAGTCTACGGATTAGCGGTTCCGCCAGGAGGAAAGAAAAAGACCTCTTCGAGCTCAAGTCAGGGACGAATCCCACACTCTGAAACAACTGGAGGGCTTTCATCGTATTATCCATCCGTCATACCAAGCATACAGCCCAGCCCGAGCAGGTCAAAATCTCTGGTCAATGTTCTAACTGTGAGGGACTTGGAAAGTCTTGAGTTGTCCCCTTTCGAATGTGAGTATTCCTCTGCCGTTGGGGGCTCGTCTAATCCGTAACAGGGCACGGTGACAACTTCGGAAGCTTTGGCACCTCTAGCGAGGGCCACAGCTCGTACGCTACGGCAGATAATGGCGAGAATAACAATGATAGTGTCAACGGATGTCACGACGGCCAAGCAGACGAAATAACCTCGCACCGATTCGTTGACCCTTTGAACATTCGCAAACGGCGTGAACACGATACCATCACCTCCAGTCGTTCAAACCCTATTATGAATCGTCTCCGTGCAGAGAGGGCGGGCCTTCCCACAATTTGGCGATCGGGAAGCGGATCCTGGAAGATTCAGGCTCGTCTTCCTAAACGCATCTCGTCCAGATTTTGGTACCAAACCCGCACAGCCTCCGCGACCATTCCGGAAGGGAACCCAGAGGCTCAGTAATACAGATTGCATTAGTATTTTGAAACTTTTCTTTTTATTTTGTGTGGAAACAGATGTATGGATCTCTAAATATTTTCTTAGAATGCAAAGATGACTACTGATGCTCTACGTGGAACTGGAACCGAGAGGCATGTGGTGAAGTGAATCCATCTTGTTTTTCACATTTGGTCGTATTATTCTTGTTGATTGTATTCCCAGAGGGTAGGCAGGGGAAAGAGTGCTCGCAAGAACGCTGCGTCGGGCGGCGTGCGCGAAGAAGAGTGGCGATGGAGTGAATCAGTCGATGGCCTATGCCTTGGTGGATGACTTGGTATTGGACATATCGCGATGCTCTGGGTTCTCAGTATTTTGATGTTAGCTAGTTGCGAGATCAAGCACCATCGAAATTTGGAGGGAGGTACTTGCAGCTTCTCGACATGGACACCTGGGGACCGTCCGGCTGCCGTCTGCAACGGGCACCCGCGTAATTACTCCAGCAGGCTTCCGTGCCAGATCCGCCCAAGGAGTCTAGACAGAAGTACGTTATTCAGTGGCATAACTTCAATCATAGTGACTGCAATGCTACTATTTTCTCGGCTGGTAGGTCTCCGAACCGCCTGTTCGTTTCGTAGTCGCCGATGCCATGACCAACGCGGATCACGATGGAAGTTCCTACGAGCCCCCTCAAACAAACACGGGGGAAAGACCGCTGGCCCGTAGCGAGAGATCCCTGCGCACGTACGTTTTGGGGGCCGAGAGGCTCATGTGATGGTGTTTTTTGGTATACGTTTGTCTATAGGATTGCCATGGGTATCAATTGCGGGTGCTCTCTGCATTGCGGGCTCGTGTTACCTGAACCCAACATCACCAAATGAAGGTCCGTCCACGGGAGCAACAAACCTCCTTTTTTTTCAATTTTTTTCCCAGCTTCCTTTTTGTCTTCATACGCTGTGCATCCTCATTTTGGCCGAGACTTGCCCTCCAATCTGTACAACCCCCCTCCCAACCTCGTCATGAAAGCGGGTGAAGGGGGGGGGGGATGATTTTCGCAACATTGGTGAGAACCGCCAGGGCCGTCACCCCCTCCGATACAGGACTCTCTGGTTTATCCGCTCTCTCATCAAAAAGGTTTAGCACTCGTCTCCTTCACTTGGATGACGCGATGCCCGCTTGGCCAGCTCAGGATACGGCATTGTTGTCAAGGGGGGCCGCTGCGTTGCGTGACCGTCACACACAGGCGCCCAACTTGGTCCGTTGCCACAGACGGCGTCTCGGTTTATTCCTCGTCTCGTTCAAAACCAAATGAACCTTTTTGCGTCTGTATGACACGCCTGCCTGTTCGGGCTCAAAGAGTTTGTGCATTGGCGTCGAGTTGTCCCGAGCTCGCCTTTTCTTGCTTCCCGGTTCTTTCCTTTCGTCTCGGAAAAGCCGCTGCCTGAGGGGGCTTGCCAGGATGGAACCGCGGTTTGCTGCTCAATGCTGCCAAGTTGTGTGCAACAAAACACGTCTACGCTGTGAGGAGGTGCGTCACTCAGCGTACAGCGGTTACGAGCTCTCAAGAAATGTGGTGTGGCGGGCCGCAGAGTTGTTAACGTCCATTGGCGCAGTACGGTCTGGAGATGCCAGTTAGAGGGCTTACAGATGACCATGGGGGGGCATGGTACGTAAAAAAGGAAAAATCGTCTTGCTTGAAGGCTTCGTTGTCATCCTGTGATTCCAGACCACAAGTAACAGGCAGCTGGGCGCAAGTGGTGTGTGTGTGGCAGGGCTTCATGCAGTTGGCAGCGTACGGCTCGCAGCGCCCAAGGCAGCCCTGTTGTTCCTCACCGCTTCATCAGAGATTGCTTTTCAAGATACAAGAACAAACGTTTGTTATTCATAATACTATGCAGAAGTTGTCGCTCCGAGAGGATTATTTCCTGTCGCTCTAGCCTGGTGGAAGGCCGCCTCAGCTGAAGGGCCTGAGTGGCGTGGCGCCGGCGGCCAACGATGGAGGGGGGGCGGACAGCGTTTCCCTGTCTCCCCGTGAATCATTCGCCTCTTCTCATTCCCATTGCCCTGGTTTTGACGTCAAGAAGAAACCACCTCGTCGTCGCCAGTGGCATGATGCCGAGCCGTAAACATTTGGAATGAGATAGTGGCAAGCTATGCCAATTTCATTATAAAGGCGAGCAACGATAAGACTAGCTAGTTGATGCGTAAAAAGCATTTCACCGAACGGTTTTCATCGGCCTTGAGTCACAAGGCTTGCGAAAGAAAAGAAACAGCCTTGCTCGGTTTTGGGCCCAATCTTCGGGGGGGGAGGGGGGGGGGGACTCCACGGAACACGTTCCCCGACACCGAGAGAGAGCTGAGCAACTGTACCATTCGTACTCCGTAGTGAGACGAAAACGGTTTCGCCAGCGACTTGTTTGCCTGAAAGCTAGGTAGGCAGCGAGATTACGACGAGCCGCCTTGCAGATTTGCTGGTGCGAACCACTTTGGTGGGTTTTGTTCGCCTGACCCAGCTCCTAGGTAGGCTATTTAGTTAGCCCGCGGCTGCCCGGGGGGTCCACCAACTGCTAGACCGAAACGAGTAGAAATCTGGAAAACAACCTTGGGGGAGGAGAGAGATTGAACCTGGGAGGGCGATATCGCTACCTGGTTAGAAGGGGGGGGGGATGGGCTGGAACGGCGCCCCCCGACCGCTAATGTTGAACTAGCTTTGCCGACTGCTCGCCAAAAAGAAGAAAAAAAAAGGCAACGAGAATGACACCACAATAGGCAGGCCCTTTTGGAGAAGACAGAGCACAAGAAAAGATGTGCTTGCTCCTGTACGCCTGGAACCGGGGGGCGTAGGCGGTGGTGTCATCATCACAGCAACAGCACACTCTATTGCTGGCAAGTGACACGGGATGCCAGCAGTCAGTCAATGGGCTGGGCCCTTTCGTCGCCTTCTTGATATTGTTGAAGGCCAGGCCGCTGTGGTGTTTTGTCTCAGAGTGGCCAGCTTTTTTTTCCCGCCCACACCCACTCAACCACCACCCTCTCTCTCTGACTGCAGAAAGGCATCGGCGGTCTCGTCCCGACCCCTTCTGTAGCGTGTTGTCGCCGGTCGGCCCCGTGCCAGAAGCAACGACCGAGAGAAAAAAGGTTGTTGTTGGCGGCTGTGGTGATGACTGGATTGACCGACCGACCACCCCCCCCCCCCCTCCAAGGCTCACTGGACCGTTTTCCTAAAAAGATACCGCTCGGCAACAGCCACTGGAGCAAGCCCATGTGTTCCCCGGCTTTTGCGTGTTTCCAAATTTAGGTTTCTTTGCTCCTCCGAATTTTTTTATTTTTTTTTCTTGCGTGTGTCGATTTCTCTTTGCCCGTTTGTCGCCCGCCTTCTCTGCCAGTTCCCTTCTCTCTTAGACGTACCCCCCTCCCGCATTTCCCCCCTTCTCACCACCAGAGTACGAGCAACGTTGTGCTTCGGTCAACAGCATTGGAATTGAGTGACGGTGATTCACTCTCTCTCTCTCTCGGGGGTTCTGGATTCAGGCGTCGGTCGGTAGAGGTCTAGGCCGGAGTTGTCGGCACTTGAGTTGTCTTGGCGAAAATGCTGGCGGCGATTGTGATTGCATCCCACGAAAGAACCACAGCAACTTGGGCGCGCCAAGCTGGTGAGGGGAACACATGGACAAAGGGTCAACTCCAAACGTTTTCTCCTCCACAATTGCAATAGTTCATTATCGTTGTACATAGTTAGTCGATGGCCGGGATGGGGCAACGGGAACCACGACAGTTCTGCTCCATTGTGCTACTTGGCTCTTATTGGGCGGCTCGTGTATTACCGCCCAAGGGCCCAAGGTTGTACAAGGAAGGATATATAGTTGCGTCCCGAGTGGAGCCGAGGCTCGACGTGATGTCTGATGCACGAAAGAAGAGCAGCCAAAATCTCGCTTCTTGCAAGGCACCATCGCCCTCTACGAAAAACTGGCCAATTCGCGCTACTGCACGCCCCGTGGCTGGCTGCCCTTGCCCATCTGCAAGAGAAGCACGTCGCACTCGCTGTCCACTTGCTGCTGACTTGGTTGTCACAGTCTCTTCGTCGGACGAATAGTAGCAAAGTCCAGACGCGCCCGGGCGTTGAACACTATTTCCTACCGTTGTGCACAAATTGGTCAGATGATCTGCCCCCCAGGGCCATTCGGTATTACAAACACCGAAAATCGCGACTTGGTCTTGGCTTTTGTGACGCTCTCTTCCCAGTTGGAATTTGTGCTCTGCAGTGCTACGAATCGATGGCGCGCCTTTGGGGAATATCCAAAGCGTCTAGCAGCTTGTGTCCACTTCTGGTTCATAGGTACGGAGTAACCCCCCCAGCGCTGCCAAGAATGATGCCAACTGTTTCGTCTTACTTTGGGCATCAGCCCATTGAGCAACTCGAGTTGAAGCAAGTCGTGAGATCCCGACACGTCTTACACACGAATACAACAATCATCTTGATGAAGTTGAACAGACAATTTTTGCGCGACGTAATTCAGAAGATGACAAGTAGACAGCTGACAGTAGCAAAGAATTGTGGCAAAGTTGTGCCATGCAAGCAAGCTGTTGTGATGCTTGACAACGCAAGACTCCATACAGCGAAGAAAAGCCGTGTTTGCATTGACAACGCCAAAGGAGAGATATGCTCCGAGTTGCGGGGGGAGTTGTCAAGTGTCCCGAGGTTAAGCTAAAGACGATGACGGGGGAGAAAAGCTTACCCGTAAGCTCAAAAGGGACCTTTTACAGGTTGGACATTTTGTCCTTTGAACACTCTACGTCATTTCGCAAAATTCGCATTTCCCTGGCCATGGTAAACTTTGTCGCCGTTGCCTGATTAGCGCCGCCGCCCACGACGAGGAATTGGAGCCAGGGTGCGGTTTGGTAGTTCCTGGGGGGTGCCAATATTTCCGCAGATCGAAACAACAACTGCGCTATTGTGTGGCTTTGATGTGGAACTTTGGGGGGGTTTGTTGCCAAGGTCTGTCGACAATCAGTAGGTTTTTGTCAGGTGAGCATCTGTGAAGCAAAGCCAACCTTTTGGGGGGGCCAGATTATCCCAGTCTGTCTCCGACACCGGACGGTTAAAGGGACCTGGGTTTACTCCGAAGCCCAGAAAGTGGAAATAAGTTGTGACGGCCAATTGCATCTTTTCTAATCGTCTTGAACAAGGGGACGTGGCCGATCTCTCCCCCAAGCCACGTATCAATGGCCCATCGTGGGAAGCGGAACAAGGCCGAACAAGGTTTTGCGGAACCAAAACTGCTAACCCCATGACTGTTTCGTGAGAGGCAGGAAAGAGAAATAATAGTAATAAATAATAATAATAATAAAGAGGCTTGTACAAGTAATCTGTACATGTCGGCTGTTTATCGAGAAGATCAGCATACATACATGGCGCAGCAAGCTCCGACATACACAACATGGCGCCGGTGCAGCGATTTTTCCCCTTTGTCGCCATCATGGATACACGGCAATACCTCAGTTGAGGCGACAAACATCAATAGTAGGTATTATGTGGCAGGATATGTGGCAGGATATGTGATGTGCTGTGGCATTGCGCTGTGCTGCTGTGCTGCCGTGCTGCGGAATATGACGGCGGCAAAGTAGGCCTTTTTTTTTTCGTCAGACCACCACCGTGCGTTGGTGAGCTGGCCAAACAAGTGAGTTGGCCAATACAAACAATGGCATGAGGAGGCGAAGCTTGTCATGCAGGGCAGAGAGAGAGAGGTTCATGGGCAAGGTCCGGGTACTGAGAGGCAAGGTTCCGCCCAGTTGATGGTGGTGGCAACTATCGGAGATGGGCGCCTGTTTTTCACGAGTCTCAAACGTTTTTTTGCTTCTCTCTTCCCGTCCCAAGGCTACCCCCTCCCCCCCGGAACCTATCCTAGTCAGATGTTGGAGAGCCCAGACGGGGAGAGATCTCCTAGTCCCAAACCCTACTAGCTGGTCGGGCGGATTGACTCTCCCCACTGACAAACGGTCAGTGCCTCGCAGTACCGGTATGGTATGGCATAACTATTATTATGGGATTACACTAGAAGCATTTTGTCATCCTTCGATGGAGCCAATGGGTTTCGTCAGTCAACTTGGGCGCGCGCCCCCCCCTCCTCTCCGCCCGGGCACCTGCATATTTGGCCCAATCTCTAGAGTATGTAATCTGTATGTACGTATGTACGTATGTGAGTGGCTGACTGGGGGCGGCCACTGACCGAATAGCGGGATCTGAATCGAAAAACAAATGAGTGTCAGGTTGTCACCATCAGGGTAATAATAAAGCATGTTGCATCCACGACAAGGGACTTTGTCTCTGGCAATCTGGCATGGAAGCCCGCGCCACTTTCCGGCAGTGTTGACTTGCGTACGGTCAGCTAATCTGTAACTATTACAGGAAGAATTCGTAGTTCATAATACCCAGTATTATCAGTACGGAGTATGTCCGGCCCCCAAATGACGCAGCCCCAAGCCGACTAGTTCCGCCCATCACAAATCTCGCCTTGCCCTTGTTTCGCCAAACAGCTGAGATCGCTCGCTGGGAGGAAAGGGCGAGCGGCGTCGGCTGACCGTGGAATCTTTGGGCGCTACGTCACATCTCTCGACCCTTTCTATTTTTTTTTTTTTTTTTTCAATTCTGTTGCCCACCACAAGCTCCTCCGACCCAAGCTCGTCGAACAGCCGCAAAATCCTGCTTTCTCGCGTATCATCAGCCCTTTCCCCTTTACTCCGAGGCCCCTTCCCCCGCCAGCTGGAAGCCTTACTTTCCCCCTCCTCGTGGCTTATGCAGAGGTCCCTAACGATTCTCACCTAGGGTCGGTAATCAAAAACTATGCCATGGTGGATCACATGCGAGGGTAAATAGATTTGCTTTCGAGGAAACAAAACACCACGACAACACGACGGGGGAGCGATATCGCAGCTCCCCGACTATTCCGGGCAGAAAAGGCAACCTGACCACCACATGCTCCCTATCTGCTCGCTTGCGAATCACAAACTTGCTGATATGCTGTGGTCGGTTGGACAATGACGTGTCTTTTCGTACTCTTTGACCACTTCTTGGGCATATCTCGTTGTTGACCAACTCTCTGTTACCCCAGCATAACTCCAACGCCGGCTTGCATGCTTCAACGGAGAGAGGTACGATCCTGTCCTGCAAGGCAAGCGTGGCGGTTAATGAACAATGCATAACTGGTGCGCCCTTGACCTTTCCCATGCAACCCTTCCTTCTATCCCGGCCATTTAGATCTGGCACTTGTTGTGGATAGGCCAAGTTAGTTCTGCAGAAGACATCCCCCCCCCCAAAGCCACATTGTGCCGGCCAGCGCATTTCCGCACACCCCCCATGGCACAACCACGCCCCTACTCTAGAAATGATATCCTGGTCACTTCCATGGCACACGAAATAAAATGGCCGTGTTTCCCATTCTGAGATGCTTCAAACGTTATACCACGCAAGCTGTCATACTTTGGGCTGGCAGGTTGTCAAACCTCGCTTCATCTCTTTGCCTCTTTCTCTTGCGACTCTAACCGCCCACTTCCATCACCGACAAGATTGTATAACCACCCGGCGAATATAAAACCGACGACACGTCCCCCCTCGAGAGAAGATATTTGGTCTTGGATAGAAACCACAAGAATACAACCAGAGACTTGAAAAAGTTGTTCAAATACACACTTGCTATACACCCTTACAATACACACTTGCAATACTCACTTGCAAATACACACTTTCACACACACTTCCAAACACAAAATGGACTACTACTCTCCAGATGCCACGAGCTTCACACAGCAACCTGAGCTGTCTATGCTCGAGAGTTACACTACTCCGTCCTTTTGTACGCCCGAGGAACTCACGATGGCCTTGATTCAGTCAAGAGATGTAAGTGAATAAGTCTACATCCAAGATAGCTTCGCCGGACTTACTCTAACATGACTTTATAGAATTTTCCTACCACAACCAGTATAGATTGGCCTTCGGTCACTCCAGAAGTGATCCCAAGGACTGAGTCCTTCTCAGCCGATGATATGAGGGTAGTAGACTTCGGGTATGCCAATGTATCGGAAGCGACCGCGTCGCCGGTCGAATACGTGCGGATTGAGACGCCACCGCAATCATGGTCGCCTCAATCCGCACCAGAGACTCGGTCACATGGCTATCCGGCGGTGCGACCTATGCGGCGGAGTTGCTCCGGACACGAGCGCGTGGCCGACCGCTCGCGGCGGGCTCTGTACGAGTCCATCGAGCGTGGCCGACACCAGCGGCTGATGATATCGCCGTGGCTGCGCGGGCCGCCATCGCCGCGCTTTCAGCGGGCAGTCTCGGGCCCGCCCAGCAAGCCGAGCAAGAGCCGGAAGCGCGAGGACAAGATCCAGTGCGAGCTGTGCCCGGCGCAGCTGTCGGGGGACCACGAGAGCGCGCGGCACTTCAAGCTCATCCACGCGCCCGAGGGCTGGCGGTGGCAGATCCTGGACCCGGCGGAGAAGGGACTGACGCCCTACTTCCGCATCCCCGTGGAGATCATGGACTGCAAGAACTGCCAGTCCAAGAAGCTATATGGAATCAACTACAACGCGGCGGCGCACATCCGGCGCGTGCACTTCAAGAACGCGTCCAAGGCCGGCGCCAAGGGCGGCAGCAGCGGCGGCACCTGGCCCGAGATCCGCTACCTCGAGTTCCTCTACATGAAGCTCGTCCACGTCCAGCAAATCTCGGGCAACACGGACAAGCCCAAGGAGAATATCGACTACGTGCGCACCGGCCGCGAGCAGGCCACGGTGCTCCGCGAGCCGCACAGCAAGCGCCACTCGTCCGTGCCGGCGCACGTCCTCCCCGACACCCACGCCGCCGCCGCCGCCAGCTACTACCTCAACTTGATGGCGCACAGTCCGGAAACGCACGCCTCGCCCCCGTACTACGACGAGTGTCTCCCGTACACAGCTGCCGGCGGCGGCACTTGGCAGCCATCGCCGCCTTCCTACATCACCCGTCTGAGCCTCCAACAACAACCCTCTCCCCGCGATAGCCATGAATCTATATAGAATATAGGGACTTGGTCATGACGGGGTGGAGGGGAGGGGACAAGGCTTTGGATTGTTCACGACGGACCTTTTTCTTTTTTTTTTTTTTTTTTTTTTGGCCTTGTACGACTTGCTGGGGGACCTAGAGCCGGAAAGACGGATTGCATTGGATATTTTTTCTTTTGGAGTTTCACGACAGTAATTTGATGCGCCTCTGCCCAAGAGGTTGGCAACGACCAAGACAACGAGAGACGGAGAGAAGAGCGACGCGGTGAAAGACTGCCAGAGCTGTCGCTGAGAGCGCCCAGATGGTTGCCTCCCCGGAACTTTTGCGAGTTAGACAGACGTTTGTTATTCCTTTTTAGCATAGTGACCTGTTAGCGAAATACATGACTGATTTTTCTTTTTGCTATTTCTTTCTATTTTTTGGCTTTTACCCCTGTGGCGGGCATCTTGGGTGACGGATAGAGAGAGTACTGGTGTGCCTCGGTTGACAACCCCGTCAGCAACGATGGTCGGTGATTCGGCCGGCCGCTTCTGACCGAATGGGTGGTGCCATTGTGTAACTGTTGTATGATTAGGCTCTCGCTGTCTCGTCGGTCGTCTCCCGGGTGTGTGTGTAGAATCCAGATGCTGGTCTCTGGGTAGCTTAGCTGCTGCAGCTACCGTGGTCAATCGGCGCTCGCTCGCTTGGGCAACTGTTGTCGTCTCAACATTTGTTAGGTTGGGACACAATTTTTACGAATTTGACGAATGTCCCAAGTTGTATACCCTTGATGGGTTTATTCATCATTTCCGGACCCCAACAGCCGCCTTTTTTGGCAATGAACCAATCAAGGTCCTCGGCAGACCTGTCAGCCACTCTGTTTACCCACACCTACAAGACCAGGGGGGGGTTTTGAGCGGTGGGCTGCCTTTTTGGCAGGCAAACCTTGCATCCCGCCATCGTCAATGTGCCGAGAAATCGAAGTGGTGCGCGACCCAAAAAGACTTGTTTTTTTTGCTCCCATGAAGCGAGACGAAGAGGGTGCGACGGAGGGCTTTGTGCGACAGGGGACAGCGCACACTGACAACAACGCCTCTTGGGCGGCACCGGCGGCGACCAGCAGCAGCCTCGTCGACCATGACAGCAGCGCCAGTCGTCGTCCCTTGTCACTGCTGCGGACGCTCCTCGCACCACCCGGCGGCGCTCTGTACGCGCCGGTCAGGGCGGCCGTGGTGGCCGACGGGCACGGCGTCGCGGCCGGGCTGGTGACGGCGGCGGTGCTCGCGAACCACGTCCGGCGGGTGCTGGCGCCCTGGCTGGGCCAGTTCCTGTGGTGGCATCCCGTGCAGGCGATGCGGCTGGCCAGGGGCGCGCCGCACGTCTTCATCGCGCAGCAGCTGCGGAGCGCCGCGACGCTGGCCCCCGCCTCGCGCTGGCTGCTGCAGACGGGTGCGCTGGCGCTTCTCCGACGCGGCGTGCTGGCCGACGTGCTGAGCCGAGGAGGCGGCAGCAGGGACGCGACTGCGGCATGCCTGACCGACGCAGGCCGCATCCTCTACCTCGCCTTGTGTCTGATGCGCATCGAGTACGCATATGCGGAAGCGTGCTGGGCCGCGTCGTGGGCCTACGCCGTCTGCGTCCGGGCAGCGACGGCCGAGAGACACTGGTGCACGCCGCTGCTGACGGGCGAGGACAGCTCCGAGGACGCGCCGCGACAGTGGCGCGGCATGCTGCTCGTCGCATCGCTCCTGCTCTGGTGGCTGTGGCGCGTCGGGGTGCGCCCTCTGCGCCGCCATGGCCTGACGGGCGTGGCCTTGTCGGGCGTGCCTGTCGTCGTCGGGCTGGTGGGCGTCGGCACCGCGCACATCATCCGCTATGCCAACAAGTACTTTATATGGCTGGAGATGAGCGAGATGCTCTTGACGTGGGTGTGGTTGATACTGGGTTTGGGTGTCGTTGTGGTGTGGAGGCTGTGTGACTGAATAGATGCCTCCCCCCCCTTGGAGTGAGGCTGTGTCGAGCAGCTGCTTTCTTGCGCTGGACGGTACGGAGTAGTGATGAGTAAATACTAGCATAATTCATAATCGGAGCATAGCAGGCACTGCCTCGATCGACTGTTCCTCGATCGAGGACACTGAACACCCCCATCAACACAACCCAAGACAGCGCGATTCACAAACAAGCCACCACACATCTTGTCACTTTCTTAGTAGTGGTAATTGTGTAATCCTGGCCATCAGCCCTGCAGGGGTATTTGTCATTATCATTTTGTATTTTCGCGGCGCCATCTCGGCCGTCCTCGTCGCGACGGTCACCTTCATAACTTAGCCCTGGCCAATCCTCTTCCCTCGGCGTCACCCTCGGTGCCATCCATCCCCCTTGCTACGTCTTCTTCGACGCCCACTCCTTTGCCAGCCACTCATTCACGCCCTTGATG